TATGAGGGATTTCGCACTTGCCTCTCTTAGACGCGAAAAAAAGGCGTATCTGTCACGTTTTGATCAATTAAATTCGAAGAAATCCTGGAATCAACTTAGGATGATGAACGTTTATCCTCAGAAACATACTGAAATTCCATTAAATTTATTAGAAACAAACGAATTTAATGACCACTTTTTATTAAATTTTCAAAATACCCATACCCATTCTCGTTTAATTGATGCTACAGCTGAATTTTATCAACAGAATTTATTCGATGCTAATTTAACACTATCTGTGTTCAGACCTGTAAGTGTTCAGGAGATCCTTGATATTTCTGTCTCTATAAAGTCGACTGCAATAGGCTGTGATGGTATTGGTATGGACATGTTTGGTCTTTGTTTACCTGAAGTACTTCAGTATCTAGCTTATATTGTTAATATATGTGGAAACTGGGAGCTTTCCTAATGTCTGGAAAGAAGCAATAATTCTTCCTCTAGCCAAAGTACAAAATCCCATAACTCTTGATCATTTACGACCTGCCAGAATACTGTTTTTTTTTTCAAAGGTATTAAAAAAAGCTGTTTATCTCCAACTAATTGAATATTTAGAGATGAACAATTTACTTCTTGTCCATCAGTCTGGATTTCGTGCTGGACACAAACTTCTTCACTTCTCCATTTGACAGACAATATGTTAAATAATATGGATAAACATATCAATACAGTTTTAGATATGGTCGACTTCTCTAAGGCGTTCGACACTGTTAACCATACAATTTTTTTGAGTAAGTTAAAGTATATTGGACTTTATGACATTCCGCTTAAAGTTTTTTAAAATTACTTAACTAATCGTAAACAAAAGGTGAAGACAGTTAGAGGTGTCTCATCTTCTGTTGCCGTTTCTTCAGGTGTCCCTCAGGGCTCTGCCTTAGGTCCTTTACTGTATTTGATATATACCTTTGATTTACATTCATGTATTGAACATTGTGCTATACAAACTTTCGCGGATGATACGCAGCTTTCTTTTCATTTTGACTTGTCTCATCTGGATGAAGTGTCATATAAGATAAATTGTGATCTTGCCAACATCACTGATTTTTATAACAGACACATGTTGAAGATTAATCCCGATAAGAGTACTTGCATACTTTTTTATCCTAAACATTTGCATAATAGAGTAAGGGACAGAATTGCATTGAGCATCAAGAACGAGCTCATTCATATTGTGGAACAAGCAAAAAATCTTGGTGTCATCTTCTACTCTAGTTTAAGATTTGACAAACATGTGTGTCATCTATCGAAGTCCATCTACAGCAAATTAAGACTGCTATATGCTAATAGATTCATTTTGAACTTTAAAACGCGTAAGAAGCTAGTTGAAAGTTTGATAACGTCCAGCCTCAACTACGCTTTGAACTTATACTATCCTTGTCTTGACTCGATGAATCGATGTCGGATCCCAAGAATGCAAAACAACTGCTGTAGGTTTGTGTACGGTCTTCGAAAATATAGTCATATCTCCTCTAAGATCAACGAGTTGAAATGGCGGAAAATGGATCAACAATTTGAATATAGTCTTAAGGTATTTGTGCATGAGATATTGTGTTTTACCTCCATAGTAAATTGGTAACTAGAGGAATCTTTATCTTAGAGATCTGAGGCATAATAATAATCTAACAATGCCTTTGCACTACACCGCATTGTTTCAAAAATGCTTCACTTTCAATGCTGTGAGGATATACAACTCAACCGACCCTGCCTGGAGAAGCAAAAGTGTAGTAACATTCAGGAAGCTGGTTAAAAATCAGCTGTTAAATGTATCATAATTAGTTGTTATTATCTTTATATTTTTTTGTGTTGGCATCCGTTCAGTATTGGTTCTTGACTGGTTCCTTTTTGGTAAACCAATATAGCGCGGATTTATCAATTGATTGTATTGTTTCCCTTTATTATTAGCTCACTTAGTTGGAAGCCAGATCGATGTATTTATTTTTAGGCTGCATGTATGTGACTTTGAATTGTATATACATATTTAATCACACAATAGGGTTTGGTAAGAGTAGCCAACTGGCTAAACTTCGCCCTATTGTTGTGTTGCTAATAAAGACATTTATTATTATTCTTATTATTATTATTTTTTTTTCATGCTCATAGTCCTCACGTATGGTGGTGTACTATCTTTGAGGGGGAGTTCACCCCAACCAAGGATAGTTTTTACAGAGACAGTGCCTTTCTCACAATATGACACGTTTCTAAGATAACGGCTTTTTGGAATAGTATGTGAAGGCCGTTTGGAAGGTCCAAGGTCTTTAAGCTTGAGAAGACTTGTTTGGTAACAGCCCCTTCCACAGAGATAACAATGGGTACAATCTGCACTTCCCTTAGCTTCCAAATCCTCTTCATTTCAATCGCCAGGTTCTGGTATTTAACAGATTTTTCACGCTCTACCTTGAGGATGTTGTGTGTAAGCGGAATTCCAACCTCAATTATCTGTGCATATTGGTTGCTTTTGTCTATCAGGACAATATCGGGATGGTTAAAGTCTACAGTTTTTTCGGTTAGAAATGGCCGATCCCAATAGAGTATTACATCTTTTGATTCCAGAACTGGCTCAGGCGTGTACTTGTAATATGGCGGAGGAGATTGTACCAAGTTAAGTTTACGAGCTAGCTGTGAATTGATTATTTTTGCAACCTGGTTGTGTCTTCCCAAATAATCGCCAGCTGCCAACGCAGGGCAAGCTCCAGTAATATGTTCGATGGTTTCGCCCGCCTGGTTGCACTTCCTACATTCATCTGGGACGTTGGATTTGAGAATATGTTTTTCATAGTTTTTTGTTTTTATTACTTTGTCCTGGATGGCAGTTATGAACCCTTATGTAGTTGGATGGAGATATCCCTTTCTCAAATAGGTGAATGACAAAGCTTTATCTATGTTGTCACCTCTCAGTTGGCATGGGTAACGGCCATGGAGAATTTTCTCCTCCCAGCATTCTCTCCTCCTAGTATTCGATTCCGAGGCCGTATTTGCTTGAGGTTGCCGAAAGCTCAAAGGGGTAAATGAGTCATCTGCCTCCACTACAGCAGCTATCATAGGACTTAGATGGTTATTATAGTAATTTTGTAATTTGGCTATCTGAGACTTGCAGAGTTGTGTTATGTTTAGCAATCCGCGACCCCCTTGTGCGCGAGGGAGGTACAGCCGTTCGGTTGATGCCTTTGGGTGGTGACAATGGAACTTTGTGAGCTTTACACGAGTTATTCTGTCTAGCTCTTCAAGGTCTGTATTACTCCATTTCACAATACCGAACGAATATGTAAGTGAACTTATTGCCCAACTGTAGCAGATGGTTGAATCTGGTAGGCTCATTCACATCGAGCCTATACCCGAACTTGGAATTATTCAGCAGTGATGACAGTGGGTTCAGGGCTAGACAGAACCACATCGGGCTGAGAGAATTACCTGGAATATGCCTCTGCGTATGCGCACGTCTCCTATGTCCTCTGAATTAACTCTTAAAGAGGTTCCCCAGTTCATCATCAGATGGGACAATAGGTTTATGATGCGGATGTCTACTTTATATATATCCAGCACCTTTAAAAGCCAATTATGTGGCACGGAATCAAACGCCTTAGAGTAGTCGATGTAGCAGACATGGAGATTTCTCTTATTTTTACACGCATGCTTCGTAATAACGGAATCAATTATAAGTTGCTCTTTGCATCCGAAAGAACTACGGACACACCCCTTCTGTTCTGTAGCAATGATATTGTTGCTTGCACAGTGAGTATATATTTGGTCATTCAAAAGTGCTGTTAGTAGTTTATAAAACACAGAGAGACATGTAATTGGTCTATAGTTTTTCGGATCCTCAGGATTGCCGTTTTTAAAGATAAGATGTGTTATTCCTTTCGTCAAGAAGTTAGGTAATATCTCCGGGTTGGTGATTGCTTTAGAAAGTGATCGACCCAATGCAGCATGTGTGCTAAGGAACTTCTTGAGCCAAAAGTTCTGAATATTGTCGGGTCCCGGCGCTTTCCAATCAGCAGCATTTTTTAGCACTCTACTTACGTCATCTTGAGAGAATATTGCAACGCTCATTGGGTTTACCTTAGCTGCCTTCACTACTTCTTTGATCCAAGGCGCATTAAGGTCTGATGGCTTTGGCTCGGACCAAATATCACTCCAAAATTTAACAAAATTTTGCGTATCTCTAATGCCTTTGGGTTCCGAAGATGATTCTGAGATGATAGATCTGTAGAACTGGTTTTGGTTTCTCTCGAACAAAGCATTTTGCTGCTTTCTCTTGCTGGTCTCATTATATCTTTGGAGCCGGGCACCTTTCATTTTGGCTTCTTGCCTCATTTTATCTCTATGCAGGTTTAAAAATCAGCTATCGATATCGCAGCTAGGGGGTACGTTAATTTTCCGTTTAATATCTGCAATTTTCTTGATCACCTTTCGGGACCTATTGCCTACTAGGTATTCTGAAATGAGATCCGCCTCAGCTCTACATGAGTCAATATCTTTCATGAGTCTTAGTTTCCATGGCTCCTCACTACGTTTCGATGTCTTTTTAAGAGGCGCGTCATTAGGTGGTATTATTATTATTATTATTATTATTATTATTATTATTATTATTATTATAGAAATTGATGCATGACAACTTGGCAACCAAACATCTTCAAGAAATTTAAAAAAAACGCTGCCACATAAAACTTTACTGACTTTACAGCTACTTCGATAGCATTTTTTAAAGAAAGTGACCACAACAATATGGAGATAATACAAATGATGTCTTTATTCCGAAAATGAGCCTAGTATGGAGAAGTTTAGCCATCGCTACTCTACCTCTTAACCATACAACCATACATCACAAAACATTAGGATGTTCAGATGGATTATTATTTTTGGCCGAGGGTGTGACTATTGCCTCCTTCCAGTTGGATGGGAAAACGCATCTCCAGTAGTATTTCAGGCATGGGATAAGTCTCAGGTGCTATATTAAAACTCATACAATTAAAAAATATACTTTATTGAATCTCATAATCCTCAGTTGTTACATTACAACTCAAACATTTAAAAAATATACTTGATTGAATCTCATCACAATCCAAAATGGTGACATCCATTACACCAGTGCGACATCTAGAAAGTTAAATTTTTGATTATTCAAAAAAGGTGCTAACAGATATACTACCTTTTGGAACAGCCTGGTAGAAAAGCTCCCATCCTTTGCCATCATTATGTATGGATGATGTATAAGACAGAGTGATATAGGATTCTGATTTGAATACGTCTGGGTCATCCTAAAAGGAGAAAAAGAATCAAGGATCAAATTTCACAAGAAGTTGATGACAACGTGAAAAAACAAAGTCTTTTTTCGTGGAAAGTGTGGTCTTTGAGTACGACACTCTGAGACAAAACAAAATTCGGTTTGAGCAACCTTTATTAGTTTTTTATATCTCACCAATATATAACTGGCTGAATTATAATGCACGCCATGTCTGATATTCGTATTTCAGTAGGTGGTGCCGTAGTAGTTCTTTAAAGCACTTGTGTCCAATTCATCATCCGATCCCACAACGCGTCCGTATTATACGTATATTAAAACGTTTTACTTAAATAATGAGTCGACTGTTGCAACGATTCGGAGGCTACGACAAGATTTCGGTCGAAATAATGTGGCCAGTGTCAACACCATTCGTCATCTGGTGCGGAAATTTGAGCAAACAGGTGAAGTTAAAGACTTGCCAAGGTCGGGCCGTGCTCGAACTGTTCGTACTCCGGAAAATATGGAGAGAGTCTGTGAAAGTGTAGTGGAGCGCCCTGGGACGTCTACCAGGCATCGTTCTCAAGAAATGGGTATTCGTCGCACTTCATTATGAACTATAACAATAAAGTCATGCAATATTGCAGCTTAATACCCAAAATCACAATTTTAGCGACAACTGATGAATACCACTTTGATATGAACGGATTTGTTAATAAGCAGAATTGTAGTATCTGGGCATTAGAGAACCCTCGTGTCATCCATCAACGACCACTACATCCTCGTCGAGTCACAGTTTAGTGTGGTGTTTGGTATGGAGGTATCATCTTCTTTGAAGACGCTGCAGGTGATTCTCTTACTGTCACTGGCGAGCGCGAGCGTGATATGGTGCAAAACTTTCTGGCTCCTCAAACCCAACAATTTTACCTGCAAAACATGTGGTTCCAGCAGGACGGAGCAACTTGTCACACAGCTAGGGAAACGATGAATCTTCTGCGAACAATATTTCCGGAACGTTTAATTTCTCGATTTTGGTGATGTCAACTGGCCAACAAGGTCACCGGATTTAACGGTTCCTTTTTTATGGGGATTTTTGAAAAATAGGGTTTATGGCAAGAAACCAAATACTCTAGAGTAGCTGAAGAACAATATTCCGGAAGCGATTGAAAATAGTTAAAACGGAAAAACTGATTTTTCCACACCATACAAAAATATTATTTTACTTACTGATGGACATAATGTACTTGAAGTAGCTTTTCCAGTAGATGAATGCGTTACTATGTTCAAATATGTTTTGTCACAAGGTCCCTCTAGGTCGTAGGCTAGAAAAAAATGTTGATGAAATGTTAGATCTTGAAAAAATCCATTCTGTGAATCAGAGACAGTAGAAGACAAAATTTGTCACGTTATTGCAAATATTTGACGTTCTTAAAGTTGTGACTTCCCTTGACGCAGTGTGAGAGATACTATCGGGTTTTCCAATAGGGACTTGACAACTTTGAACAACTTTCACTGTGAACGCACCTTCAAGTCAATTACCGAACTGTCAATGTCAAAACATTCAGTAAAGGAAACATTTTCATCATGGTGAACTACACGAACGAACAACGCTTACAAATAACTAAAACTTACTACCGAAATTTCGAGTCGGTGACTGCAACGTCAAGAGCGTTAACGCCAATTTTTGGTCGTAATTCTCGTGCCAGTAGACAAGTAATTCATAGTCTAGTCTAAAATCTGAGTTCACATATTCGCTGCTGGATGTCCCCGTACCAGTGAGACAACGGGTTGGTAGAAGTGCCGAGAATATTGCTGCCGTTCAAGCTTCCGATACAAACGAACAGAACACGTCGATTTCACGGCGTTCTCAAGAACTGAGTATCGCTCAGACCACACTATGGCGAATTTTGCGAAGAGATCTTGGCCTGCACCCTTATAAGATCAAGTCAAACTCAAGAACTAAAACCGTTCGATCATATGAACCGACGTACGTTCTCGAATTGGCCTCTAGAAATGTTGCACGAAAATTACCAATTTCATCGCAAAATCAGCTTCAGTGATGAGGCGCATTTTTTGCTAAACAAACAGATTATGCGTTATTGGTCAGATAAAGACCTTCATGTGCTCCAAGAAATGCCACTTCATCCACATAAAATAACTATGTGGTGTGGTTTTTATGCCGGTGGTGTCATTGGGCCGTTTTTGTTTTTTTTCGTCGATGAAAATGACCGTCACGTTACAGTCAACGCATATCTCTACAGAGACATGTTGCAACGTTATTTTTTTTGTCAAGGGCTAGACATTAATGATATGTGGTTTCAACAAGACGGTGCCACAAGAAACACAGCGGGTGAAACAATCGACATATTGAAATCAAAATTCGGTGAACGTGTTATATCGAGAAATGGTCCTGTCGAATGGCCGCCTAGATCGTGTGAGTTAACACCTCTAGACTTTTTTTTGTGGTGCTACATTAAATCATTGGTCTATGCCAACAAGGCGGCGTCGTTAGAGTAGCTCAGAGCCAATATTGAATGAGAGATAGCGTTCGTTTCTGTCGAAATGTGTGGCCGAGTCATTGAAAATTGGGTTCAAAGAATTGATCGCTGCGAACATAACCGTGGTGGACATATGAACGAGATCGAATTCCATGCATAAATGTTTGAAGTATACTTCAATCCGTTAATAAAATTTTCAAGATATCTCAAATGCTTTGCGTTTTATTTAAAAAGAAAGTTGTCAAGTCCTTAATGGAAAACCGTCAAGGTTATGAGAAAATCTGCATTATCAAGTGTGGCGCTGCTTTCAGCAAAGGATTACGTGAAAAGATACGACATGTTAACAACGCGATTAAGTGCAATGGAGGCTCTGCTGGATAGGAATTTAAATATTGAGGCTCGTAGGGGTGGGGCAGGGCATATCGCAGTTTTTGGTACTAGTATCTTTATTGACTCCCAGCCCCGGCAACTATCAACACTTGTTAGACATATTTCACTCATCATACTTGTATATTACCCTGTAGATTTGCCAATAAAGATAGAGAAATATTTTCAACGCTCGCGTCTCTGAATATACAGTAATGGACAAAAGTATATAGACAAATTAATATTGTGCTGTATTTCTTTTTTAACTTGTTTTATTAATACACCAACCTGTATACATAATTCGTTATAGCATAATACTCACTTATACATAAATAAATTCATTAGACTCCCTTCAATAAAAAAAATTAATTGAAAAAACTGGAACTATGAAGGTCAAAAATATATAGACAAAGCAAAACAATGATAGAAAAAAGAAGTTCTTTGCATTATAGAAAACCAACCATGTTTGTGTTAATATTTTGTAGCATAACCATTATTATCAATCACCACCTGGCATCGTCTCGGCCTAGATTGTAGAAGTTTCTTGAAATAAGGTTCATCAATCTGTCGCCACTTTTGCTCTAAAGCGGCAAAAAGTTCATCCTTGTTTGAATAATTTTTATCTCGTATTTGCTTATCTAAGTGTTCCCATAGATTTTCAATGAGGTTTATATCGGGAGACTGTGAAGGCCATTTGAGAACTGGTATTTTTTCATCCAGAAAGAATTTATTTGCGAGACTTAAAGTGTGCTTCGGGTCATTATCTTGCTGGAAGATTGATCTTAAGGGCATATTGTCTTCCATATAGGGTAACATGACATGCTTTAGTATGTCTGTGTATACAAACTTATCCATAATGCGATCTATTCTATGTAAAGGTCCCATCCCAAACCCCCTAAAGCAACCCCAAACCATAACAGATCCGCCTCCATCTTTGGCAGTGGGTAAAGTGTACTTGGGGTACCAATCTTTGTCCACTAGGACGCCTAACGTAATGAACACCATGTGATACAAACATATTGAACTTGGATTCGTCACTGAAACATACCCTCTTCCAGTCACAGATGCTCCAATCAAGATGCAACCGTGCAAATTGTAATCGGTCCTTACGGTTTTTCCTCGAGATTAACTGCTTCTTACTGGGGCGACGTGCAAATGATATAATATATATACAAATGATTTAATCTTCTACTTATAGTTTTAAACGGATCTTTGGACGAAATTACTTTTATTAATCTAACTGATCTAGCATTTAGTTTTCTAGGCCGACCACTTCTCTTAGAGGCTTCCAAGATGCCTTTTTGTTTATATTTGTTCAATATTGCCCAAACTGCTTTACGCTTTAGCTTCAAATTTTTGGCAATGTCGACTTGACGTTGACCATATTTGTATAACTCAATGATCTTAGTTTTCACATCCAAAGAAATTTCTAGACCAAGCGGCATGGTCTTAAAATCACACAACTTATCCAGAATACTTGATGAACACAAACTAATCCTCTTCTGACACGAAACTTTACTAATGTTGAAAAGAATTTGTCTACATATTTTTGTCCCTCATAAAAAAGTGCTTAAATTCAGACTTGTATTGTGTTCATTGCAGATAATGTAAAAACAAGGAATTTAGTTTTTCTACTAACAACGCATTTGTTTATGGAGCAATGAAGTATGAATTCGTTTTTTAAAGGTATTTAGGTAAATATTCATATTTGTCTATATACTTTTGTCCATTACGCGGAGTCTGACAAATTTTTGAAGGCTAACCATATTAACGTTACCAGATGGTCGGTACTGTGGGTAGGGCAGGGGAGGAATTTCTAGATCGCAATGTTGTTGAGTGGGTGGCATCTATGGATTAATTGTACGGGCCTGTTTCACATTGTTGTTGTGCATATTCCGAACATAATCATTTTTAAACTGATGACATCACAGAGCCAACCGACTTGACGCCATTATTTTACTCTTTTGCTGCTGTTTTACTACACATTAGCATTGTTCTTTCGAAGTAAGTTGATTCTGGCAAAGAAAGTCCAGAGTTTCAGAACATCCCAAATGAAACCTGACTCCGAAATCATTAATAAATACTAAAACATTTCACAAGCTATATCATTGAAATAATGGGGTGCCATACCCATAATTTTCAGTACTGTCCTATGTCCCACTGGTACTCTGATGATCCACGTACAAGTAGTCTCATTCCTAAAAGGATGTGGATACATAGGGCTGTAAACTCTTCCTCTGGTACCATAAAGAGTTCCACCACATCCTCGGCCCTTGTCCGTTGACGTATAGGAGATGTCGTATCTCATTCGATCCAAGTGTGGTTGTGTTTTGCTGTAGATATGAATGAATACTTTGTTGGTGTGAGAGAATACTGGATCTGGTATAGCATAGCCGCAAACTTTTGTTAGTAGAGTACCTGTTGGTGACCCATCTCTGATCTGAAATAAATAATTTACGATTTTAGATGACAAAGGGAAACAACGAATTTTATACGGACCACGTAGAGGAATGACCTGACAATGCTAAATACAAACATAAAGCGAAATTTGCAGATAAAATCCTTGTCTGATGCGCAATTTCTAACAGGGGTGTGTCCCAACCTTTTGTGGAAAGAATGAGGGGTGAAGCTTTGAATAGTCAGAGCTATATTTATAACTGCCTCTCCAAATTGCCTCAGTTTGTGCACGAACATAATGCTAATGACCATATCATGTTTTGGCCAGACCTAGCATCATGCCATTACTCAAGAGATATCCAAAACTGGCACAACATACCTTTTGTTCCCAAAAACGATAATCCTCAAAGCTTGCCGCAGGCTCGTCCAATAAAGGATTTTTGGGCTGCACTGTCTAGGAAGGTTTATCGTGGAGGCTGGGAAGCCCAAGATGAAGAACAATCAAGACGGCGAATTTACGAAAAACTGAGAGAAATTGATCTGAATTCCGTCCAGGGCCTCACGAGAAACTTCCGGAGAAAGTTGCATCTGGTAGAGCAGAATGCGCCACTCCACATACCAGCCCCTTCCCACTTCATTTGGCCCAACTATTGAAATCTTAGTTTTTTTCTTATCAAACAAAAATAATAAAAATGTAGCAGGGTGTTATAGGTTTAAAATATTAACAATGAATATTTTGATAATATATAGTAGAAAACACCAACTTTATCACTCCCTAATCAAATTTGCAGAATAAAAATAACACATGTTGCAATTAAAGCATACCAACCTATTTTCATTTCAATGCAAGTCTATAACGCATAGGTGGCTGTGAAAAATAAAAGCCATGACAATTGTTTTTATTAATCACAGCTGTCAGAATACGTTTAAAATAGTTTTGGGTAGTTAAGGTTTTCAAAATGGGTAGAGAAAAGGTTATTAGTGAGAAAATTCGGTTACTGATAATTAAATTTTTTAATTCTGGGAAATCAAACTCAGAAATTGCAACTTTGTTAGACTTATCGCAGTATAGTGTGAAAAATATTGTTAGAAGATATAACGTAACTGGCTCAGTTAATATTAAGCCACGATATGTGAAAAAAAGTAATATCACAAATGCCGACTGAAGAGCATTAAGAAGAATAATCGTGAAAAAAAGGCGTGCCAATTATTTACAATTAAGTGCTCTGCGGAGTGACGCTGTTGGAAGGAGAATTTCGAGGTCCACAACTCATAGAGAGGCCCACAAACTGGGATTTAGCATTTGCAAGGTAAGTTTTCTTATAAAAAAATTGAAGCAAAAACCCTAAAGTTGCACAACTTGTTTATAAGCGAAAGAAAAGTCACTATTAACTCCACTGCAAAAGAAAAATCGGCTTAGATGGGCTAAAGAACATAGACAATGGACACCTCAACAATGGTGTGCAACACAATGGAGTGATGAGGCCCGATTCGAAGTTTGTGTTGATGACAGTCGCAGTAGAGTTATTCGCAAAAAAAATGAAGCATTTCATGGTGACTGTCTGAAGAGAAAAGTGAAATTTCCAGCATCCATTATGGTCTGGGGCAGTATGTCATCAAAAGGAGTAGGAAAACTTCATTTTATTGATGGAAATGTGGATACAAACAAATATTTAGCAATTTTAGAAGAATCGCTTTTACCAGTGATGGAAGAATGTTTGACATCCGGCCAAGATTTTGTGTTTCAGCAAGATGGTGCAGCGTGCCATACCTCAAAAAAGGCTATAAAATGGATGGATGAAAATAATGTACCACTTTGAAATGGGTTTCTAGCAGTCCAGATCTGTCACCTATTGAGACTTTGTGGCACGAGATGCTACGACAACATCCTGCTCGTACAATCACCGAACTGAGACAAAAGCTTCAAGAAATATGGGATTGTTTTACACCAAATTTTTGCCAAAACTTAGTTTATAAAGGCATATTTTGGTACAAATCTTGAAGTGGGCCAACTGAAGTGGGAAGGGGCTCGTAGTCTTAAAATAAATTTCTTTATTAAAAAAAATCGATAAATATTTTGTGCCAAAACTTTTAGGACACGTTAGGTGAAAAAAGGTTCAGTGATGTAGAAGAAAACAAATTGTATAGCATTTCAGGCAGAAACAACATTTTTTAACACAAACGTGGAAATTGAAATTGTAAATTATTTCTCCGCGATCGGGCTGAATGTCACCCCTCAAAACCGCACAAGTCATAAACTGTTTCAGGTAAGTCTGAACCCACTGAATGCCACGAATATGTGAAAATCTCGTACACGATTTCCAGCAGGTCATCGGGAATTGAATGGAAGTGTCAGAGGTTCCAATCGGCATAGCACTTGCGGAGTGGTACGAGATATAACCAACCAGTTCACGCTATATCCCTGTGACTACAAAGAAAGACAAGTAAAATTGCGGAAACTTGGACGAAAAACATCCATTTGTGCCTGATAAAGCCAATAAGCAGAAACTTGCGTCGCTCTGGTTACCAATCCTTCTATTTCTGCTCCTGTTTCTTTATCGCCGACATACCCACGATTTTCCTTAGTTTTTCATCTTGCATAGCATAGCGGTAAAAACTTGGAAGGGCATTGCTTCCATGTCCAAAATCGGAATCGTAACAATAAATAAATCGCAAATGAATCGGAAGAATCAGCTGTGAAGCCAGAATCGGAATCATGAAATCAAATAGAAACGATTTGGCCCAGCTCCAATCGCAACTTTATGCAGGACGTCAAAAATAGCGCTTCCCAAATATCAAAATTGGCCTACAAAGTATCAGGCTACACAGATGTATGACTCGCTTACCTCTAACGCATCATTACTACATTGGTTAACATTCTTCATTTGTAATAGGTTGAAGAATAGTGATATTGTTCGATTTTCTGGTACTGTAATAGAGACTAGACATTCTGTATTATTATAACCATTTGAAACTCTGCCTTGAAGTTCTGTGTAATTTCTGTTGCAGCCTGAAAATATACAAATGAAAATTTCTCAAACATATATTCACACCCACAAGTCTGGGATTCAGTTTAATAGACTTCTACAATGAAAATGCTTTTGTTAATTCAACTTACACTTTTCGAAAATACAAATAAATAAATAAATAAAAACGCCTTTGTTTTAAACTCGGCGAAGGCCAGCTATGCTGTTAACTTAACCGAGCATGTAAAAAGTAACAAGTAACAACAAGCCAAAAAGAAAAATAATATGACAAGAAACAAGTTTTACATTACATTAATTTTAGAATATTATATAACAACAATGAACAATAATAACTACAGATGTACGTATACAAAGAAAATAAGCAATAATAAACAACTTATACTTCACAGAAGCAGTTGTTTCAGTTTTCGTTTGAACATATTAGGAGACACATTTTCAAATTGACCTATATTGTATTGGTTTAGAAGTTTGACTGATGTATAGGAAAATGAGCTTTGAGTCATGGTTTTAGCTATTTTAGGTATCTCATAAAGTACATTAAAGCATGTTGCATCAGATTTCTACGAGTTAATTTTTTAATCAGATATGGAGGGCTTTTAGTTTTAATCAATTTATGAAGAAAGCAAGCAAAATGCAGCTTTTCTCGATTGGAAACATTCAACCATTTCAGTTCGGAAAGTTTATGACTGACATGATCGTGACGTCTGACCTGGTAAATAAGTTGTATGCAAGAATTCTGCACTTTTTGGAGTGTATCCTTAGTAAATACATCTAAGCAAGGACTATACACAAAGTTGCAATAGTTAAGGTGACACAGGACCAGTGCTTCGCATAGACCCTTTCTTAACTTAAAACTAAGAATATCTTTACTTTTGTAAATATTGCGAAGATTAAAATAGGCTTTTTGTAGAAGCGTAGACACATAATAATAATAATAATAATAATAATAGCCTTTATTTAACCTGGCGGGTGTCAGCTAAAAGCTGTTTTTCATACCAACCAGGGCCAAACAAAATTATAATACAAAATCTGGGATACATAAACATTGTTGAGTAACAATAATGAAAAATCTACTATGCCAAAAATAGGCATTTTTTTAATTTAAAGAAAAAATCATATATATTCACAATTAACAGTTACACATTACATACATTACATTACATAAGTTAAAACTAAATAATATAAGGTATTATGCCATATTTTCAAAAACAATTTTTTTTACTTTTGACCTAAAAAGTGGAACAGATAAAACTTTAAAGCTGACAGGGAGCATATTATAGCGATTGGGTGCAACAAAAGAGAAACTCTTAGTAAATAGGGTGGTTCTATGATGGGGCGTGTTAAGGGTGTAACCAACGAAACGGAGGTTGGCTGCATGATGCTGACTTCTCAAGGATAACTTATTATTTAAGTATATAGGGTATTTGGTCAATAAAATGCTATGAACCAAACATAAAATGTGAACCAACCACCTCTGCCTCATCGTCAACCAATTCACTTCTTGAATAAATGGAGAGACTCGCTCCCTTCTTCGGATTCCAACAGAATATCTAATACAGCTGTTCTGCACTTTCTGAAGTCTGTAAGCTTCGGCTTCAGTCAAACAAGGACCAAACACGGAACTTCCATATTCTAACTTACTTAAAATGAGTGAATCGCAAAGCTTAATTTTAGTATCTTGAGCCAACACGTGCTTAAAGCTGTAGATGCTTTTTAGTTTAGCAAAAGAGCTCTGTACAACCTTAGAAATATGATCATGAAAAGTTAAGTGCTCATCAAAGATTATTCCTAAGTTTAATACCGATATTTTGTGTGTGAGCTCTTCACTATTGAGGCATAGCTTTATAGCATCTCCACTGAACTCGTTCTTCTTAGAGCGGAAGGTAATTATGGCCGATTTGCTACAGTTTATGTGTAACCCGCGGTATCTAAACCAATCACAAACGCCGCTTAAATCTACTGCTAGTTTTTCATTAGCATCAACACATGAGGAGGGATCATAGGATAGATAAAGCTGGGTATCATCAGCATAAGAATGTAAAGCGCAATGTTTGACCGACCGATCCAAGTCCGACACGTATAAAGTAAATAAGATTGGTCCTAAAATGCCTTGAGGCAAAAAGGAAGAATATAGGAAAATGTATCTATATTTAATCCATCTAGTCCGGTAGCACGCGAGTTTATTTTTTGAAAGGACTTTTTCCTCGGTAACAAACTTAAACTGAAATAGGTCATTGATATTTGGTAGCATGTTGGTGTTGTAGTACTCTAAGAGTGTTTCATTTATTGAGTTATCGGGAACTGAATCCACAAAACAGTTATTTAATATGTTGGGTTCCAAAGTACACTGATTATTTTTACCCTTAGAACCATGAATCCCTAGCTCCTTTATAGCTTTCCACCAGCTCCGAGAACTGTTGCTTTTTCTTAGCTGGTATTCAATATATGCTTTTTTTTCGCGCCTAATAGATGCTGTGACTAGATTCCTTAATTGCTTATAGTAGTTCCATTTGGCAGTTTTTATCTCGTCAGAAAAATTGTTCTTAACAGTTTTCTTATACTTAGAATAGGCGTTATTGCGTAACCGCATCATGAATTTAATATTGTGTGTAATCCAGGGACAACGTGCTTTTGATATCTTCCTGGTTTTAATTGGTGCGCATATATTTAGCAGATCATCAATAAGGCTGTAAAAATGTTGCATGATGACATGACATGACTTCGGAATCTAAGCTTGTTATCAAAGATAACGCTCAAATTTTTATATTCCTCAACAACCGGTATTGCCACACCATCCATTGCTATCACCAAGTTTACAGACGCCCAATCTTTAGCTGGCCCAAAGTAGATTATGGCTGATTTATTAGGATTCAATTTCAAGCCATGATTAAAAGAGTATTTAAAAACTGAATCCAAACACTCGTTTAGCCTCGTAGCTGCTTCAATTGCGTCCGACTTAGCAAAAGAAAGCTGAATCTGTGTATCGTCAGCGTATCTATGATTGTTTATATCACCAAAGCACTCCGACATATCAGCAGTAAAAATGATAAAAAATAAAGGACCCAAAAGTGATCCCTGAGGAACTCCTCTATCCACGTTGATATGAATATTGTTATGAAAATATATTATAAAGGTCGTACTAATATGTAAAATGAGGTAGGCATGACGTTATGTTGTTTTGGATGGACCCGATGCGTCACCCTCGCTCATCGCCCAGAAAACGCCAAGCAACTCGGAAGACGCCGAAACCCACTGTATTGTCGCAACTCAAGCGTAAATCATTGTTATGCATTTTTCGACTACTAACATAGATTTATCAAAAATTATTTTTCCACAGTTAGCGGGAGGAATCACTATTATTAACCGCAATGCCCCACTAAGAGTCAGCTATTCTCTCGAGGGATTCACTACCCGACCTGATTTTCAAGCTACTTGATTTGAAGTTAAGTATTTAGGACAAGTAATTGGAAATTCAAGTAGTTTTGATATTACCTGATACGAGGGATGTCTTTTAAGTTTTGCATATGGAATTAAAACAACACGGTAGGTAGTTTTAAATGACTTTTTTGTTTTTCGAAGTATTCTCCACGAAGATTAATACACATCTGCATGCGCTCGCACCAATTTTCGAAGCACTTATTCCACTCGTTTGCTGGCAGATCCAAAACGACATTTTTGAATGCGTCAACTGCTTCTTCTGGTGACTGGAACCTTTGACCACGCAGCCTGTTTTTAATTTTCGAGAAAGTAAAGAAATCGTTAGGACTTAGATCGGGACTATATGGAGGATGGTCCAATAATTCCACGTTTTCTTCTGTTAAATACTGCCTTGTTTTTTTGGGCTGTGTGCGAGCTTGCATTGTCTTGGTGGAGGATGATTCTTCTTTCGGCGTTGATTTTTCGAAGCTCTGTGATGACTTTTGGCAAACAAATGGTAGTATACCAATCCGCAGTAACAGTTCTTTGCTCATTAAGAGAAATTGTTGCAATATGACCCGCTGTTGACACAAATGTCGCGACCGTCTTTTTCGAAACACTGCGAGAACGGATGACTTTTGTTGGCTTTTCTTCACCTTGGAACACCCAAACAGCCGACTGTCGTGTATTTTCTGGTTCATAACAGTAAATCCACGATTCATCACCACTAACAATGCTGTACGCATTTTTTGAGTTTCCGGAATTGAAACGGCCAAGCGTTTTTTGACACCAATTAACCCTGGCTGCTTTCTGCTCTTCAGTCAAAAGGTGGGGTATCCAACGAGAAACTAATTTTCTTACTCCTAATTCTTCATGTACAATTTTTTGAACTGAGGTCTTTGAGATCTTCAATGACGCCTCAATCTCGCGATATGTCACATGTCTCTCTTCAATGATGAGTTTGCGCACAGCATCGACGTTTTCCTGGGTGACTGCCGTTTTTGGTGCACCCACTCTGGGATCGTCGCTAAGACTCACCGTCCACGTTTGAATTCTCCATACCAACGGGAAATTGTCGACTGATGTGGCGCTTCATTGTACAGTAACTTACTAAGGCATTCTTGTTGCGATAATTGTCTCTGAAAGTTGTAATAAATTATGGCGCGAAAATGTTCTCGGTCGAGTTCCATTTTTCTAATGACTTGGTGACACTTAAAAATTCACTGTAGTGAGAACACTGCACGTATTGTTGTGAAACTTTGAATTCAAGTTTACTAAAGAGTGAGGCTAGGATTCGGTACTGACGTTCGATCTGCGCGGCCTACTACGTTTCTATATGCAAAACTTAAGACATCCCTCGTGTGATATAAATACACATGGAATACAACAATATTTTGTTAATTGTATAACAAATACAAGTACAAAACTGTAAAGTCAAATAGACAAAAGCATTTCTTCATCAGCTGATACAAAAAAAAAATAAATCTGAATGAGCTTTTCGTTCGCTGATCACAAGTTAAGACATATGAGGGTCCTAACCTAAGGGATTTATCCTTTAACCTGTTGCAGGATTGAAAAATTGAGCAAAAAAAGGAAAAATACGGAAAAATTGAAATTTGTTATATACAAGATAAAAGAATTCTGGTTACTGATTTTTCCATTAATATAAATCAAACAGAAATAATTTGAATCAAAACCGCAAGCTACGGCTCTGAAGGATTAGTTCTTGGTAAATACCCGTCGATTTTTGGTGAAGCCCCGACCACTACAGCTTTCGGTTAATTTACGATCACGCACAGCAACACGGCATTTCGGTAATTCCCCGTATTCCTGAATTGTTCAGTTGAGAATGAGATTCTTCAATATTGACACGTCTTGTTTATTTTAAAGCACGCATTTTAATTTAGCCTTATCATAAGCGCAGTAAATAAATAATACAAGGTGAAATTTTGCTGTAATAATTGAGTGTGTTTGTTCTGAAGATTGTTGGTGTTTGTTTTGGTTTCTGGTAAGTGAATATTTTATTAAATTTGGAATAGCTTTAAGTGTTTTGAAGGTGGGATTTCAGTTTCCTTGCATATTTTCCTTACTTTCTTTATTACTAATATCAAGATTCAGTAATAATAATTATTATCTGTATACTCATTAGACTACAAGAATTTGATCAATTAAAAAATATTTAAATTTTCCCATTTTTTCCAATTTTGCCCATGGTCTGGAAAAAAACGTGTTTTTTCCTAATTTTTCCCGTTTTTTCCGATATGTTAAATCTCTAATTACAGGTGTCGATGAAAAATCTCTTGCTATTAAAACTAGATTTGGGGATACAGTTTAATACCTTTTCACCACTCGTGATTATTTGCATCAAAATATAAAATGCGGTACATCGGTTATTTAGCAGGTCAAAAGTATAATATAGTCAAGAATCAAGTAGCTTGAAATTGCATGACCTTGAATCAAGTAGAACAATAAAAAAGTCAAGTCAAGTTAGGCATTAACCTTTTAAGTAAGTTCGTTTTCAAGCCAAGTCAAGTAGTTTCTAAAAATATTAAACTACCTGAGTTGATGAATCCTTAAGCCAATCACATACTGTATTTCAGTGCGCGAAAAGGGATCTGAAATAATAAATAATATGAGCTACTTGGTGAATCCCTAGTTTTCGCACTAGGTAAGCAAAATTCAAACAGATAATTTCCGAATCCGTGTTTATCCGTGTATCCATGTCTTCACGTGCTGAATCTGCCCTCAAATTTTCCTGACAATGTTAGTTAAAAATTACCTGCTAGGGAATATTCTAGTTTGAAACCCCTGCCATGATCTTTGCCCTTAGTTCCATCATAAAATAGAGTAACTCTCGTGGAAGACGTATAGTAGTCAAAAGGCTTATCATCTCTGCCACAAAATACGTGTCTTCCTTTGGTATCCAAAAAGCCCTAGAAAAAAGGTTCAAACCATTGGTTAATATATAGGGTGTAAACGTTATGGTAGTCATTATTAAAATGGGTAATATGGAGGGTCAAAACAAGTCAAAAAGTTCATATGATCATGGTCCAAAAGTCAATAGATTTTTGTCTAAATGGCTTTATAGTTTACAACTGTAAGTGCTTTATATCGACCACAATCACCACAATCTTACTAATTTTTATAATCTAATCTAAAATGTTTTTGAATCGGGTAATAAACAAATAAATGGCATTAAGTTTTTCTAAGTTAAGCCAAAATTTGTAGTCAGTAAGTTTCATTAAATTAAATATTTAAAACACACATGACAACAGCGCGTCCGTCATTCATCACTCTTATCGAACCGGCAATCGATCGCAAACGATAAGAGTGGTAAGTTATTGTTCGCGTACGTCGTCGTGTTTATTTACAATGTTCTCGAATCAAGAATTCGCCGACATGTTGTTAGTTTACGGTGAAGCTTGTCAGAATTCAAATCTTTCAGCTCAAATTTATCGCAACAGATTTCGCCAACGGGTACACCCAGACAGAAGGACATTTATGCAAGTATACCAAAGACTTCGAGATACAGGAAGTGTTCAGCCCACTAATATTCACACTCGTGAAAGACAAGATACTGTAGAGCAGAAGGAACAAATTTTAAATATCGTGGAAGTCAATGCAGATATCAGCACTCGGGAATTAGGCCGCCGCGTAGGACTATCGCATACCATAGAATCCTACGGTAAATTTTGCTTGATCCTCGAAAATGGCCAGCAAGATCTCCTGACCTCAATCCGATGAATTTCTGGTATTGGGGAGAACTTAAAGGGATGGTTTATGGGGCGGGTCCAATAACAACTGAAGCACAACTTCGCGAAAAAAATGTTAATGCGGCTGAAATAATAAATGGACAACTTCGAGGACCTAGAGTAGGAAGAAACTGGGTTCGTCGTAATGAAGCTTGTGTGGAAAGTGGAGGACGACATTTTTAACACCTTCTTTAACTACAAAAAAAGTGCAGTGTGGGTTTTAAAAAGAAAAACAATGTATGTATCAAAATTGCGTTCCCTATTTATAAGTGGATTTTTTTAATATGTTCGATAAACTTTCACACACTAGGTGAAGCGCTGAGACAGTTAGTGGTAAGTCTGTTTTTTTAATTGTTTGCATTTCACGAGTACATTATCAAATAATGAAATAATACCTAAGAGCCAAAAATAACAAACTCCATCTTTATTTATACTGCGTTCCGTCGTAATTTGCGTCTGGAATTGCGGCGTTGTCACATTTTATTTTACTTTAAAGTCGCTTTTCTCTAAAAAAATACCGTTTTGACCACCATGTTATATGAAACTTTTTGCTTCTTTTAACCCCCTCTATCACCCATTTAAATAATGGCTATCATAACGTTTACAACTAAACTGGTGGACAGTTGTTTCGCAACATGGAAGATTTTACATAAATTCGAATCTCGATATTTTTGGAACGGAAGATCGAGTTCTTGATCGCCTACGTGTTCGATCGGTATATCGGTCTTTTATTTACTGACTTAGTAAAGGAAGTCATGTTTTTTAGCAAAGTTTGGGGTATGTCAGATTCTCAATTTTTGATCTTACAAATTTTTCTATGCGTCTTGTTGATTTTTGGACTATCCTCAAATTATCGAGTTTTTATGAAGTGTTAAATTTATCCCTAAAAAGGGACTTTTTTGGGTTTCTCTTGAGAACGGGTATTTCTTCTCATAGTGTTGCATAAAGTAGAATTTCTTGCCCAAGAGCACTCATTGAACGTTATTGCCTCCACTGGCGTGCAGTAAAAATTTACTACTTTGACATGTGATTTAAACCGAATTTATAAATTTTACTATGCAATTAAACAGCTTAATGAACAAATCCAAGTTACTACTCTGAATATAGGGGTGTATTCCAGTAGCGTAACACAAAAGCATTTTTTGGTTTGGTAAGAAGTGCTAATAACATAAACATTTTTGTTTTTCAAAATACCATGATGCTGGCCAACACTGCTATTAATCTTTTTCTGGAATTCTTTGTCTTTCTCATTCAGCATTGGCGTACGCGTCTTCATTGAAGATGTTTTTCAATAGGTAATAGACTATTAAATTTTTAAACAACATCAAAGAATTTATTGATTAATAATTCTGTTATAAGTAAGGTGATGAAGAGGTGCATAAAAGGCGAGCTTCTGGGCTACCTCGAACGTCACTGCTTGATTAGCGACAGGCAGTATGCTTTCCGGCACCAACGATCCACAGGGGACCACCTCCTAGCCTACGTCTCGCAATTGTGGAGTAAACTCATCCAGTCTTATGGTGAGGCTCATGTAGTTGCTCTTGACATCACGAAAGCGTTCGATCAGCTGTGGCACGCTGCCCTTTTAAGCAAACTTCCATCCTATCGCCTCCCAGAAAACCTTTGCAGATCGGTGGCTGACTTTATCTCTAGCCGCAAGATATCCATCGTAATTGACGGGTTCTCCTCTTCATCCCATAATGTCAACGCGGGTGATCCCCAGGGTCGGTCTTGGCTCCGACACTGTTTCTCTTACATATCAACGACCTCTTTTCTTGCACGATCAACCCAATCCACAGCTTCGCTGATGACAGCACTCTACATGCAGGAATGAGTGACAAGCCGATCTCTGCCGCAGAGCTGGAAAAAAGAAGACTAGCGACGACTTCCTCTCTGACAAGAGACATGGAGGCTGTCACTGCTTGGGGACGCAACAATCTTGTACAGTTCAATGCTTCCAAAACACAGTACTGTACTTTGACGAACAAAAAGCGTCCTAGCGCTCATCCAGGTTCGATGGACGGCCGAGTTCTGCCAAAGAGCTATTCATTTCGGCTGGTCGGAGTCCAGATCACCTAGGGCCTGATCTGGCACGAACACATCTCGTCAATAGCTGCAGCTGCTGGGAAAAAGCTAGGCTATTTGTTTAGGGCTTAGAAGTACTTTTCTCGCCATGACCTTCTCACTCTATACAAGGCCCAGGTAAGGCCTAGCCTCGAGTATTACTCACAAGTTTGGGGTACTGCAGCCCCGTCTACATTATCCATGCTCGATGCTGTCCAGAGGAGGGCGGTCCGACTGATCGATGACTCTTCTTTAACGGACAGTCTCGGGTCTCTTTCGCATCGGCGGGCCGTCGGCGATCTAGCTTTTTTCTACCGCTACACCAACGGGCCTTGCTCCTCAGAGCTCTCTTCCACGATGCCGCCGCGCGATGTGCCTGCCAGACAGACCCGCCTAACTTTGGCGTCCGATCCTAACCGTGTCGAACTTCGTACGTCCAGAACTGGCCGATACGACTGCACCTTTGTCCCGAGGGTGTCGAGATTGTGGAACAATCTACAAGAGGAAGCTTTTCCCAGTTATACTAACCTTAAGCAGTTCAAAAATCTATTAACAAAATTTCTTTGGGATCGCCATAGCAGGTGCGGTGTTCCGGCATTTAGGCTTCTGCCGTTAGGTTAGGTTGTTAGGTTCACCCAAATGTGACTTTTACGACAACCTTGACAATGATCTCCAAAGTCAGGTCAAATGTTTCACGGGAGTCTTTCTTTTTTATTAACACGCTTTTATAAGCTTGCCCTGTATGTATGTATGCATGTAGGTAACGGAATTTTTGAGCATAATTTTCACCAATTACCAGACGTTTGATTAAATTCAAACTTTGCACACGTATCGAGGACCGATGACAATGCTATAATTTGATAACAGTTTTCCATTATCCTTGTTAGGACCGCTAGGATTGATAAATTCTTTTATCGATCCTCTATAGGAGAGTAAGTGAGATAGAGCTAGCGCGCGATCGACGCATGCGTGCAGTTTCGGACACTTTGTTGGCGTGGCCACTTGGCACAGCACAACGGAGGCAGATACTTTTTCAAGGTACTGCATTCTCACCTTGTTCATTCCTTATACATGCGTAGGTACTAATACGTGATTCACAAAAGGCTTCATATTCACAACAAAATGATCGGAACATAAATTTCAATCTATCTATTTTAGGGAACCAAATTTGGTAAACGCGTAAAAGCGAGGCTTTGAATTTGCAGCCGATAAAGAAGGAATTCAATGCAATCAAAGAATTTGTAATTATAAAGTCTTATTGATTAAAATACAAATAACATATATGGATTGATAAATTATTTTCTACTTTTTAGCTATAAAAGCGTGTTTTTTTAGTTTTTTATTATTTATTACACTGGAAATGGAAAAGGCAGTAAATTTACATTCTAATGTGATCCCGACCTCCGAGTCGAGGTCGTGTCAAGGTGAAATGTTATTTGAAATCAACGTCACATTCGGACGTAACACGTCCTGCTTTTCCCATTTCCGGTATTTGAACTTGAAGGTCATGGTCAAGGTCATAGAGCAAATTGTTGTCGATATTTTGATTTGACCTTGAGATGGCATCGAAGGCTATGATCAAGGTCGTGGTCAAGGTGGCATTCGGACATAATATTTCTTCCTCTTTTCCATTTGACCTTGAAATGCCCTTAAATCTCGTGGTCAAGCTCATTGTGAAGGTCACCATCATTTTTCCCCCTCCAAACCCTACCCCTAAAATTAAAACGGTACACCTTGTATCCAATCTTTGTCCTTTTTTATTATTATCAATGAACTGTCAAGATTATTCGACATTTCAGTCGTCAAAATCCAAATACCGTATTAAGCCCAATAGAGTTGTTCTGGTTGATTTGCGATGACAATTTTTATTGCCTCTTGAAGAATTCAAATTATGTGACTCATGAGGTTTTTGAAAGGAAGGAGGTTTTGATTGTATTTGAGTGTCCTAATACGGCGTAGTGCTAGACAGGTACTTAGAGAATACGTAACTCAATGCTCAAACAAAAAAAAGCAAAATGTCAGATTTTTTAGAAGAATAAAAACATCATACCCAAGCTGTGATATAAGACGATGACACAGATTTACGATGTCCCTTGAAGACATACTCTGGACTAAGTAACCCACTACCTGGGCCTCCCATGTCTTGATCTTCAATGATCTCTATAATATCTCCCTGACACTGAGTGATATATTGAAGGTTTTCTGATTTTTCTTCAGTTGATAGATCGAACTCTATAAAATGGAGATGGATTGCCGAAGATATTTTATTATTCGGATCATAGAAGTTATAGTAACATTTAAATCCACCATGGTTGGGATATCCAGGAGATGTTAGCGTCTGAATAGTATTCGTCACATTCAATTCTCTGGGACCGCATAAAGCTGAAATAAAAAGACCACTGTGTTAACTCCCTTCCTGAAGATATAGCCAACCATATACTGCAACCCTGCGTTCAAAAAGGTATCTAAAAGATTCTACCGCATATGGCAATAGCAGAAAACAGAAGTGAATTTAGATATGCAGTTTGAAAGGAGTTTTAGTGTTAGCTTCTGCTATTGTCTCATAGATGGCGCTACTACCTTCAATCCCTTCTTGGTGTTACTTTAATGCCTATTACTATTACTTAAGCTCCAGAGGCGGCACACGAGTTGAAGTACCTCTTGATGAAAAGTGCAACTTTCTCAGCATCTACTTCGCAATTAGCGGCTACGTATTTCTTGATTCCTTGAAAAAGACGGCCCACTACGCTCTTTCAAACCTTTAATTGCGTTGATCACCATTTCAATAGTTCTTAGTTTTTTTTCTCCTTTTTTGCCGACGGCTGCGTAGCTGGTGACATAGATTTCTTCAGGAGGAATACGTTAATTATTGCCTGAATGTACCCAATTAAAGCATACCTTAGAGAGCCGTCAAAAGGGATTGAGGATTCTAGCGCCATCTATCAGACACTTTTCACGCATTTTTCAAAAAGCTAGGATCTTTCAAATCACTTTTGGGTGCAGGAATACAGTGAAAGCGAAACTGATTGGAATATACATATTTGATAAGGCTACTTACGTACAACAGGTGTCAAGGTGATTGTAAATGCATTCTGAGTCATTGGATAATGAACTAAACGTATAAAAAGCATATTCTTGTAAGTAGTGTACCTCTCATTTGTAACGTTCTTACAGATTCTCTCTATCATATCAGCAATAGGACTCCCACCATCGTGAATCTGTAATAAAAAAATGTCTATTATTGAAGTAAGTAGTGAAAATTAACAAACAAATAAAGTGGCCCTATAACTGAACCCTGTAGCACCCATAAATAATAACCTGGTTTAGTAGATGAACTATTATTAAATTTCTATAAGGATACGTTGCTTAACGAATATACTTTCAAATTTTAAGAAGAAAACTCGCCTCTAGCGATGCACAACCACAGGTGTCATTTGAAATGTCACAATACTTAGGCAGCCTGACTTCAGCGACATTTATAGCGATTTGATGATCTCTTGGTGCTACAATGATCCAAGAACAGTCAATCTTTTCTAAATGTGGAGCAGTTATGGTTTTGGCTTCAGTCAGATTGATAAATCCTCCACAACCTTCTTGTGGTCCTGTAATTAAAAAATCAAAATTTTTCTAAAGAGCTAAAGGCATAAGAGTGTCTTAAGTCGTCAACAATTCTGCAACCAATCGTACAATTGCCAGAGTAGAAACTGTTATTACGAGAGATCTTGATTTGCTTGTATGCAGGGACAAAGAAAATAGAACATCCAGTAAAAATGATTTTCTAGAACCTGTTTAATTGACAGTAATACACTATTAGACTAATTTGCTTGATAATATCAAACCATGTATCTGCTTTAAAAAATAGTTAAACTGTTTATTTGATTACTACTAGGAATACTCATTTTAATAGTTCATTAATTTTAAATAAATTGGTGTAGTCAATCCAAGTAAACGGTTTTATAGATTTAATTGAACTATTGCTTTTTGATTTAATTTAACTAGTTCAAAGATTCAAGCAAAAAATCTGAGTTTAACTGAAATAATTAAGCTTGCTGTCACATTCTTGATTAAAATTTTTATTTGTTTTGGTTGAAATTATAATTAACTTTATTAAATTTTTTCTCAGTGTGGAAAGCGCTTGCAAAATGATGTTGAAAGAAACATTACTAACTAGTTTAACGGTTAGATGTCAGAGTTCTTTGATGACGTTATCCAAAAACTGGTGCCGAGAAATGACAAGTGTTCAAATATTTATGGTGACTAAAATGAAAAATGAAAAAATGTTTAGTTTGTGATAAAATTTACGTTCATAAGTTTTCTCCATTACAGAACAGATCTTACTTAAAAAATAGCACTCGTAGTGAATCAGTGAAAATTTCTACTATGAGATTCTTACCATGAGAGAAGTGAACTTCAGCCTTAAATACGACTGTGCCCCTGTACATTGGGTGACTCAACAAGTGGACTAACATAGTATTGTTTTCAGAGTGGATGGTCACATCAGAATTTATGCTTCCACAAAATTTGCCTAGTTTATTTTGCTGGATATTATTCAGACCATTGAAGATTTGGAGATTGGATATGCATCTTGAGTCAAGCTGTAACTTGACAATCCTGGAATATAGGTTTCATTGTCAATCAGAGAAAAAGTTATTTGTGTATTACAAGCGCGAGTATTTTTGCCACATTGCGAAAAGTCTGTCAATTTCGACAATGTTGTCAATTACATTCCCATGATGTTTATGGTGTATCGTATTTATGGTAATATAATGTGTATAATGAGTTCCAAAAATGATCCCCCAGTTATATTTTAAACGGGCCAAGTTAGCAAGGCTGGAACTTAGTGTTAGTGCAGTTAAATTCCAAGATGAGTACTTCATAACTCTGTAATATAAAACTGGGGATCACTTCGAGAAGCGCAAGGTATACGTTTGTATGTTCCTAATGTTACCTTAAAGCAACAATTTGTTTTGGAGGGGCAGTAATTTTCCACACACATCCATATACTGTTGGTAACCTCATGTTTATTCTGATATTGTCATAGATAGTGGATGTGTAATCAATTGCTGTTTCATTGTTTATATCGCCTCCACACTCTAAAATAAAAAAATAATCAAACCTATTTCATGCTATTGTACACAAGGTCCCTCTGAGTTCTGCCTATCGGAACCACAACAACTAACATACGTACTCATAAAATCTTCAAAACTACTAAAGGCGACAGCCTGACAAAAATCAGGTTCATTGTGTTTGATGGAATTTCCGTCACTATCTCTGTGACACAATCAATCAATAATTTCAATCATCAAAGGTAAATCTAATTAGTATTGAATATATCATATAAATAACATCGCAACTAACCTCTATCCAGGAGGTAGGTCTATCATCTATCATCAGACAGTTTGTTCGGACGACAAAAGCATCATGTTTATTTGATTTAATAGCAAGTAGACCACATCTACTATACACAAAACAAATAGCAGCTATGCTCTTTCCAAAGTGATCGATTCTGGTGATAGATGGCGCTTTGCGTATTCTTATTTCGATAGACCGTACCTACTAGATAGACGATAGTTGCGATGCTTTCGTTCGCTGTCCCAGAACCTAGAGACCAAGACTAGACCATGAAGCATGAAACAGCTGTCCATGGTAGGCTGTCTTTTGATCAAACGGACTAAATTATCATGTTTAGTTCACTCAATGGCAAGTATATCACATCTACTATACCGCCAGAATCGTCAGCCATCTAGCGGTCACATGATGACTGGGCTATTAAACGCGAACTAAGATCTTTATAGTTCCCATAAATAGCAGTTATGCGCTTTCAGCAGTAGTCGATTCTGATGATAGATGGCGCCTTGCGCTGTTTTATTTTGATCCACCGTGACTGTTGCATCGGTCTGTAACCTATGACGACGTTTAGAGCTTTCTAGCAATAGTTAGTACGGTCATATGGAGTCAGTGAGTCCAACTCAGTGGAACTAAGCGAGGTGTGTTCATCGAATAAGGTGACTTTAAATTTCGCAGAACATCTACTGTCGATATTAGTTTCCTTTATTTTCTATTATATTTGTACACCCGTCTATAGTATATGCTAACAGTTTTAGCTATTTGTTTGAGAGGGCCATAAAATTTTGCAGTTGTTTTGTATGAACGGCGATTTTCTGACGTCGACAAAAATTGATCAAGCAGCCTGAATTAAATTTTGATTATAAAATGTCTTGTGCTTCAAAACTGCTGAAATGTTGGGCATATGGTGAGTATACTCTGAAGGATGATAAGACGAGGCTCGTTCTGAATGGTTCATCACGTCAATCACTGATCAACAGCCAAAAAATATCCTAAATAAAATCAACAAAATATTACTATTTTTAATGTACTAAAACCGGAATGAAACTTATTTTTTCAATATTAGTTCAAGTTTTAGAGATACGGTAATTATATGTTTTCCTGCTGTGACAGTGTTAATATACTGCAATTCACAAGAATGCACGTGCTACATTTTTATATTCGGCAAGGAAAGATGATGTAATCGGCATGATTGTGTTACGTTATACATACGTGTACATTATATTGTTTTATATTAGCCATTTTTTCCTCAGTTGGCTGACAGCGTTCATGCAAGATGTCTCGAAAGTGTGTAAACAATCCCGATCAGTTTTGTTACGTGTGTGGTGATGTGACTTTTGCGTCTCAGAGACGGTCTATTACTCCACTAATAACAAAGGCATATCAGCTTTATTTCGGTTGTAAACTAGGTGATCAAGACAAACAGTGGGCACCCCACATCTGCTGTAATACATGTGCTTCAAGTCTGAGGAGCTGGTTAAATGGCAAAAAACGGTCTATGCGCTTTGCTGTCCCAATGGTTTGGAGAGAGCCTACAAATCATATTAATGATTGTTACTTTTGCATGGTACCTTGTGTTGGACAAACCACAGGTATGTCCAAGAAAAAAAAATCGGTTATTAACTACCCAAACATACCATCTGCGATGAGACCTGTGCCTCACAGTGACGAAAATCGTATTCCAAAACCCCCATAACCCTACACTTGCGAATCAGAAAACGAATCAGATCATGGCGATCGAGTGATTCGTCAGGAAAAAGATATGTCATCCACGTCAAGAGATCCTGATTTTATACCGAGCACGTCATGCCACCAACCGTACAAAATAACACAGTCAGAATTAAATGATCTTGTAAGAGATTTAGAACTTCCAAAATGTAAGGCAGAGTTACTTGGATCAAGACTGCAGCAGTGGAACATGTTACAAGACGATATTTCGATATGTGTTTTTCGTAAACGCCACAAAGACTTAGAACCATTTTTCAATATGGAGAATAACTTGGTTTTCTGCAGTAACATTAACGGCTTACTGGCGGCTTTAAATATAAACTATAACCCAGAAGAATGGAGATTGTTTATAGACAGTTCAACATTGAGTTTAAAGGCAGTGTTATTGCATATTGGAAATATTTTACCATCTCTTCCTGTAGGGTATGCAGTTCACATGAAAGAATCATATGACAATATGAAGTACCTATTAACATGCATAAAATACGATGAGCACCAATGGCATATTTGTGGCGATTTGAAAGTTGTTGCACTTTTACTTGGGCTGCAGCTAGGCTACACAAAGTTTTGCTGTTTTTTGTGTGAATGGGACAGTCGGGCAAAGGCACTTCATTACACCAGACAAAACTGGCCTGTTCGTCAATTCCTAGAGCCAGGTCAAAAAAATGTACAGCATATGCCATTAGTAGATTCGAAAAAAATTTTATTACCACCACTGCATATCAAGTTGGGCCTAATGAAAAACTTTGTCAAGGCATTAGATAGAGATGGGTCAGCTTTTCAATACCTGCGTCAGAAATTTCCAAGACTAAGTGAGGCAAAGGTTAAAGAAGGTATTTTTGTTGGGCCACAGATTCGAAATATTTTGAAAGATACACAGTTTGAAAACACTTTAACAGGTATTGAAAAAACTGCTTGGAATGATTTCCGTCTGGTGGTCACTAATTTCTTGGCAAATAGAAAAGCTGACAACTATAAAACCCTTGTCAAAAATATGCTGTCATCGTATCAAAAGATGGGCTGTAATATGTCTCTTAAGATACATTTCCTACACTCACACCTGGACTTTTTTCCTGACAATTGCGGAGCCGTAAGTGATGAGCACGGCGAACGTTTTCATCAGGATATTTCAACAATGGAAAAAAGGTACCAGGGAAAGTGGAATCCTTCCATGCTTGCAGACTACTTGTAGAGATGTTCCAGAAAAGATCCATAAAAGAACAGCAAAAAGACAGCGCATATAGTGATTCTTATAAGTATATTAATCTTGTTACTTTTTTTAATATATCCTTAAAAATAAAAAAAAATTTTTTTCTAAACCGCAACTAATTTTTTTTATTTCATTGTCATTTTGGGATTCAGCGCCCCAAAATTAACAAAGAAGTGCACTTTTCCCACAAGATACAATTAAAAAACTAAAATTTGTTGTCCAGTAATTGATGATAATTGCTGATGATCTTAGCATCCCGTATGCCTTGTGCCAAGGATTCTTAATGGTTCACAATTTCCACAAAAATCTTGTTACACATGCTGTAAAAAGAACTAATTTTCAACATAGATTTTCATTAAATGTAATGATACATGATTTATTATGGTAAGCAATTAAAGAAAATGGATCCAAGAATGGAAACGCAGTCACCTTACTTTTTGATCGCACCTCGTATGTCTACTGCCTATCCGCTAGGGAACTCCTCAGTTACCCTATATAGCTTCAGTCTACCACTCGTATTGCAGCTGGGCACTGTCAGCTAAGGAAACATCTTTATAATATGAAACAAAGCGGCACATCTATGTGATAAGATCCAGATGGGATAATTGAGCACTTGCTTTGTGACCTTCCAGCTGTTATATAGTATTACCACCTTCTTGAATAGTTATGGCGAATGATGCAAGACTGAGAAACCCTTGAGGCGTACAAGTGGCTCAGTGGGGCCCAAGTATCAGTTAGAAGTCTGAATTTGAATCATACAGGAAATTTATAGGATATATCTGGAAGGAAATTACATATACTTACCCTCAGAAGTATACATCAACTTGAAACCTTTTCCATTCACAAATTTATCTGTTTTAAGCTTAATAATCGCAGTACCAGTCATAGTTATAGGTGGGGGTACATTACTACCACAATATGTTTGTTCAGACAAGTAGTAAGGATGTTTTCGAGCAATTGTCAAATTATCAAATTCACATATTGAACCTGAAAATAAACCATTATTAAATTATTTGACCGCTTGTTTCGTAGAGCAATTGGTTCGCGACACTTCCTTAACGATCTGATAGAGCAGGTCAAGCTCTATACAGGGTATTTCCAAATTGAATGACAATTTTGACTCCATTTCCAAACTTCATATGAACGTACTCCTAAAGGTTCTAACCTTTGAAATACAGGGTGGTATAGTTTCCAATATAGAAAGCCAGTGACAAAAAATATTGAAATCTGTATTCAGTTATGAGCAGATTTGGTCTCTTGATATTATCGATATTGTTGTGATCATGAAGAAAAACGGTTTTTATCTTTTAAACGAAAACCGCGCATCAGATTGAAAAAATCAGACCATCAGATTTGCTTGGAATCTATTGGAGTTCACAAGAATAATTTTAATTCCAAATGAAATCGGCGTACCTTCAATGCCTGCCAAAAGAGGCAGGAGAATTAGTAGTACATGTACATGTACGCCAAATTTCATTAAAATATCCGAGTGGGTACTAGCAGAAATATTATTATAGTAGAAATCACATATCTTTTTATTCACGTCACAAAAAGCCACGATTTGTGGTCGACTTACGTAAAATGGCAAGTCATAAATTTAATGTGCTAGAAAATGAAGAAGATATATTAGCATGTCTCACCAACTACAAATATGTCTACATGGTTGCCGCTTATGCACAGGGTTATTTTGTCGAATTCGCAAGTTTACGGCATAACGTAAATAATATCATATCGTCATTTTGACGTTCAACTATGAGGTTAAAAATACCACAATACAGGAAACATGATATTAGGATACCACAGGATGTTTCTCATTTGACATGACAGTTCATATTGTCAAAGCCTATCTTCTGTAATGTGTTCCGCAGTATTTCAATATCGACTTATCTCCGACTTACCTCAATAAGTAATTTTTCCGTCACTCTCAACTTAATGCTATGCAGAGAGAATGAGAAAGATGACGAATGCTGAGAATTCCTACAACATACCAATTTTGAAAATGTATGGCATCACTGTTGATTTGAAGCCTATGACGTGCATTAAAAGTTATGTGACTCGAACTATATATTAATTTATTTAAAAAAAACTTCACCACCCTGTATCTCAAAATTTAAAATGGTCAGGACATACGTTCATATGAAATTTTCTCATCAAAATGCACCCTCTCAAGTATTGACATATAATTAGGAATCACCCTGTATATCGAGAACAATTCACCAGAAGAAGCTTCCACCAATTCTACTAAACTTAGTTGTCTAATGAAGGTACCAACCTGTGCCCGGTTCCAGATCGAAATCTAAAAACTTGATATGGAAGATGTTGGATGGAGAAGTGACTTCGTAAACACAATTTTGACTCGGTTCGGTTGCGACAGGATATCCAGGACTAACAATATATCTAGGTTTTTTGGATGCTACGAAGTTTCCACCGCATTCCCAATCTGCTCTACCCTGAAAATTATTCACGATAAAACAGACAGAAACAGTTCCTTAACTGAATGTTCCAAAATACTAAACGAATTTTTGGCTAGTAAAAAAATTTTTATTTTGGGACAGTCGAAAACATTCAAATGGCTGTAACTGACCAGATGGAGACTATTCCAATACCGGAGTTCCAGCACTGCTATGAGGAGTGCAAGAACCATCTCCAGCACTGAGTGGCTTCAGAAGGAAGTTATTTTGCGGTTGACAATATAAAATTGTAATTATATTTGAAAAAAAAAATCAAAAAGTCAGACTCATCACTTAATTTACAGACCTCGTAGACTTCGATGTCATCTTAGAATAACTTAACTACTTCGTCACGAAATAGTGCAACTTTTTACGTAGCCAGCCCTAGGACTGTGACATACTTAAGTTTTCCCCTATCTATACAGGGTATAAAGTTAGTAGTGGATCAACGGAAGTCAGGTAATGTGTGTGATTTTTTTTGAGATGAGCTAAATCGTTAGTTCCAGCAATGATTGTCACTGTTTAACAGAGCTTATTAGAAATCAACACAAAAAATCTTAAATTAATTTTTTGGTAAATAATCTCTTCCATCCCTCAACTTTGGAGGGCGATAAAAGAAATTGAGGTTGTATTTAATTATCCATTTCAAACACAGTTGTTTCTAAAAACAAAAGTCCTAACTTTTAAGCTACCATGTATTAATGTTACTCTACCGGAAGGCTCTAAAACTTCTGAATGACAATCAGTTCAATATTTTACATTATTTTGATACACCCTGTATATTTTTCCCAATTTACATGATTGACCTTCCTGTACATTACCTTGAAACCTGCTGCAGTTACTCTATCGTTACTCCTGAAAATTAATTTGAGCCGATCCGATTTGGATTTTATTACATGCGGGGTCGCTCTACCGCAGAGTTTCTTCTGAAGAGACCATACTTCTTCGTCCCAATCCCACACCTAAAAATAATTTTAAAACAAATACCTCAGTAGGTAGTGCCAAAGTAGCCGTGTCGACTAACCGCGATACATCTGGCATTCTTTTCAAATTGTTTTCAACTACTTCTGCCATACTAACTGAATTAAGCAAGAATTACTGCAAGATTAACGTGTGTTTCGGCTCTAATACATAATCCACCAGCTATTGCTATTATGTATCCGTGGAAGAAAGAGACCAAACCTAAACATATTCACGTATGCTCCACGTGATCGCGCTCCAGAACGCCGAGCACGTTACAGGGCCGTACTAAAAATAAATTATTTGTGGTTCTACCACACGATCTAAAGGGGTGCAAAATTATTGCAGGCACGTATAGGGTTCAAACGTAAAGCTTGGAATTAATGTATTTTTTTAATTTAACTGTCATGGCCAAAAAGAAAACAACTGTCTATTGTTGTTTTTAGTGGAAGTGTTTTATCAAGAAATTATGCTCGAAATGTGTCGTAAGGCGCATTTATAAAGCAGGCTTTTAAAAAATGTCTTGACACATACCTAACCACCTCTTGAACAGGAACGTCAGAGTGCAAACAGTTAATTTCAATATTAGACTAAAAAATGAATAGATAGGTGGAGTTGAAAGAAAAAGGATTTGAATACATAAATATTAAATATCATAAAAAAATTTATTGTACTGACATTTTACCTCTAAAACCGGAAATACATATATTTGAAAATGAAAATTCTAGATCTGAGGCCGTGTAACTCTCACTGTCATCAAGACTTATGATTGAAGGGGCAACGTGAGTATCAATGATACCGTCTAATTCCCACATTTTAGGTTCGACCTTTTCTTTTACATGCTGATACATTTTCCCACTTATTCGGTGTTATTCTTTGTATAGCATCATGAAAACTATTTTTAAGGTCAGAAAATTTAAAACATTTAGTTTCTGCTGCAACATATTCTTTTATGTCTGCCCAAATGAGCTCAGTCGGATTGAGCTCACAATGGTAAGGAGGCTGTCGTATTTTGTTTTTTGCCATTTCATCAATTATGTTCAGGTTATATTTATTTTTTGACAATTTGTAATAATTCTGCCTTAACCGTTGTATCGTCATAATCAATCTTTTTATTTTGAAGCCATCCTTGAATTTCTGATTTTTTTTGTTGACGTTGTTGGAATTTTCTCTAATTTTCTCATGTGGAATGAAGCATTATCTAATACTTTAACCGAATTATCTTCAAGCTTCGGTAGAGTATTTGAGAACCAATTTTCGAACGAGGCTCCATCCATTTCATCATGGTAGTCTCCCGTTTTTTTTTTGATTCAAATGCCCATAAAGCATCGGACACAAATCCATCTTCATTACCGATGTGGCAAAGTATCAAATCGCTTACCTTTTCGCAAAAATAGTTCATTTTGGACACTTTAAAACCGCTCCCATTGAAAGCATTAAAAACCCAACAAAATGATTGCTTGATTTCTTATCTCGATATAGTTTAAGCATGAACGAAAACAAAAATAAAATATAATTTTAGTTGAAATTCCTCGTCTTACAAGCATTGAAAAATATGTAGGTGTCAGCTTTGCAAACAATGTTCTGAACACTTGAGTCACTCTTTCCTTGCATGTCGTATTTATAAATGTTGATAATTATTTGTTTTCCGCTAACGCCAAAATGAAGCCTTTTAGCTCTTTTTTTAGGCGGTGTGCAGCTAATATCAACAACTTCATCAGCTGTATCCGTATCATTAATTTTGAGTTCTACGAAATTAAACTGACAAATCTAATAAGCACACAGTAATACCAGTATAAATCAGATGCCAACTCTGTACTAGACGGCCAGCCACCGGGGCAGCCTGCATGCACGGTCGTATCGTCTCCCACTCCACCCTCTGGTTTGTCATTGGTTTTCTGTAAGGGCTCGACCTATTTTGCCCAATAACAGTTATGCTCCCTCTCTCTTGAAATATATCAGAGTACTGATCACGCAATAATCACGCGATGGTCACTGTTTTGGTTTAGTCTCTTTCTTCGATACATACATGATAGTTCCATTTCTAGACATAACGTGTATCACCTTGACGTACTTCTAAATAGTCTTTTTCACAATTTTCACTCTCTTCTATGTAGAATCTTCCCTGGAATTGAAAGGCGATGTGGTAACCTGTTGTAGCTCGAAATTCCCACAGACATTCGGCATTATTTGGATAATCTTTGCTGCCATAGTTCGGTGTTTGGATTATCCGGGATCTATCATGTAAAATACCTCCACAACCTTAAACAAATCAGATCGTTTGAGTTTTTAGTTAAGATGAGACGGTTAAGCACTTTGCTAGCTCGTATCACCACCTCCTTTTAATAGTTTGGAGCAACAGATACAGAGCAGAGAAAGTACTTAAGGCTGAAAGTTTTCTACACACACATAGTTCTTGTGAAAGCAAATAGATCTTCCTGGTAACACATACAACAAAGTATGTTTTAACTAAACCCAGATATTCTATTTTGAAAAATATGTGTTCAAATACGGCCCTATCTGATTAGGTGAAAACATATGACAGGCGCCAGTAACCAACCCATCGTGTAGTCAAAGCTAGCTGTTTGTTCATATTTCAGATTTCGAAAAACTAAAAATGCCGCTCTCCTATAGCAATAACCAACTTGTCAATACGATGTTTTGATGTCTTCAAGATGCTGCTAGGTTTCACGAGTGTATTCAGCTCGTTTTCCTAGATGTTTCCATCCTGTGCGTCGTGACAGGACCGTACTTGAGATTTTTATCAACTGAACGTCTATTACGGTGGGTGCACAATGGAGGACCATGCTCTTTTTGAAGCCAATTATTGAATAGTCGTAGACTTCGGTCGTCGACGTTAAAATTGTACTACGAGCTGATAGCAAAACTTACGCTTTCAAGTAAATAAACTATAATTTTCTTTAAATTTGTTTGATTTTTAAGTATTTGTTATGGTACTAAGATAATTATTACTTTATTTCCATTTGGTTAAAATATCGGTAGTGTTCTTAGGAAGGCCAATGGCTCCTTGTAAAACCGATAAAAAATTGACATTTGGCCTTGCTAGGGTGCAAGAGTCCTTTTAGGAACACCTAAGAGTCGTAAAAATATTAATACTCAGGTTTTAGTTGTAAGGGAACATCGGGTATATTTTGTAATGGTTTTTAAATTATATCACCCCAATATTTACTGAATTGTAGATTTCTGACGTAATCTGGAAAACGTTCGTTTTTTATGAAGGCAATAAAAAATGTTTTATAAGTTACATAACAAAACGAAGTGTTAATAATTTGTTTCATTTATCTAGTAATTAAATGAATAATAACCTTCCATGGTCCACCCACCTCACTTTCATCGATGTAAACTTTTTTAATTCTTCTGTGGTATTTCACCGCACAGTATCTTTGCTATTTCAAGCATAGTTGATTCTAAAAAGATGAGTCTCAACATTGGAATACCCTGTAATATAATTCACTATTTAGTATCCATACCTGTACTTGAAGCTTCGTACTTCATATGTACGCCTTTGCCCGTTGACCCTTTCTCGAATTTATACTCTATAAACAACTGATTGCTCTGTGAAATAACATTAAGCGGATGCTCAAGCTTTCTACATGTTTTTGATATCCTGGGTTTGATTTGTGATCCTCCATTATAAATGGAAAGGAAGGTTTTTTCACAATCATCTGACAAGTCTAGATCGATGACTGTGAGATTGATTGTTTGCCCTTTTCCTACTTCTATTAACCAAGCACATTCTGCTGTGTCAGTTGGGGCATTGGGATAGCTTGGAGTCCTGATTTCCCCTTGCTGATCTGTTACTAGACCACCACAGTTGTGAATCCGGTATACAACTGTAAAGTTCATGCTGTGAGAGTCTCTTATACCAGCCTGAAAATTGTAAATCAATAAAATCATTCAAAATATGATGAGAAATATGTCAATAGTCAGGTATGCCTGTTTCGTGAAAAACCGCAGGTTGCCCTTTCAAAATTCGCACATTTTTTGTGCGAATAAACTTTTTATACTAGTTTTTGCAGATTGATTAAAAGAAAAAACGCCAAGACACGTCAAAAGTTTTGTCAAGGGCGACAAATGGTAACCCAAAACTACATCCCCCTTTTACCCTCGGCCCATCAGGGTCATTCCCTTAGAAATTTCAAACGACAAGGGGTATCGAGTAATAGCTTCTGTGAAAGGTCTTTCGTAGTCCTTTATTCTGACGTTTGATCTTTTAAAATCAGTCGATTCTTTTTCGAGAAAATTAGAAAAATCTTTATTTATCTTAATTTGTTCAGATAGAAAACAAAAACACACGAAAATATCACTTTTTATTTCAATATGTGTTCAAAATGTTGCCCGTCAGGACTTTCCAAATCTACAATTCGTTTATAATTAAAAACTACCAACATAAACAGCAATTCGGAAGATTAGACGTGGCAACAGCCAAATCACAACCCGAATTTTTTCCACATTCTCTTCATCAACACAGATATCCTGGGCGAACTGTATTTATTGTTGTTTAGTTATTTGTTGCTAAGGGAAACAAAGAATTTAAGTTGCTGTCACTTATAGTGAAAATTAATTTACTGATTCAGATTTTACTTCCAAAATGGTTTGCACACAAGCCTAAAGAGTGGAATTGATTCTAACTTATGGTGCCCAAAATCAATGTGTTCGGCAAACTGTCGTCACGTGTAACGCCTCACATCCGGGGAAGATAACTTCGCATATGTATCTTTTGGATCTTGTTACTAAATTTAACCAAACTGGATACATTGCAAATAAAAAACGTGGTCATCGGAGAGTTTTGAATGAACCCGCTCAAGACGAAAAATAATCCGATCCATTTTAGAAAAATTAGTTGCGCTTATACCCATCATTTGCCAGGCTGTAATTAAAAGTAAAGGAGGACATATTCATGAGTCAAATGATTATTTTGATTATAAATAGTTGTAGGTATGCTAGTAAGAATTAAGAAAATAAGTGTTTCGTACAGATACTGTAATATTTTCCTTAACTTCCATCAGTTTCCTTGTTTTCTAGGTGTTCAAATACTTTTGAACGGTAGTATAATGCCATATAACATCCAGAAAACATAATCGAAGATTTTCGCGATTTCAATACTTCTATGCCTGTAGGGTACAGGATGGGGTAAACGGAGTAATGGTTTTAGTATAATGTTCCAGACGTTGGCTGCGAAATGAGGAGATCTAAATCTAATTAATATTTGACCACCGCAGTTTCCAGCTAAAAGAATCCCTAAAGAAGAAAATAAACTAGTCCGAAACGTCGGCAACTGAAACAAGAGGCTGTGTTTCTTTTGGATCCCAAATCCAATTAGACGAAGGGCCATCAGTTATTTTTTTAAGTTGATATTATTTTGACAGTTGGTAACACTTCCATGCTCAACATATTGTGTCAAGCTTCGGCTGTGAGTAATGGATCGTTTTAATCTTGAACAAAGGTGGAAAATAGTGAAAAACTGTTTTCAAAGTGAGTGAGTGTTGCAGAAACTTTGCGAAATTGAAGCGGAATGAAGCTCCGTCTGCGACAGGTATACGAAAATTCGAGAAGATGTTCGTGAAAGTGGTGTGCTTGTGGATAACCAAAGGTATGAGCGTGTTAGACCCGTACATTCAGCCGATTTCTGCTGTTGTCTAGAGTGTGCGTGAAAACGCAAGAAGGTCCACTCTTCGCAGATCACAACAAGTGGGCATCGCACTTCTTTGCGGAAAATATTGCATAACGACCTGGGATTATTTCCTTGCAAGGTACAACTTGTGCAAGAGTTGACACAAAATGACCATCCGCTTCGATATCGTTTCTCTGTGCAGGCTCTAAATCAATTAGAAACAGACGTCAATTTTGGTCGCCAAATCATCTTTTCGGACGAAGCCCATTTCTATCTGGGAGGTTACGTTAACAAGCAGAACTGTAGGATTTGAGGTTTTGAAAATCTACATGTCGTCATAGAAAAACCAATGCATCCAAAAAGAGTAACTGTTTGGAGTGGTGGGATTATTGGTCCCTACTTTTTTCAAGATGAAGATGGTAACAGCGTGACAGTAAACGAGTGCCTTTAGGCAGCAGCGGTGGCTCTTCGGTCTCCTGATCAGTCGCCGTGCGCTGTGCGGGTTCGAGTCCCGTCCCAGGAGAAATTTTTCTCTTGGCTATGGATGTTGTGATTGTCCGTAGGTGGTAGACGGTCACTGACTGTCGAACGCGGAGGTACCACCCGGCGGATCTCGTAGGCGGAGCCAGAATGTGTGCATGTTGCATGCACACGTGTTCCCTCGCCAAAGTCCGTGTGGCGTTCCCCCTTTCCCATGTATCCCCCTATAGCCCCACGGTACCCAATGGGTGCTTAGGCTTTAGGCCTTCGTGGTAGTTGTAGTATAAAAAAAAAGAAACGCTATAGAGACATGTTGAGGAGTTTTTTGTGGCCACTATCAGACGGCACTTGAACAATCTCTGGTTCCAGCAGGATGGCGTAACATGCCACACCAGCCGTGAAACAATCGATCTTTTACACACCAAGTACGGTCATCGCGTTATCAGCCGTTTTGGAGACGTTCATTGGCCAGACCGCAGCTGTGATTTGACGCCAATGGATTACTTCCTATGTTAAAGACCGCTGGTACACTAACGATCCTCAAACAATTGATGTTCTCAAGGAAAATATCCGTCGAGCTACTGATGAAATAGACCTGCAAACTATCAAAAATGTGCTTCAAAATTGGGTTAAGAGAATGGACTACTGCCAGTCCAGCCGTGGCAGCCATTTAACTGAAATTGTTTTTCATAAGTAATCGGAAGGTGTATTCTTTTGAATAAAGTATCGAATGTTACATATTATTGAAGAGTATAGTTTTAATACTAATTTAAAAAAGGAACCAATGGATGGCCCACCCTGTATTTGGCAAAAAAGCTGGCTCTTCAGAGTTTTCATCGTAAAGACCGTTTTCAAAATAAAAATTATTTTATTAACTACATCAATTTGTTATCGGTATTTAAGAAATAGTGTTAGTAATAAAGCCATATAAATGGTCAAAGTTCAGTCTATTAGCTACCATATAGAATAAGAGCGCTGATGTGTTTATCAAAAATTAATGTTTATCATTATTTTATATTTGATTTAGCAGAATTTTTAAGTGATTAGGAGTTTTATTGTAAAACCGAAATATGTTTTAGTGATACTTATCTTTGCAAAAACTAATAAACTACAATTTTTTGCTAAATGGCATCTAAAGGGTTTGAGTTTCCACATTACAAATTAAATTTATTTTGAAACGCTACTGAATTTGTCAACGACAACTTGCCATTTATAACGTCAAAATATAAACAAAACAGCCATGGATCAATATACGACCGAACAACGTGTTAAAATTATCCAAGCCTATAATGAAAACGGCCGATCAAGGAAGAATACATTTCGTGCTTTACGTGAATTTTTGGCGCACAAAATCGGCCTTGTGAGAGGACAATTTGGAATTTGGTGCAAAAATTCTAGCAAACTGGATCCGTCGCTAACATCAAAACCCCTAGGGATGCTCGTAGAGGTCTGTCGGAACACAACATTGCTATTGTTGCTGAAAATGTGGCCGAAAATCCAAGAACATCGATCGCAACAACTGGACCCTACCTATTCCACTACACAGCTGATTTTAACAAAATATTTGAAGTTACACCCATACAGAGTCCAAATAACACAGGAATTAAAGCCTAAAGATCATCAACAGTGTGTTTACTGAATGGATAAGAGAACAAGGGATAAATTTTCCAATGAAAATAATCTTTAGCGGTGAGGCACATCGGGGGCTTCGTAAGCACTCACAATTGCCGTATTTGGAAATTGGTGACTGTTTGGTGTACCTTTTGGTCCGGAGGCGTAATTGGTCCATTTTTTTTTTGTAAGATCATGCGGAGAACGCTATTACGGTTAATAGCGTTCGCTATCGGAACATGACTGAGTTTTTCTGGTAACGGCGATATCAACAGGCCGCCGCGATCCTGTGGCTTAACTCCCTTAGATTATTTTCTTTGGGGGTTTCTCAAGAGCAAAGTCTACAAGAATAACCCGAACACAATTACGGAGCTAAAACAGGAGATCAGACGCGAAATTACTAACATAAGACCTGATTTGTGCAACAGAGTAGTCGAAAATTTCTCGAAACGGATTACTTCATGCCACATGAGCCGCGGCGGTAATTTATTTGATATCATCTTTCATGCATAATTGTAATGAACTACCCTGAAAGAGCAAATACATATTTTTTATAATTTTCAATTTCTTCTTTTTTTTAAATACTTTTAATGTGGAAACTGAATTTGAATCACACATTATAATGGAATTTTTAGATCCATATTTATACGAATTTTTTTCTTTACATGCTATGTCTGCCCTAAAACATTCTCTCACATAACGTAGACTGCAACAGAGTATCTTAGTTTGTAAGATAGTGGAATACATTTTTAGTTTTAACTGTGAATTCTACAACATAGATTTTTCAAATGAGCGCATCCGCGACAGCGAGTATATTCGGAGACCAACAGCCTAGAGAACCTAACCAGTTAGTCTACAGCACCAGCTGTCAACTAACTTGGATTACTTCCTATAGAGTACTGTTAAGGACCGCTGTTACACTAACGAACCTCAAACAATGGATGTTCTTAAGGAAAATATCTGTCGAACTATTGATGAAATAGATCCACAAACTATCGAAAATGTGCTTCAAAATTGGGTTAAGAGGATGGACTACTGCCAGGCCAGTCGCGGCAGCCATTTAACTGAAATTGTTTTTCATAAGTAATCGGAAGGTGTATTCTTTTGAATAAAGTATCAACTGTTACATATTATTGAAGAGTGTAGTTTTAATACCAATTTAAAAATAGCAACCACCCTTTAGAAGGAATTCAAAATAAATTTCAATCTGTCAGTTGTAGTTACGTAGTGAGACTGCCCTACCTCTAAAGTCAGTGTCGGAAACGGCGATCGTATTATCAGTGGTGCCGGTGTAGTGTAGCAAATTTTCAGAAGAGGGCTCATTTTTGATTTTTGAGTCACTCTGATGCCGTCTGCACCAAATGAACAGACACGATTAGATTCTTTTGCTTTAGGATCATAAATCGCTGAAATTGACAGTGACAATGTCTTGTTCAATGTGACCTCATTGTGGTACACCCAGGTGCAAAAATAAGAGTGGTTTCTAACGGTAGGCGTCTGGATAATGCCACTTTGCCCGATGAATCCACCGGAACAGACTGAAAAAGATAAAGGTAATCTTGAAAATTGTTCTCAAAGTTGAGTCATTTATTTAAACTGCTGGTAGGACTCGTTAAAAAATCACCTATACAGGGTGCCCGCAATGTTGGGGTTTTCCTTTACACGACGTGTAGATCTTGAAAACATAAGCAATTTTTCTTAGTACCATATACACCAATGTCTTAAGGGAACCGAGATAAAGGGCTCTGCAATATCAAAAATATCTGAATACCGTCCTGTAGCCGCGACCCGCGATATCTCAGACTGGTACCGGCTACTAGCTGAACCCGACGACAGAACTGGGTCGGGGGTCGGGGTCAGTGTGTCAGGTCAGTATGCAACCTTCAACCGACGGTAAAGGGTCACGCGTATAGAGGTAACGAACCCGTATAATCGATTGCGTTTCAAAAAAAAAATAATAATAATAATGGCACACTCATACACCAATAATGAACTCGTTGATATGTTGTTAATTTATGGCGAATGTCTTCAAAATGATACAGAATCGTCGCGAGTGTATGCAGATCGGTTCCTTAGACGACATCATCCAAGGCCCCGCAGATTTGTGTACCTGGTCCAGAGAGTCAGAGATACGGGCCATTTGGAGGAATTTCGAGGTGGGCACAGTGGGAGGCCTAGACAACCACGAATGGTGCAAGTTGAGGGAGAACTACCGAATCGTGTAGACGAGAATCCCTCAACAAGCACTAGAGACGTAGCTACAGACGTGCAAGTATCAAAAACTAAAGTGTGGCAAACGTCCAACGTGTACAAGCCCTTCAACCTGACGATTTTCCAGCAAGAGTGCGGTTTTGTGAGTGGTTGTTGCATCAACATGACAATAATCCGGACTTTTTGAAGTGCATATTGATGACAGACGAATCTACGTTCACGCGTAATGGGGTGAATAACTTTCGATTTCAGGCAGAGACGTACTTAGCCCTTCTCGTCAACTGGAGAGTGAGTACTTTTTCCTTTATTTTTTTTTACTTGGTCGCCCTCGTTTCACTACACATTACCTTTTTTATTTCAAGGGTAGTTGTTTCTGAAAAGGAAAACCCCAACTTTGCGGACACCCTGTATAAAAGTTGCATAATAAAAGAAATAGTGAAAGATTAAAAATTTTAAAAAATAAGTTTTTACACAGATTTTTTGATATTCTGCCGTGTAAAATCTTAGCGTTTTTTGTTTGCTACTATTACCGTTTATCTAAATTTGGCAAACTTCTTGTGTTATTCTATGGTTTTCAGTACAAGTCCTTTGGTTCGATCAGTTGTATCAGTCTTTTAATAGTGCGTATACTTTCATTTGTCTGATTATTTTGTGACCCATGTTTAGGAAAACAATGAACTATTATGTATGCATCGAAGAGACTAAACCAAAACAGTGATCATCGCGTGATCAGCACACTGATATATTTCAAGAGATAACTGTTATTGGTCAGAATAGGGCGAGCCGTTGCACAGAACCAATGGCAAACCGGAGGGTGGAGTGGGAGACGATACGAACATGCATGCAGCCTGGCCCGGTGGCCGGACGTTAATGCTATACACGGTGGCGCATCGAAAACGAAACAAACGCATTTACTGGCAGCTCATTTTTTTTGGAAAAACGCTCAGACACGTCAATTTTATTTTCGAGGGGGACACAAGTTTGGCAAAAAATCACGTTAACACGTGCAGCCCCCTCGGCGGGAGTGACACCAACCCTAAAATCTTAAATGGAAAGGGGGGTCGAGTGATACCTTATTTTAAAGACCTTTCAATTCCCTTTATAATGATGTAAAATATATGAGCTTCAGTTCAGTAGTTTTGAAGGTTTATTGATTTAAAGCTTAAAGTAGACTTTAATAGGTACATCAAATTAGTTAGTACTACTTTCAGAAGAAATTTGACTAAAAGAATTTACTTAATAAGTAAATGCTTTTCTTCACTACGCCCATGATTTGTTTATCATTTTGTTGTTGAAAATAGCGATTCGAGCGTTTTTTTTTTTGTGGCAAAAAAAGTTATTTCTTGAAGAAAGATTTGACCAAACTTTGTTGCTAAAATAACTTGTAACGCTGTATTACATAAATTACCCAGGGTATATTCCACAGCAGAAAGAGTTGAAATTATCGAAATATTTTTCGGAAATAATCAGTGCGCTATAAGAACAGCAGAAATATTTAATGAGCGACATGAGAACAGTAACGTGCATCGAAAATATGTTCTAGAACTTGTAGCTAAATCGGGAAACTGGGTCAGTCGCCAATAAAAAACGCAACATTGAAAATCCCATAAGGAACGAAGCAATAGAAGTGGGGGTTTTAGGGCAAGTTTATGTAGATCCTACGTTGAGTATACGCAAATTGCAGACTTTGTGTGGTGTTAGTCGACATACAGTCCAACGGATTATAAAGTTTTCATCCGTATAAAATTCACCTGGTGCAAGAACTTAATGAAGACGATTTTGATCGGCGATTACAATTTTGTGAAGATATAAGTCAACGAATTATAAACGATGAACATTTTCTATTCAACACTTGCTTTTCCGACGAATGTTCTTTTTTCTTGAATGGCGTAGTAAATCGTCATAACTGCCGATATTGGTCAGATTCTAATCCCAGAATTTATCATGAGGTTCATACACAGCAGTCACAAAAATTAAATGTTTGAGCTGGTATTTTTGGCGATCATTTAGTTGATCCTTTTTTCTTATCTGGAAATTTGACCGGTGAAATGTATTTGGAATTACTGGAAGACGCCATAGATCCTGCATTAACAGCGATAATTGAAAATCAGAATGATCGGCGGTACATTGCGAATAGGTTGATGTTTTAACAGGATGGTGCCCCACCACATTACGCATTACGTCTTCGACAATATTTAGATCAGACGTTTCCAGATCGATGGATTGGTAGAAGAGGTGCCATTGAATGGCCCCCAAGATCGCCAGATTTATCACCTTTGGATTTATTTATGTGGAGTCATTTAAAAAGCAACATCTATGCTACTCAGCCAACATCATTAGAAGACCTACGACAAAGAATTGTGAATGGGTGCCTTCAAATTACTGCTCAAATATTGCAAAATGTGCGGCAACGTTTTGACCAAAATCTTTATTATTGCACGGAGAGTCATGGTGGCCATTTTCAACATTTACTTGCCTAACGGGTCAGTTCATTCTTTATTTTTAAATTACTTTGCTGCCAAATGTATTGATCGCCCAGGATGATGTATCAGTTTTATTTAAGCTTTAAATCAATAAATCTTCAAAACTACTGAACTGAAGTACATTAATTTTATATCATTATAAAGGGAATTGAAAGACCTTTAAAATAAGGTATCACTCGACCCCCCTTTCCATTTAAGATTTTAGGGTTGCTGTCACCCCCGCCCAAGGGGCTGCACGTGTTAACGTGATTTTTTGTCATACTTGTGTCCCCCTCGAAAACAAAATCCACGGGTCTGAGCGTTTTTCAAAAAAAAACTAAGCTGACATTAAATGCGTCTGTTTCGTTTTCGATGCGCCACCCTGTATATTTATACAGTACAGAGTTGGCATCAGATTTATACTGGTATTACTGTGTGCTTATTAGATTTGTCAGTTTAATTTCGTAGAACTCAATGTCTGATACGTATACAGCTGATGGCGTTGTTGATATTAGCTGCACACCGCCTAAAAAAAGAGCTAAAGTCTTCATTTTAGCGTTAGCGAAAAACAAATAGTTCTCAACATTTATAAACACGAAATGCAAGGAAGGAGTGACTCAAGTGTTCAGGACATTGTTTGCAAAGTAGCAAGTATTTCGGGCGTTAGTCGTGCAAGTGTTTACCGAATTGTTCGGGAGTACAGATCTAACCATTCAGTGGTCGACCCAAAAAAGTATCCATCAAGAAGAAAAATCAATGATGCCATATATGACTACGACAGAACCGCCTTATGGAGAATTGTACACTTTTTTTTCATTCGTAATGAATCACCAACGGTGGATAGAGTTTTGAAGCTGGTTAACGAGGATAATGACTTGCCAAGTTTCAACAGATCTACCTTCCATAAATTATTAAAAGAAATGAAGTTTCAATACAAAAAGCGGGGAAGAAACAGTCTTTTATTGGAAAAAGACGAAATATTTATCTGGAGAAGGGACTATCTAAGACAAATCAGAAAATTTCGTGCAGAAGGTAGGAACATATACTAACTAGATGAAACATGGGTCAACGCTGGGCATACACAGGCGAAGGTTTGGATGGATTTTTCCATAAAATCTTCAAAGCAACCGTTCTTGAATGGACTTTCCACCAGATTCAAAAATCCCTTAAGTAATATTTCAAAACACCTACGTACGTATTTCTGGTATGATTGCTGATCGACGAAACGGTATCCATTTAACTTGAAAATGTTTTTTTTTTAAATAGTTCTCAATAATCTCTTATGCAACTTTTATATAGGTGATTTTTGGTATATCAACTTCTTGTAACGAGTTCTTCAAGCTGTTAAAATAAATGACTCGGCTTTGAAACATCCAGTATCCAAGTACTATGAAAATTTTACAACTACGCATCTTCTGTAGAAACAGTTCATAAAAAACTTTCAGGAGATGAAGAGATTAATTATTCGATAACTTCAAATGCGACCTTAGAGGTCATTTGGCGGTGAAGTTTGAATAGCATGCACCAATTTACTTACTAGAAGGAAAATTCGATGAAAATTTAGCCTTGAAACCCCTGTGCGTAGAAGGAAGTATTGCATAGTAATAAATCGTCATCTTATTGGAACTTGACTCTTTTATTCTATCTGTAGACTTGACACTATCGCAGCTACTCATATAAGAATCGCCATCGCAAACTTCGATACCATGCTTATGTCCGCTATAGTCTATATCTAGATCTAAGAATTCCAGCGTAACTCTTCTGCCTTTTGGGACTTCGATTATCCATTCACAATCCCGCATCACGTGATTCATAAGTGGATACCCGGGGGATTTCAAGATTCCAGATTCTTGCTTGAAGTGTCCTCCACAAGCTAGAAAAAATTGCTATGATCAGATTCAGACTAGACTAAAAAACCTTGGAAAGAAGTGAGGTATAACCCACTGACCAATTAGCCAAGCATCTAATAGTAGCGTAACGTTTCGGGCGCCACTGGATTTTTCGCGAGTATCCATTACGATGGAATAACAGCTAGTAATACTTCAAAATTCTCCATATGGACCAGTGACATAAGATTCTAGCAGATCCGTCAACGCGAGGTAGATAGAGCAGTATTTAGGTGTGGAATGTGTGTGTGTGTGTGTTTTTTGTCAAAATGCTGCTAATGATCTTGGCTACAAGTCAGGTAGGAATCAAATAAGATAAACAGCTTTTGACTTTGTTAATCATCTCTACCTTTTAGAACCATACGATTTTAAAGGGCAATGAAATAGATATATCTGAATTACGTTACACTGATGACGGAGAATTAACCAGAAACACGCGTCTATATTATTTTTACATGTAAAATTACAGCTACCTACTGGAAACACTGACTCACATCGCGATCAATAAATCTCAGATGTATTATAATAATTTCCATAAACATTGTTCTATGTGTACTTCGTATATTTTATTGTCAATGCTCCCAGTCATTAAAAGTATCTAGATATGTGAACAACAGCTCCGAATACGGTCCTGAGTTTTACCAGATTTACACCCGATTCATTATTGCCAACATTACAGAAAATATTTTTTCGCGAGATCCCGTAGCGGATGGAGCGGGGACAGGTGGAATTTCCTCCCTCCTCTCGAAGTTTTGACAATTTCAAGTTACACCGGGAATGATTAGATGGCGCATTTTGCGCAAAAATTTTGCTTTAAGCTCCTTGATAGACTTAGCTCCTTTGAATCTGAAATAAAATCGTTTTTTGTGCAGACGAACCACAGAGCGACAAGACAAGACAGAGTCAGTAGTACTCGAGCCATTGCTAATCAGTGGTTTGAAGAGCATGGAAGGATGGTTGGTATGCATAATCGCCCACATTGTGTACTACTTCTAGATATCGCCTTGAAAATTCGATGTCTTCTAGCCGTTTTATACTACAATGTGTAGGTAGGCTCTTGTTCTGGACTTCGTGTGTGATTTTTTTCCCTCACCATCTTCGTTTCCACAAGTTACACCCGTATCCGGATGCATGGGCATGTGTATCTACTTTTGTAGTTACATATATGTGCATTCATTTCGGGCCTGATGAAGCCAACCAGCAGAAATACGTATCGCTCGGGCTACCTATCCTATTTTCTGCTCGAATCAATTTTCCTTCTTTTTGCGGATTTTGCCCATTATTTTCCTATGTTGTTGGTATATACATTTCTCCGCATGGCCATTTTCTGTTTATATATATACAGGGTGGCCCATCTATGTGTGGACGGAATATTACTCATAAACAAATACATTCTGGGAAAATCTATTTATGGAATGTTATACATGACATTTGAGGGCACATTTCTAAAATATTGTCCATTATACAGGGTGTCCCAATTTCGACCTACATATCAAAATTGTGATTTTTCAAATAGAATGCCTAAAATTTTATTGCATATCTGGATAAACCAATTCAAAAGAATAAAATTGGTATAACATACTATGGGGTTTTGGTAATTAGCTACTGAGATATAATGTGTTTTGTCCAGAAAAACCCCCCACTTCGGCAACCACTCAGTCCGCCATTTTGAAATTTGGAGTGCTGAATTTTGTACCAAAAAAAATTTACACACCTCAGCTTTTATCTTATTTGTTAGTTTTTCGAATTTTAATTTTTGCTCATACAGGGTGGTTAAAAACGAAAATTGTATTTTTTCTGAAAAATGTCAAATGCATTACCCTGTATACTTGTGCAAGTTTGGATTCAATTTTTTATAAGCTTTTTTTTGATACTAGACACATAAGAGTTTTACGGCAATTTTTTCGGTTATTAGCAAGTCTTTTATGGAACGGCTTAATTCCCTGAAATATCGCATCATCCTTGGAAACAAATAAATTGTTGATTAGTTACAAACTGTCAAAATTATCTTTGTGAGCATTATTATTAAAAAAAAATAGTTTCCTAGCATCTCGCCTTATAACTTGGCCTATATCTTGGCCTCCTAGATCACCAGATATGACACCGATAGACTTCTTTCTATGGGGCTATGTTATGCAAGAGGTTTATAGATATCTACCATCTACCCCGGAAAATATGAAGGAAAGGATTAAGGATTCTTTTCTGAATATAAGGGAACACATGCTGAGGGATGTGTAACGGTCATTTATCCAAAGACTACGGCTGTGTATTCAACATGGTGGAAATATTTTCGAGCAGTTTTTGTAGATTAGGTCTTGATTAGTGATAGTTGTTTGTTTATGTTGTTGTTATAGTTGTTTTTCTCTATTACGCTTGAAGCTGATTCATACTGTTTTGATTGTTATTAGTTTTTAAGTCGAATCTGTACTCTTAGTGGCAATATGGAACTAGCCCACTGTTTGCCTTTTGTTTCCATGGATGCTGTGATTTTTTTCTTTAACTTTGGTGTGTTGTTCTATTAAAAGCTTGATAACTCAAAATCTACTGATTTTATCTGAATCAAACCTCATACCAAAAAAACAGCTTGTAAAAAATTGAATCCAAGCTTGCACAAATATACAGGGTGATGTATATAGGTGTATTAAAAATAAAAGGATACTTACGAGATTGATTGAGTTTGTATCGTACGCTGAAAGAGTCACTAAGGTTGCCTACGAATTTGATGATAACGTCTTTGCCCATAGAGGTACTATTATTAGGCAGCTGATCCCCACAGAAGTAACTTTCAGAAATTTCTAGAAAAGCGAAAAATCAAGATACTCGTTTTGAGATACAATAGTATAGAAAGAAAGAACGCATGTTTTTCGGATGAGTACTACATCGAGTGGCTGGTCCCGTGTCGGTGGGAAAGCGCGTGTTGGATAGTGGGAGAAGTGCCGTTTCAGCTGGCAAGAAGGTTTGGAACGTTGAGCATCGTGTGTTCAGTGTCGTTCGAACGCAACGTGAGTTTCTCGTTCATTTTCGTGTTCCACGTCGTGGGACAGTACCAGACCGTAACATCATTTTGAGATGGGTGGAAGCAGTCAACACAACAGGTAATGTGATGAAGAAAAAACCGCCAGGGCGAAACCGTACTGTTAGAACCCCCGAAAACGTAGACAGAGTGAGAGTTGACACGCTTCAAAGGCCGAATCGTTCCGTCTATTTGCGTGCCAGTGCCCTAGAGATCCACGCGTCCTCTGTACGTCGCATCTTAAAGAAGGATTTAGTGTTCCATCCTTACAAAATCCAAGTTTTTCAATAACTGTTGCCATGGGATTATGCACAACGTGTTAATTTTGCACAGCTCATGATTGAAGAGTTGGATAACAATGACATGACGTTGTTTATGAGTGATGAAGCACATTTTTATTTAATTTTTTTCTTTATATCGAAACAGCCGCGCAGGCAGAAGCCTAAATGCCGGAACACCGCGGCTGCTATGATGATCCCAAAGAAATCTTGTTAATACGATTTTTGAACTGCCTAAGGTTAGTAGAACTGGGAAAAGCTTCCTCCCGTAGATTGCTCCACAATCTAGACACCCTCGGGACAAAGGAGCGGTCGTATCGGCCAGTTCTGGATGTACGAAGTTTGACACGGTTAGGATGGGACGCCGAAGTCAGGCGGGTCTGTCTGGCAGGCACATCGCGCGGCGGCATCATGGAAGAGAGCTCTGAGGAGCAAAGCCCGTTGGTGTAGCGATAGAAAAGAGCTAGATCGCCGACGGCCCGCCGGTACGAAAGAGTCCCGAGACTGTCTGTTAGAGAAGAGTCATCGATCAGTCGGACCGCCCTCCTCTGGACAGCATCGAGCATGGACAATGTAGTCGGGGCGGCAGCACCCCAAATGTGTGAGCAATACTCGAGGCTAGGCTTTATCTGGGCCTTGTATAGAGTGAGAAGGTCATGCGGAGAAAAGTACTTCTTAGCCCTAAACAAATGGCCTAGCTTTTTCCCAGCAGCTGCAGCTATTGAAGAGATGTGTTCGTGCCAGATCAGGTCCTCGGTGATCTGGACTTCGACCACCGGAAATGAATGGCTCTTTGGTAGAACTCGACCGTCCATCGAAACTGTATGAGCGCTAGGACGCTTTTTGTTCGTCAAAGTACAGTACTGTGTTTTGGAAGCATTGAACTGTACAAGATTGTTGCGTCCCCAAGCAGTGATAGCCTCCAGGTCTCTTGTCAGAGAAGAAGTCGTCGCTAATCTTCTTTTTTCCAGCTCAGCGGCAGATATCGGCTTGTCACTCTGAATTCCTGCATGTAGAGTGCTGTCATCAGCGAAGCTGTGGATTGGGTTGATCGTGCAGGAAAGGAGGTCGTTGATATGTAAGAGAAACAGTGTTGGAGCCAAGACCGATCCCTGGGGAACACCCGCGTTGACGTTGTGGGATGAAGAGGAGAATCCGTCAATTACGACGGATATCTTGCGGCCAGAGATAAAGTCAGCCACCCATCTGCAAAGCTTCTCTGGGAGGCCGTAGGATGGAAGTTTGCTTAAGAGGGCAGCGTGCCACAGCTGATCGAACGCTTTCGTGATGTCAAGAGCAACGACATGAGCCTCACCATGAGACTGGATGAGTTTACTCCACAGTTGCGTGACGTAAGCTAGGAGGTCCCCTGTGGATCGTTGGTGCCGGAAACCGTACTGCCTGTCGCTAATCAAGCTGTGACGTTCGAGGTAGTCTAGAAACTCGCGATTTATGCACCTCTCCATCACTTTACTTATAACAGAAAGCAGAGCTATAGGCCTGTAGTTGTGAGGGTCGGTTTTAGATCCTTTTTTTGGGATGGGCTGTACATGAGCAAATTTCCAGTTTTCTGGGAAGGTGCCGGATTCATAAGATATCTGGAAGAGACGCGAAAGAACTGGAGCAAGCTCCGCTGCACATCTGTTCAGTACAATGGCAAGAATCAAGTCCGGACCAGAAGCTTTGTTGATGTCGAGCGACAAGAGCACTCGTCTTACGGTCTTATGCCTGAATGTTACCTCCCGCATAGTGTGGGGAACCCTTTGAATTGACGGCACTTGGGCGTTGGTGGGGACGTCCATGGTGGAGTTGGCAGCAAAGATCTTGGTTAGCACTTCCGCCTTGGCCTTTGAGTCGAATACAATAGTTCCATCCTGACACGTAAGTGGTGGAAGGCTACTGTGTGTGAAGTTCTTTTCAATCTGCTTGGCCAGCGTCCAGAAAGACCGACTGCCATTGCGCTGCGACATTACCCTGTGCCTAACTTTTATATCATGCTGGTTTTTGGCATTGCGAACCGCTTCGTTATATTTGTTTCTGGACTCGACGTCGGCTTGTCTGTTCTCTACAGTGGGGTTTTGTAAGTAGGTTCTGTGGGCCTTGACCTTCTGCTGGCGAGCAGTGTCACACGATTTGTTGAACCAGCCGTTAGACCCTGGTTTAGGAACTTTCACTGTGTGAGGGATGTATTCCTCCATTCCGATGTGGATAATTTCGGTTATTGAAGAACAGACAGTCGACGCATCCACGTCAGTGAAACAGACATATCTCCAAGGAAAGCTAGAGGAGAAGTCTCTGAGCCCCTCCCAGTCGGCATGTCCGTAATGCCAAGTTTTGCGGCCTGTGCGAGTTTCTGCTGCCACAGCGGCTTCTGACAGAAACCTAACCTCCACAACACCGTGATCTGAGCTACCCAGGGGGGACAGGACAGCAGTGCTGTAAGGGGCAGGATGCGTGGTCAGAAAGAGATCCAGCAGGCTACTGGCGTGTGACGAGACGCGGGGGAAAAGAGTAGGGCTCGTCACCAGCTGGGTCAGCCCTTGAGTAAGAGCGAACGCTTCGACTGCACGGCCTGCTGCATCGGTCTTATTTGAGCCCAAACCAAAGCTCATTATGGGCATTGAAATCACCGAGAAGAACTACCTCTGAAGCGGGGTGATTGATGTTCAGGAAGTCGATCTGGACGGCGAGGTATTCGAGTAGGTCATCCCAGTTATGGTTCGAGGGAGAGCGATAAAGGCAGCAAATAAATTTGGGTGATGTTTTGGAGTTGAGGCGAAGCCACAGAATGTCCTTCCGGTCTGATTCCAAAGAAAGATCCCTGGAGCAGGAAAGACTGCTGCGGACAAAAGCCACAACTCCCCCGTTCTTTCTCAGATTGGAGTGCACCTCGTAGTTTGGGAAGTTGAGATGGTTAATCGGTGCAGTCTCTGAGATTTTTGTCTCCGCCAAGAAAAGCACGGCGGGACGATTGGATTGCAGGTAGTGATGAACAGCATCAATGTTGCTGTTGATCCCGCAGATGTTCGAAAAACAAATTTTATCTTCGATGTTGTTCCTTCGAGCCCACCCTCCACCCGGACATTCCGAGAGTGGAGTGAGTTTACGTCCGGAGTTTTTAGTGCTCGAGGGATCCATCGTCATTAATTTCTTTGTTTTGGTAGATAACCGACTGCATAGCTTGGGTGTGGAAACATGCGGACATTCATAAGACACCTTGGGAAAAGCTAGCGGGTGGTACTGCCTCGGTCGACTGGTCCTTGTCTACCACCTTCTTTTTACGTGTTAGTGATGTTAAATAGACCTAAAGTGGCCCGTTGGCGGACTTGTACCGCCACCCGGCAATCGGTACTGAGGTATTCCTTAACGCGTGCACAATCACTTGGACGGGAAGAAGTTGTATACTGGATACAACAACTTCCGGAACAAGCATTTGCCACGGCCCTCGCTCAGTAGGGGTAGGACATGGATACGTCAATAAACAAAATTGTCGATATTGAACCCCCAACAGTTGTCTGAGCACCCCCTGCATACCCTGAAAGTTACAGTTTGGTGTGCAGCAGGCCCAACGATGATTATTGGCCCTTAGTTTTTTTAAGATGATGGAGAAACAACTATTGTGAATTCAGAGTGTTACATCCACATGCTGAACAACTTTTTTTCCGGAACATCGACGTCGACGTGTCCGTCTGAGAACAGTGTGGTTCCAACAAGACGGGGCAACATCTCAGACAGCTCGCACTTCGATGGAACTTCTTCGGCAAAAATTCCCAGGACGTGTCATTTCACGTCATGGCGATATTCCATAGCCCCCTCGCTCCCCGGACCTTCCAACGTGTGATTTTTTTTTATTGGGCTACCTGAAATCAAAAGTTTACCAAAGCAAGCCTCGGACCTTGGTCGATTTGAAGGAGGAAATAAGAAAATTCCTGCACGGATGCTGGCCGACGCAATGGGCTCATTTCGGGAGAGGCTTGATTCCTGCATTTCGGCTCAAGGGCCCCATATGACCGACATGGTTTTTAGAACGTAAATTTTGTTTTACTCAAAAAATGGCATGTATTTCTGAGTATTTTGATATAATAAAATATTTTTTCGCATACTTATTTTGACTTTACTACTCATTTAAAAAAGATGCGTTCTTTACTGACGGACCCTGTATTTCTAAGTACCTTGAATGTTTGAAGCAATAGCCCGCTTTTCAATCACCGCAACATATTTTTCGCAAGGCTTTGACGAAAATATATTGAGATGGGTGAAAGTGATTTCCCAGTAATGGTCCACTGGTCCTCGAAGGTACCATGTGCAGTTCCCGCCTTTTTGGTTATCCCTGTTTTTGTAGGTCAACTCTCCATAAGTGCCTCTCAGTGTACCCCCACACGCTGCTATAGAAACTTTCGCACTGAACCCGTTTTTCGGATCGTCAGTATCAGTGAAGTACTTCACGAATAGCATGTTACCAGTTGAGATGACTGAGTTTGGAGGATCTTCGCAATAGCGGCCCAGTAGTGCAGAATTTTCTGTTCCACCATCCCTGATTTCTACGTATTCAACTGAACAACTGAAACAGAAAGGATTGAGGAAGCGATACAAAAAAATAGCGTTAACTAGATTGACTGCACTTCCCACGCAAGATGGAGGCACTTCTGTCAGTCCATAAATGACATTCCTGCTACTGATAGAATACACAGGGTCCTATGCTTTGCACGTTAAAGCAAGATTGGGATCTCTGCATGTTCCCTTGGGGGGGAATACTACTTCTGAGGAAGGTCCTCTGAGGCTTCTGATGGATACGCACTTTCCCGGTTCCACAGTAGCGCGATCAATCACAGAGTGCATGCAGTTGCGCAGGCCCTCAGGGGAGGACTGGCGCACGGCTAGGGAGATTGTCAACTTCGAAAGGACTAGATTAGTTTTGTCCCAGTCAGTGAAATATCTGGGAATTATCCTGGATTGCAAACTGAACTGGAGAGAGCATGTGGAATACACGGTTAGCAAGGCTCGCAATTCGATGTGGGCTTGTAGACGTGTTGTCGGGGTAAGGTGGGGGCTTAAACCCAAAGTGGTATACTGGGTCTACACGACGATAGTACGTCCATCTCTCTTGTACGGCTCCCTGGTCTGGTGGCCTTGCATTAGAACTGAGACAACTAAGGCCAAACTCAATAAAATTCAGCGTTTGGCCTGTATTAGCATTACAAGCGCAGTGCGAACAACGCCATTGAGTGCAATGGAAGCTCTGTTGGATCTCCCACCGTTGGATCTGGTGATCCGCGGTGAAGCGAGAGTAGTCGCTCATCGACTGTGGAGTTAGGGCAGCTGGGCTTTCTTGAATCCTGTCAAGAGGCATACTGCCATCTTAGTCGAATTAGAAAGGGTCCTCCCCGTCCTTGTAAGCAGGGGTGATCGTATTCTGCAATGTCGCTGATCATACCGTGTGATGTTCCAGATATTCCAGAAGTATCTGATTTATACAGGTATACCTCTCCATCTCCTTACTTACAGCAGAAAGTAAAGCTATTATAGGTCTATACCAGGGCGGCCCGATAAGTACTTATCCTACAAAAGAAAAACGAAAACTTTGAGTGGCGATTTATTTCTCAATATAGTGTACTTTTAACTCGAGACTCTTTACATAGCGATGCTGCAACTTCTTTAAACCGTCTGAAAAATACGTTTTCTAGAGGTTTACAAAGTAGAGGCCTCCGTGGCGATAACCACCTCATTCATGTCGGTGTAAGGTGGGGGCTTAAACCCAATATGGTACGGCTTCCTGGTCTGGTGACCTTGCATTAGAACTGAGACAACTAAGGGAGGACCCGTCCTTATAAGTAGGGGTGATCGTATTACCCCTAAATATCGCTTCAACCGCAAGTTTGTTGTGGAGTATCCAACGAGGGAGGAGTGGGACGCCGGTAGCCGGGGACTCTCAGGAGTGAGCGGGCAAGTCTGGTACACGGACGGCTCGGTCACCGAAGAGGGCTCAGGTGCTGGGGTCTCTGGGCCTAGAACTAGGCTATCTCTGCCTCTCGGTGGATACACCACCATTTTCCAGGCGAAAATCTTTGTGATTCTGGCTTGTGTATCTCACATTCTGGAGGAGGGTGGGCCTAGGAGAAGAATAACAATCTTATCCGATAGCCAGGCTGCAATGAAAGCACTAAGTGCCTGTAAGATTACTTCGAGTCTTGTATTACAATGCAGGGAGACTATGGATTGCCTCGCAGCGAGGCATCCGGTATCGTTAATATGGGTACCGGGGCACGCTGGGATAAGGGGCAATGAGACGGCGGACACTCTGGCGAAAACAGGATCAGCCAGCAAGCTCGTTGGTCCTGAGCCAGCTCTAGGAGTGGCCGCGCATAAAGCTAGGAGAAAAATGGAGACGTGGGTTGCAAGACAACACTCTCAGAAATGGAGAAGTATCTCTAGACATCTCCGCCAGGCACGAGAGCTCATTGAAGGGCCCAGTGCTAAGGATGGACGCTTCTGCCTATCTCTGGATAGAGCCAACCTAAGGTTGCTGGTGGGACTGTTGTCTGGCCATAACACGTTAAGGCTTCACCTGCACGTGATGGGGGTGGCTGAGGATCCCTTGTGCGAACGCTGCGGAGTAGAGGAAGAGACCTCGGCGCACGTTTTGTGTCGCTGTGAAGCTCTGAGCTACTATAGGCAGACTATACTGGGGTCCATTACTTTGGACCCTCAGGACGTCAAGGAGCCTGGACTCAAGGCGATTCTCAACTTCGCTAAAAGGGCGAGGCTTGTGATTTAAGGATTGTAGAGGTGCATAAGGGCCCTCTTAAGCGGCCTATGCACTGGCTCTTTATGGTGGCCGGGATGCCTCTAATTTTAAGATTCATTCATTCATTCCCACGCAAGATAGACCTCCTGAGAAAAAATTTAGCTACGAACATGTACAAGGGTGGTTTGAAAAGTTTCCGACCTAACAAAGATACAAGATATTTTTTCCTATTTTTACTAAAAAGCTTACCTTTTCGCAATCGAAAGGTCAAACCTATCTTCAAAATCGATGCGTACTGAATCATCAATGGGTGCTGTGATGACCCAGTGGCACTCTGTATGGGAAGTCGGTATATTCGGATAGTTAGGAGACTGTATCTCGTCGGTAGGATCGTATTTTGTCAAAGTAATATCTCCTCCACAACCTTGTACTTTTTCCTGATACCTAAGTCTGAATTTCTGTAACAAAATATTTCTTAGTCATATGACACACAGCCATATCATAGTCTCATATGACATTAGCGTCCACAGTTTGTATAATTTAGTCTGCATAATACTCTACTTACAGAATTTCTATTTCCTTTGTATTTCACATATAGATTGTTTCCTGTAGACGTAAGTTTTTCAGGAACTATTGAACCACAGTATTTACCGTTACCTAAGAATGGAGATTCCTGAGATATTCCATTTTTCACCTAGAAGTAAACATGCATATTATGTCACATGGAATGAAAACTATCCACCTACTCAGCGTTTGCAAGATTGACGGAGGGGGGTAAGGTTAGTTCCCTGGAAAACATGGCATCTTTTCAAGACTTTTTTGTCGATACAAGTTATACTATAGTACGAGGGATGTCTTTTAAGTTTTGCATATGGAAATAAAACAACACAGTAGGTAGTTTTAAATGACTTTATTGTTTTTCGAAGTATTCTCCAGGAACATTAATATACATCTGCATGCGCTCGAACCAATTTTCAAAGCACTTATTTCACTCGTTTGCTGGCAGATCCAAAACGGCATTTTTGAATGCGTCAACAGCTTCTTCTGGTGACTGAAACCCTTGACCACTCAGTCTGTTTTTAATTTTCGGGAAAGTAAAGAAATCGTTAGGACTTAGATCGGGACTATATGGAGGATGGTCGAATAATTCCACGTTTTCTTCTGTTAAATACTGCCTTGTTTTTTTGGGCTGTGTGCGAGCTTGCATTGTCTTGGTGGAGGATGATTCTTCTTTCGGCGTTGATTTTTCAAAGCTATGTGATGACTTTTGGCAAACAAATGGTGGTATACCAATCCGCAGTAACAGTTCTTTGCTCATTAAGAGAAATTGTTGCAATATGACCCGCTTTCGACACAAATGGCGCGACCGTCTTTTTCGAAACACTTCGAGAACGGATGACTTTTGTTGGCTTTTCTTCACCTTGGAACACCCAAACAGCCAACTGTCGTTTATTTTCTGGTTCATAACAGTAAATCCACGATTCGTCACCACTAACAATGCTGTACACATTTTTTGAGTTTCCGGAATTCAAACGGTCAAGTGTTTTTTGACACCAATTAAGCCTGGCTGTTTTCTGCTTTTCAGTCAACAGGTGCGGTATCCAACGAGAAACTAATTTTCTTACTCCTAATTCTTCATGTAAAATTTTTTGAATTAAAGTTTGAGATCTTCAAGGACGCCTCAATCTCGCGATATGTCACATGTCTATCTTCAATGATGAGTTTGCGCACAGCATCGACGTTTTCCTGGGTGACTGCCGTTTTTGGTGCACCCACCCTGGGATCGTCGCTAAGACTCACCCGTCCACGTATGAATTCTCCATACCAATGGGAAATTGTCGACCGATGTGGCGCTTCGTTGCCGAAAAAAGAGCAAAACTCAGCAAGGCATTCTTGTTGCGATAATTGTCTCTAAAAGTTGTAATAAATTATGGCGCGAAAATGTTCTCGGTTGAGTTCCATTTTTCTACTGACTTGGTGACACTTAAAACTTCACTTTAGTGAGAACACTGCACGTATTGTTGTGAAACTTTGAATTTAAGTTTACTAAAGAGTGAGGTTAAGATTCAGTACTGACGTTCGATCCGCGCGGCCAACTATGTTTCTATATGCAAAACTTAAAAGACATCCCTCGTAGTATAATACGACATTTGAACAGTATTCCTTTAACAAAAACAAATCCACCTACAAATTCTGCGAAGTAAAATAGATTATGGAGGGTGTCATGGATACTAATAGACAAGAAATCGAGATCGGAGAACTTTTGGATGTCGTGGATGAGAAGGTTCAAGGTACGACTGTATGTGATGTGTTAAAGACTTTAATAACTTTGAACAATGATGTACTGAACATACTTCATCTTAATATTCGTAGTATACATAAAAATTTTAATGAATTGTTAATTTTTCTTGAATCTTATGATCTTAAACACTGTGATATTATCATACTGACTGAAAGCTGGTCTACTGAGGTTATAAACCTTTATAATATTGAAAATTCCAATGTTTACTACAATAATACAAACTTCAATAAAAATGGTGGCACTATTTTATATATACGGAATGATATAAATGCATCCGTCATTCACTCAACCTTAAATAAGTCAAAAGTCACTATGTGTGAAATTATGTTTAATCTTCGTGATATCACTTACGAATTTTTTTGTGGTTATAGACCTTCCAGCTCTTTGTAATTATTTTTTGACGACTTGGACGATCATTATTCTGGTAAACAAAAAAAAACAGATTGAATTCCTGATTGGCGACTTGAATATTGATATCTCTAAGAAAGAAAATATAGATGTTAATGCTTATCTTTCACTTTTAGGCTCTCTCGGCTTTTTTAGTACAATAAATGGTCCAACACGCGTAACACCAACCAGCAGCTCATGTCTGGATCACATTCTTATGAGAAACAGCTCTCCTCCATGATGCTGTGTGCCTGCCAGACAGATACGCCTGACTTCGGCCTCTTATCCTCTATGTATTAGTTTTTTTCTAATGAGGCCATGATTTATTTGTCAGAAAATAACTAATGAGTAAGGCATAAAAACACATAAACGCCTTGAATCTTCAATAGAATATTAACGTTAATATCGATTTCTCAACAAGTCAAATGTTTTTGGACAAATTTCCATCTAGTAGTGTGTTAAAAAAAATCGATTCAATCGAAAAAATTATATTTTTTGATTTTTTTCTAAAAAAAATCGTGTTTTTTGAAACACTAAATAGGTGCAAAAGATTTTCACCTCGAAATAAAAATCGACGAGTTCAAGCGGATTTTTTTCCAGCGCACTTATCGGCAGAAAAAATTAGTCACACAGAAATGGCTGATTTGTAACCAGTACAATTATTGTTTACAAAATATAGCTGCAAAATGCAAATAAATGGAAAACATACTAACTCCACCAATACAAATCAAAAAGTTTATTTCTGCCCACTTCTATCGCAAAACAGAAAAAACTCGTTGGAACGCTCTTATCAGAAAATGGTATCTCCATCACACACGTCCATGTTTCTCATTTATGTCGGTTTGTCAGTTCATGTTTGTTGTATAACAAAACGTCATAAGTCCTGAGTCGATCTACTCGACGAAATATTTAGACGAAGTAACACAAAGGTTAGGCAGTACAAGTTGATGGAAATCAAAAAAATTACGATTTTTTCTAAAAAGAAATCGTGTTTTTTGCAACACTAAATAGGCGCAAAAGATTTTCACCTTCAAATAAAAATCGACGAGTTCAAGCGGATTTTTTCCAGTGCTCTTATCGGCAGAAAGAATTAGTCACACAGAAATATGGCTGATTTGTAACCAATACGATTATTGTTTGCAAAATGTAGCTGCAAAATGCAAATAAATAAGAAACATACTAAATCCACCAATACAAGTCGAAGAGTTATTTCTACCCACTTCTCTCGCAAAACAGAAAAACTCGTTGGAATGCTCTTATCAGTAAACAGAAATAGTCCCACAAAAAATTTTTGGCGCTGATTGGTCAACCAATCCGATTATCGTCTGAAAAATATTCCACGGACGCTCTGCTAGGTGTATGGCTAGTAGGCGGGTCTTTCGTGGTTTTTTTATCTCTCACAGGATATCATTGGATATTTAGAATTCCCTTTGCTGGCTATCATGTAGGAAACGTTGCGATGGGATTTTCAAAATACGCTGACAGAAGGGATCTTGGTACTTGTCCCGATAGTTGATTATCAATTAATATGTGTACAATTTTTTTCTTCTTTCTGTATTGTGGTTCATACGTGATGCTGAGAGACTGGACTTATATTCACATTCGTATATACACAATTTCAAAATGTGGAAGCTCAAATTAAAACCATAATTTGCGCGTAGAAAATAAACTAACCCATATTTTCAACATGAATCTTAATCCAAGGAGCGATGTAACATGTTAGTAACGCTAGGCAACGCGGTGATGAGCTTCGCTATCTATCTTTTATCTCTGTCTAACATAATATATGTGTCTATATACACTTCTCTCTCGTACACATTGAACTCAAGCCGTCAGACAAATTTGGTTTTCCCTGTATACAGTGTGTCCCAGATTCGCTTCTCTATACAGAGATCTCGACTCCTGTTATACCTACAGCAAAGGTTAAATGGGGACAGTTTTAGAGGAAACTTAGTGATTTCGATAGCCGGCTTCAGAACTGCGTTTGATTATATATATATATATATACAGGGTGTCCCAGGAGTCGACGTCAAGCCGAAACCGGGTGATAGGCAAAGTCGTAACAGCTATCAGAAAAATATTTAAAAAAAATTTGTATGTATGTGTTTTGAAAATTATAGGTCTTTGAAAAAAATATAGAAATTTCACACCCTACGGCAGTCTGCCAACTCCTGTTACTACAATTATTAACTTTTTTGGATTTTATTTTTACAATGTAATGATGAATAATGCATCTTCAAACTGGTGTCTCAACCTTACTGCCAACTTTTCTCGTTCAGGAAAAATTGCCACTTATTTCCCAACCAAGTATTCCAAAGTAAAACTTTGCTCAACTTTAACTGGCTGTACTGGAAAAAATGTACTACGAGACTTTGGCAAGTAACCTTAAAAGTTGGCGCATTTAATAAGGATTCCAAAATGGTATAACACTTAGAAGATTACTCGTTAACTTATGCACAATTTTTATTTGAAGAAAAACTGATGAAAATTTTTCAAAATTTCCTAATTAAACAGCGATTATGAAAACGCACAAGGACCCTTAAGGATCACTGTTTGCACAACAGTGGGCGTCAAAATACTGCTAATGATGATTTACCTTTACAGCAAATGCTCAAACTGTTTTCCTTCACCCGCAATACACGCTCGACATCTTCTTAAAAAAGATCGGGTTATTAAACGAGCGAATCCACGGTTATTAACAAACTCAGCTGCTTCCAATAGTCTTTGCCGTAGCTCAGCTACATTTTGAATCGGTTTGAAATACCCTTTTTCTTTTACAGTTCCCCAGTAAAAAAAATCTAACGGATTCAAATCTGGTGACCGGGCTGGCCACGGTATTGTACCAGACCGTCCTATCCATCTGCCTGGAAAGTTTTGATCGAGATACTCTCTCACTGAGAGTGTATAGTGCGCTGGGCAGCCATCATGCTGAAACCACATGTCCCTGTAAATACTCAGTGGCACGTCCTCCAATAAATTTTCTAAATGATTTTGCAAAAAAACTAAATAAACCTCAGCAGTCAACGTCTCTGGGAACTCAAACGGACCGATTATTTTACCATTTAAAACTCCTGTCCAATGATTTATCTTGAAGCGATATTGAGATTTATCTTCTCTCATCAAATGTGGGTTTGCTACGACCACTCGTGTAAGTTATACAGGTCCATAACATTTTTTCAAAGGACCGTGGATCTTCCCTGTGTCTTTCTAACATTGTGCGACAAAAAGCAACTCGGGGCTAATAATCCCGGGGCAGAAGAGCTTGAACACGCTGTACGTGGTATGGATGGAGCACGTTTTTTTGCAAGATTCTATGGGCTGTACTTTTGGGCACACCTGTTTTTAGTTCTATTGCACGCACTGAAGTACTCGGGTCTTCTTCGACAGCTCCTAGTACCACGTCTTCGTAAGGAAGGAAAGATCTTCCCTCACCGTGTGATTGGTTTGGTAGTTGGCCCTCTGAGAACAGTAAGCGGTGCACTTTTGTGAACACTCGATGATCTGGATGACGAGCTGCATTCGGGTACGCCTCACAGTAAAGTCTTGCTGCAGCACTAGCGTTGCATCTGCATTCCCCATAAATGAGGTGCATGTTAGCATATTCTTGTACGGTGTACACGGACATAGCGGCACTGCACAATCACACTATCAAAGATAGTCTAAGGAAAGCAAATGTTGTTTTGAAGAGCAATTAAACAGTCCAAATCCAAATCACAAGCGATCAACAGTCCAGTTCACGAATCCAAAATTAGTAACAGTACGAAATCAACAAGCACGAACATGTAAAGATGCGCAGTAAACGAAGGAGCACTGATCAGTATCAAAGTGTGCAATAGCAAGTAAGTGATGTGCTTCATCCATACCACATACAGCGTGTTCAACCTCTCCTGCCCCGGCATTATGAGCCCCGAGTTGCTTTTTGTCGCACAATGTTAGAAAGACACAGGAAAGATCCACAGTTCTTTGAAAAAATTTTATGGTCGGATGAGACCACATTTAAGAAAGATGGGTACATGAACCTGCATAACTTACACGAGTGGCACGTAGCAAACCCACATTTGATGAGAGAAGATAAATCTCAATATCGCTTCAAGATAAACTATTGGACAGGAATTTTAAATGGTAAAATAATCGGTCCGTTTGAGTTCCCAGAGACGTTGACTGTTGAAGTTTATTTGGATTTTTTGAAAAATCATGTACAAAATTTATTGGTGGACGTGCCACTGAGTATTTACAGGGACATGTGGTTTCAGCATGATAGCTGCCCAGCGCACTATGCACTCTCAGTGAGAGAGTATCTCGATCAAAACTTTCCAGGCAGATGGATAAGGCGGTCTGGTTCAATACCGTGGCCAGCCCGATCACCTGATTTGAATCCTTTAGATTTTTTACTGGGGAACTGTAAAAGAAAAAGTGTATTTCAAGCCGATTCAATATGTAGCTGAGCTACGGCAAAGACTATTGGAAGCAGCTGAGTTTGTTAATAACCGTGGATTCGCTCGTTTAATAACCGTGTATTGCGGCTGAAGGAAAACAGTTTGAGCATTTGCTGTAAAGGTAAATCATCATCAGCAGCATTTTGACGCCCACTGTTGTGCAAACAGTTATCCTTAAGGGTCCTTGTGCGTTTTCATAATCGCTGTTTAATTAGGAAATTTTGAAAAATTTTCATCAGTTTTTCTTCAAATAAAAATTGTGCATAAGTTAACGAGTAATCTTCTAAGTGTTATACCATTTTGGAATCGTTATTAAATGCGCCAACTTTTAAGGTTATTTGCCAAACTCTCGCAGTACATTTTTTTCCAGTACAGCCAGTTAAAGTTGAGCAAAGTATTACTTCGGAATACTTGGTTGGGAAATAAGTGGCAATTTTTCCTGAACGAGAAAAGTTGGCAGTAAGGTTGAGACACCAGTTTGAAGATGCATTATTCATCATTGCATTGTAAAAATAAAATCCAAAAAAAGCTAATATTTGTAGTAACAGGAGTTGACAGACTGCCGTAGGGTGTGAAATTTCTATATCTTTTTCAAAGACCTATAATTTTCAAAACACATACATAAAATTTTTTAAAATATTTTTCTGATAGCTGTTATGACTTTGCCTATCACCCGGTTTCGGCTGGACGTCGACTTCTGGGACACCCTGTATATATATAAAGGCGTGAAATACTTTAGTTTCGTGTTGAAAACATATTTTGAATTTTTATGTAAACAAAAAGAATCAGTGCAATTGCAAAATTAGTACTGGATTTGTTTAATAAAATAATTAAAACAGTAAGGAAAAATCAAAAGATGGAATTTTTCAATTAATACTTGATTTGATACACATGATCCTAGTGATACGCAGACCCGAACTTTTACAACCATTTTATGATTACCTTGCAAAACTATTTCTATAATTTTCTGCTTGGATTAATGTAAAATATATTATGTATCTTTAAGGGTCACATATGCATTTTATGGCCATAAAATATACTCTTTTATAAGATTCGAGTCGAAATAATGTTATCGTGTGGAAATCGTACCAAACTTCGTACACTTAGAACTGGCGCTCTTCTGTTCCTATAGTACAAAGATTGTGGTACAATATACGTGAAGTCGTTTTTCCAACTTCTGCTAACCTTAGGCAATTCAAACATGGGACTAACAATGTGTATTACCCCCGCCCTCCGTCCGAAAATTCTGCGCATTCACTAAAGCCGCTATATGCTTTCATCACGGCAGCACGGAGTGCATTTCCTCATGGTGGGTAGCGCCAAACAAACCTACCATTAAGTAATTGTTACACATTCCATTTGCAGACTCTGGAATATTAATTTCCTCGAAGGTCAATTCAATTTGTCTTGTAGAACGGACGGTTATATTCCACTGACACTAAAAAAACATTACGGGTATAATTCTAATCTAAAGTGATTTATTTGAGAAATACCTCAATTCCTTTTGTTGAATTTTCGTCAAAAGTTATATACCCTGAAGGCTCTGTTAGTAAACCACCACATCCTACAAATGAAAACTGGTCTAGTCAAGTAACAAAATTAAATAGAGAAGCATAACTCATCGTACGCTACTACTAGCGCATAAGTGGATCCTGGCGTACCCAAATACGCACTGTATTAACAGTGGCTTACGATACTTTAAGCTACTCTCTTCCATTTTGGTACTTAATTGTAGTAGTATACAGTGCTATCCAAAAAGCCCGCCTACACACCAAGTCAACAAGCTAAAATTTGGGTTGATGAAATCGATGTATAAATGAGAGGTCCGTGAAGTTAGCCCAGAAACTGGGATGTTAAAAAACGATGTGGCATACGATTTTCCATCGTGTTACCACGTTTTTCCATCAAAAATTTCCGTTTTTCATCATCAACTTAAAAAAAATTGGAAGTACCATATATACAGGGTGTTCCTTAATGATATGCGGATATTTAAAGGTGTGAATCTACATAAAAAATTAATGTTAGTTTGCTTTCGAAATTATGGCCCAAAAATGTTTCACTGATATTTAGTACGTAGTGAAATTTAGAAAAGTTGCATATTTTTCAATGCAAAAATAATTTTCAGCTTTAACAGTGGCGTGCGTACGGGTATTGACTTCGATATTTTTTAAGAAAAAAATTGTACGCCAACTGTTTTTTGCCAAATAAAAATTATATTTGACTTCCCCGTTCAATTTAAAACAACTGATCTCTCTTGAATTATTTTCCTTCGATGCGCCATTTTTCAGAAAAAAAACCGTTCTATTGTCCGAGAAAATAATAAATATCTAGTTGCTCTGGAATATGTCACTGGCTTTTGACATCTGACAAGTCTTGGTTATTTAAATCTGTTCGCTGTGACATCTTTTTCATTATTTAGTTTTTACAGTCTTGTTAATAAAGGTGAATTAACTGGCGGAAATGCATTACGTATATGGCCTTGCCGACGGTAATGGTGAGCAAGCCAGACGGATTTATCACCAGAGATCGGGATCGTGCTTTGCCAGATAGTCGAACCTTTTCTAATATTCATCGTCGTCTTGTTGAAACTGGTTCTGTCCGAAAAGGAACACCTGAAGGTAGACCTCTAAGTGTGAGAACACCTGAAATTGAGGAAGCAGTGCTGCACGGAGTCGAAGAACATCCTGAAACGAGTACTAGGAAGATCGCTAGACACTTAAATATTTGCCCTCAAATGTTTTGGAGAATTTTAGTGGATTTTTTTTTATATCCTTTACACAAAATCCTCAATTTGAATCAATGATTCTGTTCACGGACGAAGCTAATTTTTCTCGAAATGCCATTCAGAATTTTCACAATAATCATTTGTGAGCAGAAGAAAATCCCTGTGCCGTAACCGAAAACCATTTCCAACACCAATTTTCGGTTAACGTATGGGTAGTAATTATTGGCAACCACCTTATTGGCCCATTCTTCTTAATGGGACGACTTGACGGTCAGACTTACATCAATTTTCTTCAACAACAGTTTTTTTCCTAAAACTTCAACACCCCGAGTTTTTGTAAGGAAACATTTCTGGATCATAGTTTATAAAGCAAACTAACATTAATTTTTCATGTAGATTCACACTGTTAAATATTCGCATATCATTAAGGAACACCCTGTATAAACATTTTTGGTGGTAAAACGATGATGAAACGATGTGTATTAATCGTTTTAAAGAATCTGGAAAATCTGGGCTACGTGAACTTCGCCCAGAATTTTTATATCTAATTTTTTTAAGCCTAAGGTGGAAAAACGGAAATTTTTGGTGGAAAAACGTGGTAAAACGATGGAAAATCGAGATTTTTCTGGGATAACTTCACGGACCTATAAATAACTATATTTTAACGTAAAAATGACAAAAACCTCAGGGTGGCGACTGAGACTTGAAATATTCTTTTAAATAGAATGGGGCCATTTTGAAACTTTGAGTAAGACGTCAATGTTTGAAACACCATGTTAGTAATTTATAGTCCTAGAGTACAAGTGTACAATTTTTAAGAATAGCTGACTAACAACCTGTCAAAGATGAGCGTCTCTGTACATTGAATCGCTTGTAAATCAAAAACTAATCATCAAACTCTAGAGTATGTTATATATTTTCTTGTTATGGCAGGGTCCAACTGACTATACAATTAAATATGCAACATTCCGTTTGAAAAAATTACAGATGTTGACAAGTTTTCAGTGGAACCTTCCAGATTTTATTACATATTTCATTAGATGCTTCAAGCGAAAAAGAATGGTATAACATACTACATAATATAGCGTTTTGATAACCGGTTATCTAGTAATAAGCAATTCAATTTACAAAAATCCTCAACTTTGCCTGCTATTCCGCTATTTTGAAAGATAGTGATTTCGTATTTTAGTGTCATAAAGTAATCATTAAGCTTTTCAAAATCAGGTGACACAAGACTCACCATTCCAAAAAATGTTCCAAGATGACCCAACCGTTATCTTGAAATTTTCAACTGCCACTTTAACGTTAAAATATGGTAACCGGTTCAAAAAATAAGGCTTTTTTGATAACCATTGTATAACCTACCTCGATATTGAATTGGTACAAAGTTTACCTGCATAAACTAAAGCTTTGAATCCTGTGCCATTACGAAATCTAGTTGTAACAAACTCCACCTTGAGTAAATTAGTCGCATGGACAACTTCTAACGTAGTCTGACATATGGTTTTTATTTTCTGCCAATCATCGTCAAAAGCGCTCTTTTGATACAATTGTACCAAGTCCATGTACTGGCAAGTAGTTGCGAAAAATCCAGCAACCCTGATACCAAAATTGACGTCTTGAAAGACTATGGCCAGATGGTTCATAGAGGCTGTTGAGAATATCCATTGGCATTCCAAATTATGAGCGTATCCTGTCGGGTATCCTGGAGAGGTCAATGTATAATTCGAGACAGTTGAATTAAGCGATATTATGTCTGTCGATCCACAACTTTTTTCTGAAAAGAAAGTACCGTTCGTAAATCCACTGACGCATGCTGGAAAAAGTTCTAGGGTCATCACAATCCCGCGCTGGATGCACCACTGATAGACCTGCATTTAAAATAGCTTGACCATATTCGAGACTAAGTGATCTTGTTTTGCAGTCGATGAATAGGTTTTATTAGTTTGTCGCTCTAACCTACAGTAATGGACAAAAGTATAGACAAATTAATATTGTGCTGTATTTCTTTTTTAACTTGTTTTATTAATACACCAACCTGTATACATAATTCTTCATAGCATAATACTCACTTATACATAAATACATTTATTAGACTTCCTTCAATAAAAAATGAATTGAAAAAGCTGGAACTATGAAGGACAAAACTATATAGACAAAGCAAAACAATTATAGAAAAAAGAAGCAAGTTCATTGAATTATAGAAAACCAACCATGTTTGTGTTAATATTTTGTAGCATAACCATTATTATCAATCACCGCCTGGCATCGTCTCGGCATAGATTGTAGAAGTTTCTTGATATATAAGATTCATCAATCTGTCTCCACTTTTCCTTTAAAGCGGCAAAAAGTTCATCCTTGTTTGAATAATTTTTATCTCGTATTTGCTTATCTAAGTATTCCCATAAATTTTCAATGGGGTTTATATCGGGAGACTGTGAAGGCCATTTGAGAACTGGTATTTTTACATCTAGAAAAAATTTCTTTGCAAGATCGAAGTGTGCTTCGGGTCATTATCTTGCTGAAAGATTGATCTTAATGGCATATTGTCTTCCATATAGGGTAACATGACATGCTTCAGTATTTCTGTGTATACAGACGTATCCATAATGCCATCTATTCTATGTAAAGGTCCCATCCCAAACCCCGAAAAGCATCCCCAAACCATAACAGACCCGCTTCCATGTTTGACAGTGGGCAAAGTGTACTTGGGGCTCAATCTTTGTCCACTAGGACGTCTAACGTAATGAATACCAGCTGATCCAAACATATTGAACTTGGATTCGTTACGGTTTTTCCTCGAGATTAGCGGTTTCATACTCGGCCGACGTGCAAATAACTTCAAATCGCTTAATCTTCTAGTTATAGTATTCGTAGAAACACTGACAATTCCTTTTGTCTCAATTTCGGCTTTTATTTGTCTTGGAGTTTTAAACGGATTTTTGGATAAAAGTACTTTTACTAATCTAACTGATATAGCATTTTTTAGTTTTCTAGGCCGACCACTTCTTTTAGAGGCTTCCAAGATATCTTTTTGTTTATATTTGTTCAATATTGCCCAAACTGCTTTACGCTTCAGCTTCAAATTTTTGGCAATGTCGACTTGACGTTGACCATCTTTGTAAAACTCGATGATCTTAGTTTTCACATCGAAAGAAATTTCTGGACCACGCGGCATGGTCTTAAAAACACTCAACTTATTCCACAATACTTGATGAACACAAACTAATCTTTTTCTGACACGAAACTGTACTAAACTAATGTTGAAAAGAATTTGTCTACATATTTTTGTCCCTCATAAAGAAGTGCTTATATTCAGATTTGTATTGAGTTCATTGCAGATTAGGTAAAAACAAGGATTTTCGTTTTTTTACTAATAACGCATTTGTTTATGGAGCAATGAAGTATGATTTCGTTTTCTAAGGGTATTTAGATAAATATTCATATTTGTCTATATACTTTTGTCCGTTATTGTACGTTAAAGCAGATAAGCTGTTAGTTTCAAACATTTTTTGTGCCCAGTACTGTGAGCAACAAATCATAGAGTATCTCGTGTGTTAGTACAAAAACAACTTACTTTGTAGGATATTTCTATAATCGTCAATTTCTTGCCACTCCAATACGAATTTTATTCCAAACTGAGAAAGGACATAAGCTGATATAAACATCACATTTGAACTTGACTTGAGAGGTTTTGGTATAGTGGTTCCACAAAATTCGCCCAAATCTTTAGACTCTATGTCGTACCCATCATATACCTATAATTTTATTAAACAAAACTTAAACTTGAAGAAACAAATAGTCGCTAGAAATGTTTCTGCTCTGTTTACTTACATTTATCTTAGATCTGTAGCAGAAAGATTCATCAGTTGAATCCAGTTCGAATTCTTTGAATGTCAGCAGTATTTTTTTCCTCTCTTTTACAGTGATTCTCCATGAAAACTCGCCGTTAACCTTGAACATCTTTGGGTATAACACAGAGTAAATCTCTCCTTTCTCTCCTGTTAATTCATTTTGATAGCCTATAAAAAATCACAATATAACAAACAAACTTTGCTTCTGCTAGATTACACAAAAACTTGATAGACCTTGAAATTTTGCTACTTAAGCTGTCTTACTATGGCTTTACTGACTGAGATAAATGTGAACTTTGTACTTACTAAGACCGTATTGAGCATAAAATCCCTTATTAGTCACTGTCTCTCCCTCCAGAGGTCTACTACTCCTGAAATAGACCCAAAGGCTATCTTGATGCGTCAAATTATCTGGCTTATTCTTTCCACAGAATACGCCCAGTAGTTTGCCGGACGCGTTTTTCGATCTGACTTCCAAAAAGTCCCTATTGCAGTTTTCAGACTCGGATAAATCGAAGTCTATGAAGTTTATAGATAGGGTGTTTCCTGTAACAATAATTTGGAGAAATATGGAAATTCGGTCCTCCTATCTTGTAGAATACTGATTCAATCTTGACCCCTGGTCATAAAAATGAGAGTGTAGAATCGCATTTGTCAAGTTGAACAAGTTTGTGAACCCATCGATTTTCAGCAGAATAATATGTTTCTGGGTCTCATGATTAAACGTACCTTCACAAAGTTAACTGCGTCTTTACAGTTGACATTGACTGCTGTAGCGTCTCTTCTGTGACTATACAGAAACACGGCTTGCAGAAAGGAAAGAGAACCACACCCACTTTTTCTCGGTAATGGAGGAACTGAGTACCTAGCCGAGTAGTTAGCGTGTCGAGCTACTAGTCGCGCGATTTGAGACTCGCAAGTTCGAATCTCCTCCTCGGAAGTTAATAGACTAGTTGACACTTTTTTTAAGTAGGTCTTATACAGTTGATATTTGTTTTATTGGATCAAAAAATTAACAATATATTTTTTTCAAACCTAAAAGACGGTAAAACCTTAATCTAAAAAAATATTTTTCTCAGACTGGCGAAAACGCTGTTCGCCATGTTTGGCCCATATTAATGTGCTCTAACGTCATGCCCGGACGTAAACTCCCTCCACTCTCGGAATGTCCGGGTGGAGGGTGGGCTCGAGGGAACAACATCGAAGAAAAAAAATTGTTTTTCGAACATCTGCGGGATTAACAGCAACATTAATGCTGTTCATCACTACTACCTATCGTCACCGTGCCTTTCTTGGCGGAGACAAAAATCTCAGAGTCTGCACCGATTAACCATCTCAACTTCCCAAACTATGAGGTGCACTCCAATCTAAGAAAGAACGGAGGAGTTGTGGCTTTTGTCCGCAGCAGTCTTTCCTGCTCCAGGGATCTTTCTTTGGAATCAGACCGGAAGGAAATTCTGTGGCTTCGCCTCAACTCCAAACCATCACCCAAATTTATTTGCTGCCTTTATCGCTCTCCATCGGACCATAACTGGGATGACCTACTTGAATACCTCGCCGTCCAGATCGACTTCCATGAACATCAATCACCCCGCTTCAGAGGTAGTTCTTCTCGGTGATTTCAATGCCCATAATGAGCTTTGGCTGGGCCCAAACAAGACCGATGCAGCAGGTCTTACAGTTGAAGCGTTCGCTCTTACTCAAGGGTTGACCCAGCTGGTGACGAGCTCTACTTTTTTCCCCCGCGTCTCGTCACACACCAGTAGCCTGCTGGATCTCTTTCTGACCACGCATCCTGTCCCTTACAGCACTGCTGTCCTGTCCCCCCTGGGTAACTCAGACCACGGTGTTGTGGAGGTTAGGTTTCGGTCAGAACCCGCTATGGCAGCAGAAACTCGTACAGGCCGCAAAACTTGGCATTACGGACATGCCGACTGGGAGGGGCTCAGAGACTTCTTCTCTAGCTTTCCTTGGAGAGACGTCTGTTTTACTGACACGGATGTGTCGGCTGTCTGTGCTTCGACAACAGAAATTATCCACGTCGGAATGGAGGAATACATCCCTCACACAGTGAAAGTGAATAAACCAGGGTCCAGGGGCTGGTTTAACAAATCGTGTGACACTGCTCGCCAGCAGAAGATCAAGGCACACATAACCTTCTTACAAAACCCCACTGTATAGAACAGACAAGCCGACGGCGACGTCGAGTCCAGAAACAGATATAACGAAGCGGTTCGCAATGCCAAAAACCAGCACGATATAAAAGTTAGGCACAGGGTAATGTCGCAGCGCAATGGCAGTCGGTCTTTCTGGACGCTGGCCAAGCAGATTGAGAAGAACTTCTCACACAGTAGCCTTCCACCACTTACGTGTAAGGATGGAACTATTGTATTCGACTCAAAGGCCAGGGCGGAAGTGCTAGCCAAGATCTTTGCTGCCAACTCCACCATGGACGTCCCCCCCAACGCCCAAGTGCCGTCACTTCAAAGGGTTCCCTACACTATGCGGAAGTAACATTCAGGCAAGACCGTAAGACGAGTGCTCTTGTCGCTCGACATCAACAAAGCTTCTGGTCCGGACTTGATTCCTGCCATTGTACTTTAGAGGTGTGCAGCGGAGCTTGCTCCAGTTCTTTCGCGTCTCTTCCAGATATCTTATGAATCCGGCACCTTCCCAGAAAACTGGAAATTTGCTCATGTCCAACCAATCCCAAAAAAAGGATCTGAGACCGACTCTAAGGCCCGTATCGTCAGTCGTCCCTACAATTGTAGGGCGCGTTTATGGCCTACTTGATTATCATACTCCTTTCTCTCCTTCAAAAATTTATAGATTACACTTGTCCCGTGTCAGCGTCAGCGCTCTTCTATTGTAAAGATATGTTTTCTTTTTAAATTGTAGGAAATTTCAGGCTGATAAAACATGATATAACTCAAAAGCAAGCACAATTTGATGCAAATAGATGTTTGTGACATAACCTCAAAATAGAGCGCTGACACGGAGAAATAGAAAACTATGACAATCAAAGAGGCCATAAAGGCGCCCTACAATTGTACAGGCTTTCTGTTATAAGTAAGGTGATGGAGAGGTAAGGCTCATGTCGTTGCTATTGACATCACGAAAGTATTCGATCAGCTGTGGCACGCTGCCCTCTTAAGCAAACTTCCATCCTATGGCCCCCCAGAAAAGCTTTGCAGATGGGTGGCTGACTTTATCTCTGGCCGCAAGATATCCGTCGTAATTGACGGGTTCTCCTCTTCATCCCACAACGTCAACGCGGGTGTTCCCCAGGGATCGGTCTTGGCTCCTACACTGTTTCTCTTACATATCAACGACCTCCTTTCCTGCACGATCAACCCAATCCAAAGCTTCGCTGATGACAGCACTCTACATGCAGGAATTCAGAGTGGCAAACAGATCTCTGCCGCTGAGCTGGAAAAAAGAAGACTAGCGACGACTTCCTCAATGCTTCCAAAACACAGTACTGTACTTTGACGAACAAAAAGCGTCCTAGCGCTCATCCAGTTTCGATGGACGGCCGAGTCCTGCCAAAGAGCCATTCATTTCGGCTAGTCGGCGTCCAGATCACCGAGGACCTGATCTGGACTTTTCACCGCATGACCTTCTCACTCTATACAAGGCCCAGATGAGGCCTAGCCTCGAGTATTGCTGACACGTTTGGGGTGCTGCCGCCCCGACAACATTATCCATGCTCGATGCTGTCCAGAGGAGGGCGGTCCGACTATCGATGACTTTTCGCTAACAGAAAGTCTCGGGACTCTTTCGCACCGGCGGGCCGTCGGCGATCTACCTCTTTTCTATCGCTACACCAACGGGCTTTGCTCCTCAGAGCTCTCTTCCATGATGCCGCCGCGCGATGTGCCTGCCAGACAGACCCGCCTGACTTTGGCGTCCAATTATAACCGTGTCGAATTTCGTCCATCCAGAACTGGCCGATACGACCGCTCTTTTGTCCCGAGGGTGTCGAGATTGTGGAACAATCTACAAGGGGAAGCTTTTCCCAGTTCTACTAACCTTAGGCAGTTCAAAAATCGTATTAACAAAATTTCTTTGGGATCATCATAGCAGCCGCGACATTTAGGCTTCTGCCTGCGCGGCTGCTTCGATATATATAAAAAACAGGATCTGACAGCAGCATAACCTCTCAAACGTTCAAACATATCAGCATGACGTCTACTAGTTTAGATGAAAAATATAGTTATCATCGTTATTGTATCGACCGAGAATGTAAAAACACAAAACCAGTGGATTAGAGTAAAATATACTCAACAATGTGTATCTAGGTAATATGCTTGGAGCATACCATCGTGACATATTTTACATTTTACTGTGCACATTTTATCATCTTTATTAAACTGGATGCAACATCACCGTACGATTCCCTTGCAGATGTGTAAGAAGGAATACAATATTAGATAAAATCATTCTTTTTATGTCTAGCATTATATCAGATGCACTTAACTTACATAGAAGTTGTGATATCCTTTGGCTCATCAGAGCAACAATCTAGGTTGAAAGCGAAAAGAATACCAACCACCAGTGTGTCAATTTTCGGCAAATTTGTACTTTTACGAATTCAAGGTCCATGGTCGTTTTTTTTTAAACTAGAAAACGATGATTTTTTTCGTTGATTATGACTTTTTTAGAAAGACTTAAAGAAGACAACGTTAGAGACATTCGGATGACGTTTGTTTGATTACAATTTATATGACGTCACATCATGGTCGGTAGTATTTTCACCGTTTCATAGTAAAATTAAAAAATAATGTTCTTTTTAAATTGGGATTATACTCGTGCAGGGTGTTTTCAAAGTTGAGTCATTAATATTAACAGCTTTTATAACTCGTCTAAAGAAGTTGATATACCAAAAATGATTGCTGTGGAAATTGTGCACTCCATTTCGTGTAAATGTGGCCTCGTCAGTACACTAAATTAATTTCGTAAATTCTTTTTTTCTGCCGAACTGTTCTGAAAGCCACAGGCAAAATGCAATTCTTCTAGAATGATCAGGTTGTAACGCTTGTACCCGTTGATAGTGATAAGTACAGGGTTTGTCCGGAAAGTAATAGGACTGAGTCGAACATCGAAATAATTCGTTTTCCTATACGCCAAATACTGTAATACATCATACACAAAATAGCAGGCAATAAAGGCAATAAATCACAGAGGTTTTGTAAGCGAAACTAGGTTTCAAAAAAGGTATCGTTTCTTATAATCGAATTTTGTATTTGAAGTTATTTATAAATTCCACGTGATTGTACGACTTTAGACGATTATAAGTAATTTGTTTGAGAAGATTTGCACAAACTGATCTGATTAAGTATACATTACAGAACAGACTCACGTTTGTTTTTTGTCATTAACTCTAAAAACAAAAAAGTTATAACGATATTTATGAGCAATTTTAGGTAAAGCAAAAAAACGAAAAACATATCTCGGTAACCGTAGCCCTTAGAGCATTGCGGTTTCCATCAAAAATCATAACAATAGCATCCCCAGTCGACAACAAATTTTGTTGGTTCATGTATATGAGGCCTATTCCGAACCATGGATGTTGTGTTTTGAGTTGCCTATATCGGCAAAAAGGGTTAAAGGTGGCTTAGGTGCTTGCTCAACACTACTACTTCTCTTATCAATTCTACTCCCTCATTTCAAGAATTTAAGCATCTGCCCTGAATCAAGGTACAGGGTGTTCGTTAATGATATGCGAATATTTTAGGGTGTGAATCTACATAAAAAATTAATGTTAGCTTTCTTTATGAAGTCCAAAAATATTCCCTTATAAAATCTCGGGGTGTTGAAGTTTTAGGAAAAAAATGGAAGTTAATTAATATTTTCAGAACCGCTTCAGATATTTCACTGATATTTAGTACATAGTGAAATTTAATAAAGTTTCATATTTTTCAATTAAAAATAATTTTTAGCTTTAACAGTGGCGTGCGTACGGGTATTGACGCGTACGGGTATTGACTTCGATATTTTTTAAGAAGGTACGCCAATGGTTTTTTGCCAAAAAAAAAGTCATTTTTGAATTAACCGTTCAATTTAAACCAAATAATCTCTCTTGAATTGTTTTCCTTCGATGCGCCATTTTTGAGTAAAAAAATAAAAGCCGTTCTATTGTCTAACTTGCAAAATTATTATTAATTTAATTGGAAAAATTAAACACATTAGAGGTAATGAACAACAACAACTGAGAACATAAACATAACATTAAAACCAACGAAATGATTACAAAAATTGTTGAAAATGGCCCCCTTCACTTAGTATGCATGCTTCCGCCCTCCTTCGCATGGAATTGCGCACTCGTTGAAATATCCCTGGTATGTTTTTTATTCTATCACAAGCTGCAATTATTTTTTCTCTTAATTCCTCTGCAGTGTTAATAGGACTTGTGTACACAAGAAATCAAAGCTGTTGAGGTCTGGGGACCCTGGTGGCCAAACAGTTTGTAAATAATTACGAACTGTTACATTGAAATGCGCTGGTGCACCATCACGCATGTACCACCATTGTTTCTCGTTACCAACGGAACATCATCAAGCAGCAAAGGCAACTGTTGTTGAAGAAAATTAAGGTAAGTCTGTCCGTCAAGTAGTCCCAGCAAAAAGAATGGGCTAATAAAGTGGTTGCCAATAATTCCTGCCCATACGTTAACCGAAATTTGGTTTCGGTTACGGCATAGGGATTTTCTTCTGCCCACAAATGATTATTGTGGAAATTCTGAATGGCATTTCGAGAAAAATTCGCTTCCGTGAACAGAATCATTGATTCAAATTGCGGATTTTGTGTAACTTTTAGAAGATACCACTGACAAAAGGTCACACGCCTTGGAAAATCAATGGGAAGTAATGCCTATACTCTTAAAATATGGTAAGGATATAACAAAAAATCTACTAAAATTCTCCAAACAATTTGATGGCAAATATTTATGTGTCTAGCGATCTTCCTCGTACTCGTTTCAGGATGTTCTCCGACTTCGTGCAGCACTGCTTCGTCAATTTCAGGTGTTCTCACACTTAGAGGTCTACCTTCAGATGTTCCTTTTCGGACAGAACCAGTTTCAACAAGACAACCATGAATATTAGAAAAGGTTCGGCTATCTGGCAAAGCACGATCGTGATATCTCTGGTGATAAATCCGTCTAGCTTGCTCACCATATACGTAATGCATTTCCGCCATTTCTGCATTTGAATAATTCACCATTATTAACAAGATTGTAAAAACTAAATAATGAAAAACATGTCACAGCGAACAGATTTAAATAACAGGGACTTGTCAGATGTCAAAAGGCAGTGACATATTCCAGAGTAACTAGATATTAATTGCTAAATTGCATTCTTCAATTATTAGATTAATTTTCTCGGACAATAGAACGGTTTTTATTTTTTTACTCAAAAATGGCACATTGAAGGAAAACAATTCAAGAGAGATCATTTGTTTTGAATTGAGCAGGGAATTCAAAAATAATTTTTATTTGACAGAAAACATTGGCATTTTTGGACCATGGTTTATAAAGCAAACTAACATTAATTTTCCATGTAGATTCACACCCTTAAATATTCGCATATCATTAAGGAACACCCTGTATATTATGAATAATTGATGTTACCTGGAGCACTAGGGAAAATCCATTCACACTGAATGTCTGTAGGATAAACTTTAGGATATCCTGGTGTCGAAAAATATCCTTCCAAAGCTGTAAATGTACCTCCGCAATCTAAAACATTTAAGATAAAATTTGAAATATTGATAAGACGCCGGTTTCAATAACACTCACGTGAGTCAAATACGGAGTATGTAGCAACAAACTCTACATTATCGCTGAGTTTGATGGTTAGAGAGTTACCGTTACTAGTAATTGTTGGTGGAATTTTAGGGCCACAATAAGACTTGATCAATGGTGCTTGATCGGAATCTCCATCGTATATTGAATAATCTTTATATTCATAATAGTCACCCCCATCACAGTACGAATTTGATTCTAGATGGGTAATGCTCAAAGAAACGTGTTGCGCTAGAAGAAAATGAGAGTTTGAGAGTATATTCCAAAAAGAAATTGTTATAATTACTTGGTTCAGAAGAAGTGATGACCCATAAGCACTCTGACCTTGTGAACTCATCTTTGCCCACTCTGATCATTCCCGAACTCTGAGTTGTTATTCTGGACCCACATGCCTGAAGAACGAACATTTTGACATTAATGTGCTGTAACTTGTCGAATGTATACGAGGGTGAATCAAATATGAACCGGACTTTTGTTCTAGTAATTTTATTGGTATAGTAAATACAAGTTTATTTACATCTTATTTTTCTACTCCCCTCTTTTATTGATGCATTTTCCCCATCGGATCGGAAGTTTTTTAATTCCCTCATCAAAGAATGAGGCTGTTCGTGTCAGTAGCCAATTGTGCACGCATGTTTCCACGCCTTCGTCGTCGTCAAAGTGGTGACCTCCCAGGACCTCTTTAAGTGGCCAAACATGTGATAGTCACATGGCGACAAACTGCGACTGTATGGAGGATGTTCAAGTGTTTCCCAATGAATTTCGCGTCATTTTTCTTTCTTTTTCGCCGATAGGCCACTTTCACTTCTTTGAGCAATTGACACTAATAACTAGCATTAACTCTACGGCGATCGTGAAGAAAATCAACTAGCAGTACACCTCTGGAATCCCAAAATACCGTTGCAAGAACTTTTCCTGCAGAAAGACTGGTCTCGGCTTTTAGCGGTGCTGCCTCTCCAGGCTTTCGCCACTCCATGGACATTTTTTGCCAGTCGTATACGCCCTCACGAGACAAAAATTTTATGATAATGCGTCGCGCAACAGACGTCTGCAACTGTTGCTCAGACATGATGTAACAGCAGCTCATCTGGCATCTGTGCTGATCTGGCACGAACACATCTCGTCAATAGCTGCAGCTGCTGGGAAAAAGCTAGGCTATTTTTTTTTATACTCCAACTACCACGAAGGCCTAAGGCCTAAGCACCCATTGGGTACCGTGGGGCTATAGGGGGATACATGGGAAAGGGGGGACGCCACACGGACTCTGGCGAGGGAACACGTGTGCATGCAACATGCACACATTCTGGCTCCGCCTACGAGAACCGCCGGGTGGTACCTCCGCGTTCGACAGTCAGAGACCATCTACCACCTACGGACAATCACAACATCCATAGCCAAGAGAAAAATTTCTCCTGGGACGGGACTCGAACCCGCACAGCGCACGGCGACTGATCAGGAGACCGAAGGTCTACTACTGCGGCCACCGCTGCTGCCTAAAACAAACACACAACATCCATGGCGAAGGCGAGATTCGAACTCGCGGCCCGGCCGGCCGGCTGATCAGTAGCACGACACTCTGACCCACGCGGCCAACCGAGGTCCCATTTGTTTAGGGCTAAGAAGTACTTTTCTCCACATGACCTTCTCACTCTATACAAGGCCCAGATAGGGCCTAGCCTCGAGTATTGCTCACACATTTGGGGTGCTGCCCGACTACATTGTCCATGCTCGATGCTGTCCAGAGGAGGGCGGTCCGACTGATCGATGACTCTTCTTTAACAGACAGTCTCGGGACTCTTTCGCACCGGCGGGCCGTCGGCGATCTAGCTCTTTTCTATCGCTACACCAACGTGCTTTGCTCCTCAGAGCTTTCTTCCATGATGCCGCCGCGCGATGTGCCTGCCAGACAGACCCGCCGACTTCGGCGTCCCATCCTAACCGTGTCAAACTACATCCAGAACTGGCCGATACGACCGCTCCTTTGTCCCGAGGGTGTCTAGATTGTGGAACAACCTACAAGAGGAAGCTTTTCCCAGTTCTACTAACCTTAGGCAGTTCAAAAATCGTATTAACAAAATTTCTATGGGATCATCATAGCAGCCGCGGTGTTCCGGCATTTAGGCTTCTGCCTGCGCGGCTGTTTCGATATAAAAAAAATCTACTTCGGCGCGCCAAACCGACTGACTCCCCTCTTCCTGACATCTCCACCCAACATATACCAAGACGTCGCCCCACTCCATTCACCTACGGCGCGTTAAACAGAAAAGTCCGGTTCATATTTGATTCACCCTCGTAAGTTAGAAGCAAAAATGTTTGCGCGGTGTCGCATTTTTTAGGCAAACTTCACATGATAGAGTTTTTTTTGGAATAAAAGACTACTCACTTTGCGGTACTTGGCTCTAAATCCTTTAGTAGTTACTAATTCGTGAGATACAAATTCCACAAACATGTTATTATACGTAGATCTGAATGTTTTGTTTGGCGTAGTTTGTCCACAAACAGTAGCTAGAACTGGGTAAGCTGCAGAAGGGCCATCGAATACCTGTAGAATAAATTCGATATTTCGATTAGTGATATCCAAGAAATGAAAGCCTGCACCTGCTTCAAAATATGAATCTTTGTCCATCTGATTTTTGTAAACGTGTCCACCAACTGACTTAGTACCCAGTAAACATAGAAAGTTATATAAGCATTACTATACAGTGTGTCCCAGCTATACCTACAGCAAAGGCTAAATAGGGAAAGTTTCCAGCCTAGTAAACTTTTTAATTGTTTTAAGTAACTAAATTATAGCAGAAAGAATTAACACTTATTTTATAGAAAGTGTAAGTCAAACAGTGAAGACACTTGATGACGGTGATCCAAACTTATGTCCATTACAAGTATGTCAGAATTCATCAATGAAGCAATTTAGGACATTTAACATCAACAGTCTAAGAAAAGCTATATCAAAATTGAAATCAAATAAAAATCCAAATGAGAATCTCTCAAAAAATATTCGAAATCATTGTTTCAATATAATTGGCGAGAAATTATTATTATTGGTGAATCATTGTTTAGTACATGGTGAATTCCCATCAAAATTAAAGTGTTCCACCATTACTCCTGTGCCAAAAGTTCAAAATTCTCAGCTTTATACAAATATGCGACTGATCAGTGTCTTGCCCGATGTCGGGAAGCTGTTCGAAGAGATAATATACGAACAAGTCATAGAATTCATTGAAGAAACCAAAATTTTGACAAAAAATCAAGCTGGATATAGAAAAAAATGTTCCACAGAAACGGCAATCCAAATGGTGGTGAAAGACTGGAGAAGAAGTATAAATGAGAGAGAATATATTGTAACAATATTTTTAGACTTCAAAAGGGCATTTGAGACTATAGATAGGGAAAAATTGTTAATGAAATGGCGACATTATGGCTTTGAAGGATCAGTATTACACATTTTACAAAATTATTTAGTAAATAGAAGTCAAAAAACTAAAGTTGGAAATATTATGTCAAGTGTTCAAAATATATCAGTAGGGGTGCCACAGGGGACTAAATTAGGGCCGTTACTATTTATTATTTATATGAATGATATCTCTGACATTTTAGAGCACTGCAAAATTCAAATATTTGCGGACGATACACTTATATATATAGCACATAAGTATTTGGACACTGCTTTAGAAGTGTTAATTAGTGATATTGAAACAATTATGAATTGGTTAAATGTCAATAAATTTAAATTAAACACTAATAAAACAAAATGTATGTCAATAGGGAAACATTTAATTGACACTACAATTAGGCTCATGATTAATGATGAAAAAGTAGTCGAGTCTATTAAATGATGCTTGGTGCTCACAAAACAATCTGTCATTAAACATCAATAAATGTTACGTAATGTCTTACACTTTGAAGAAAAATCCTCTGTTATTTGACTATACCCTGTCAGGTAGCTCTATTCAGAGGACTTCAACTTTATGTGACTTAGGCGTGACATTTGACTCCCAACTAACATTCGTCAAACACATTGACAGCAAAATTTCCGAGGCAAACCGCATGTACGGCTTTATTGTACGAAACTGCCGTGACTTCACTCAGAGTACCACCTTGAAGTTGCTGTATTATGCATATGTTAGGTCGAAGCTTGAGTATGCATTGCTAATTTGGAATCCGCATCATATTATTCATATAAGTAGGCTTGAATGTGTTCAAAGACGTTTCTTAAAATATTTGTCACTGAAAGTGGATGGCGTTTACCCGCCCATAGGTATACCTCATGATTCCTTACTTGAAAAACATCTAATCAGCAGTCTTGAAGCAAGGCGCACTTGCCAGTCAGTGATTTTTCTATTTAAGTTGATCAATAATGCTAGTGATGATTTAGCTTTATTGGGTCAGTTATCATTTAACGTACCTAGGCTGACATCCCGACAAAACGTTACGTTTTATCTACCTGCGGCACGGACAAATTATTTACACTATTCCCCTTTACATGTGATGTGTAGGAATTACAATTCTGCAAGTAACAGGATTGATATATTTAACTGCAGAATTGCAGACATAAAAAATACTATTAAGTAACCAGCATGTATCTTTTACACTTTGTAGTCTATTACTTATTACTTATTATTGTCTTTTATATCTGTGTTATGTTCTGTGTTTCCTCACCCTGTAATTGGTATTTACTGTAGGGTGTTGTAATGAATAAAATAAAATAAAATAAAATAAAATAAAATAAATATCTTAGTATATATGTGGATAGTTAAGCTACTGTTTCACGAACATTATGAATACATTATTTCAAAAATATCGAAAAAGATAAATTACTTCTATAGACTTTCCCATAATCTTAGTATGTATTCCAAAAACATTGTGTATAACACTTAATTCTTCCTCATTTTTTATATTGCTCAACCATCTTGTTTACAGCAAATGAAAACATATTTTCAAAATTACAAATTCTACAAAATAAAGCTATGAGAATCATTTTAAATAAAAACAAATATACTAGGATTAAGTCTATGTTAGAAGAACTGCAGTGGTTGGAAGTGAAAAATGTCATATATTAGTTAGTTCTCGTTTTCATATTCAAATTAAAACATCATTTATTGCCACCACATTTAGAGAACTTCACAAAATTAAATAGTCATTTTCATAACTACGAAACTAGAGGTAGATTTTCATCTGCAAAATTGTAATAGTAGCATAACTAGTAAATCTATATTTCAAAAGGGCGTATTTGAATTTAATAAATTGAATAATGATATTAAACAGAGTTCGGATTTGAAAATGTTTAAGGTAAAATTAAAAAATCACTTTATGAATAATTAAAATACATAGTGACGTAATTTTAATAGGTAAGAATGTAAAATTACAGAAAATGGATTGATGAAAAATATGTAACCGAATCATTATACAAAATTGACCTTGTAGCATTAATGCTAAATAAATCTTCAACAACAACAACAACAACAATTATTCGGATTAATTAAACTGCATTTCTGGAAGATGTTTAGTTGGAAATAGCAAACCAAGTTAAACTGTTTAATCGGATTACATAATTTAATAGAAATGATTAATTTAAAACAAGTAAGCATTTTAATAAAAACACTTAAACTGTTTATTTGAATCCAGGACTCGGCCCTTCATTCGCGAATGATCGGGAGTATGCGACAGACGCAGTGCCGGTGACATGCTCCGAACTACTCGGTTTCATTTGTGATTTTCGGACTTTCTTATTCGTTGCCGTTGTTGGTGTAGTAGTAGTGAAGTAGATCAATTATTATGGTGATCAAGTGGATACTCAAACATAAGGCGTGCATAACCATGGTTAGAATATTTCTTCATCCCGATGAATCACTGTATAGGGTAGTCTTTGGAATTTTATTTATGGGACCGTATTTATGTGTCATGCATTTATACAGGGTGCGGCAGAGAGGACGGACGTTTTTGGGATGGGTAGTACTCTCCGCCTCCGTCTACGAGAGAGGTGGGGAGGGTGCCGTTTGACTCGAGAGATCCTAGCATTATTTTACCAGTTGTCGTTATGGAGCCTTGGACGGTGGAGCACCGCGTTTTCGCCTATGAGTGACGAAGCCCACTTTCACCTAAACAGCCTGGTTAACCAGCAGAATTGTCGTTATTGGGCTAATGAAAATCCGCAACAGTTACACGAAAGACCGCTGCACAGCCCCAAAGTAACGGTTTGGTGCGCTGTATCGCAAACTTGCATCAGTGGCCCTTACTTCTTCGAAGACGGTAATGGTCGTGATGTTACCGTGAACTCAGAGCGCTCCGTCAACATGATCACCAACTTCTTTCTCCCTGAATCACGACGGCGACGGGTTCCAATCCGACGTGTGTGGTTCCAGCAGGATGGGGCGACCGCCCTCTCTTCCCTGGTCGCCTTATTTCCAGGTTTGGCGATGTTCATTGGCCTCCTTGGTCCCCAGATTTATCCGTATGCGATTTTTTCTTATGGAGACACCTCAAGGTTAGAGTATACGCGAACAGGCCCCGAACTCTGGACGAATTGAAGGGCGAAATTCGCGTGGAAGTCGCCCAAGTTGACAGAGCGATGTTGGAGAGAGTCTACGCGAACTTCCAAGAACGCCTCCAGCACTGCATCAACGAATTCGGGCACCACATGCCTGATGAGATTTTCCACACTTGACTGTCTCAAATGCTATTTCCTTGTGAACCTGATTCCATCAATAAATTTGCTTTCGAGTAAAAATTAACTATTTTATGTTTTTTTAAAACCGTCCATCTTCTCTGCCGCACCCTGTACCAAAGATGTGCTTAACATAGGCTTCATGTGCTTTTTTATATTGATTGTATAGGATGTGAAGCTCCCTGGTTGTGCAGACTTTGTAGTATTTGAAAATATTGTAGTTTATTTAAAGTGAAGACAAATTTGGTTACATAAGTGAATGCGTTGAATGCGGGTGAGTTTTATTATAGAAATAAAAGTACAATTTTTGCACACACGATCAAGAGGCCTTATTCAGTTTCAGAGTATGATAGGAAAAAGATAATAATGATACGACAGTCTCCCTCCTAGACTCAGAGCAAAAAAGCATTGCATTGGACTTTGATGCATTTATGGCAAGATTGTGCGATTTTGAAAATTGACAGCCTTTTAATATCACTTTAAATTAGTTTAAGCATTGCTGATATTATCTATATCAAAGAAGTGAGGAAGATGCGTATCATCGGCAAAGGATTGTATCTCTGAGTTGTTGACATTTCTTAGCAAGTCAGCGATATATAAAAGAAAAAGTAGCGGCCCAAGGACCACGTGAAAATGTGTGCTGTCTGGAAAGACTTTGCCAAATCACCTAATACAAATATTCTTAGAACGTTTTCCAGCAGATATGCTCCTAATGGTAGATGACATTCTTAGAATTTTTTGTTTAGCATTTTTTGTCACTTACCTTCACATAATTGAAAGTGCAGTTGTTCGAGAGAAGTAAATCGACATCCTCAAATACAAGTTCGACTGAGTGACTTTCGTCTACATCTATCATCCACTCACACGTTTCGTTTTTGTTATAGTTTTGCGGATAGTTTGGAGATGTTATCACACCTTCAGTGGCAACAAATTTTCCACCACAAGCTGAAATTGTCAGAGGAGTTAAGGCAGGTTGTCTATTAATGCAATACGTTGAATGGCACGATGCGACAAATCACACGCAACTAGCTGCTTGATAATTGAAAAAATAACTGACTAGTTCATTTCAAAAGCCTCAGTCACTCAATTATATTTTTTCAGGAGGAAATAATCGCTGTCATAATGGTATACAGGGTGACGGGAAAATAGATGCGGAGCCGGTGGAGAGAGATAGTACATGCCAATCTGAGTCGATTTTACTATAGGAACTACTGTCCGAAAATTAGCCGTTTTCGAATTATACTAATTTTTAAGATTTTATAAAATTAACGCCCTTTATACGTTAACCAAGTCATAAAACTTGAAAATTGGGTGTTTCATTTGATTTTTTTTTGTTTTACAATAAAAATATTCTAAAATACGAAAATTGATACTCAAATGTACATTATTGACGTTATCTCATGCAGTAAGCTTCAAAATAGTTCAATTTTTGTTAAAAAAAATCTTCGTTTATCTCAAAAACTCAATTTACTAGAAACAATCACCTACAAATTTTTCGTGCAAAACAATTTCAAATTATCTACGTTTCATTACCTTTCAAATGAGGTATCAAAGTCACAAACCGGTTTAGAAATGACAAAGATATGAGTGAAAGAAACAGGTAGAGCCGCGAATATCGGACTTTGCCACCGAAATAGTGTGATAAGTAAGACTAGTCCCTCCCACGCTTCAATCTGCTCCTGCGATTTGTTGCGTTCGGATGTGTTTGTTTGCTCGCTGTTTTGATATTTCTAACGACTTGGCTCTTGTTGGACTTCCGTGTGTGATTCTTTTCCTGACGACCTAGACTGTACCCTATTTTCTGTGATTCCTTACGACGAAAATTTCTTAAGAAATGTTCTATTTGAATTACTTGAAGACGTGCACACATGACACAGAATGATTTTTCAGCATGACGGGTGCCCAGCACATTTCAGACTAAGTGTTAGAAATTGGTTAAATGAGCAGTTTCCGAATCGGTGGATCGGTAGAGGCGGACCAATCCCATGGCCAGCACGCAGTCCCGATCTCACACCTATGGGCTTTTTTGTGTGGGGTCGCAAGAAAACTTTAGTATACTCTGATCAAAATCCTGTACCCGCAATAGAAGACCTCAGAAACAGGATAATACATGCAGCACAAGAAATTCAAGCCTCTCTTAGGAATTCGGCGATAGTAAAATCAGCTGTCATTGTGTGCATTAGAAATAGAAGGTGCCATATTGAAAACGTCTTATAAAAATAAAAAAATGTAGTTTCAAACAAATTATCCTGTATTAAGGTATGATTTTGTAAGTGTAGTATTTTTATTGCTTTTTTCTTCCTCCTTTTATAATAGTCATATTTTTTCCATTTCTTAATCAATTTGTGATTTTTATACCTCATTTGAAAGGTAATGAAACGTAGATGTTTTCTAATTATTTTGTACGAAAAAATTTTATGCGACTTTTTCTAGTGAACTGAAGCTTTTTAGATGAACGAAGATTTTTTTAACAAAAATCGAACTTTTTGAAGCTTACTGCATGAGATAACGTCAATAATGTACATTTGAGTATCAATTTTCGTATTTTAGAATATTTTTATTGTAAATCAAAAAAATTAAATGAAACACCCCATTTTCAAGTTTTATGACTTGGTTAACGTATAAAGGATGTTAATTTTACAAAATCTTAAAAATTAGTGTAATTCGAAAACGGCTAATTTTCGGACAGTAGTTCCTATAGTAAAATCGACTGAGATTGGCTTGTACTATCTCCCCCCACCGGCTCCGCATCTATTTTCCCGTCACCCTGTATAACTTGAGCAAAATGATCAAATTAGTCATATATTTTATTGCATGTTCACAAATTTTTGCTTTCAAAAATGTACCTCTACAAAAAGATGTTTTTGAGGTTGCTGAAAACGAAAATGATTTTCCGAAAGAACCGTTGTTGAGGTTTTTGCAGAAAACGTGTTTTTTGTGCCCTAGTGCAGTTATAATCTGAAATCTTGGAAACGGTGCGCGTGATTTTTTTGAAGTGTGTTATTTTCTAAAAGCACACATATTCCCTTCACGGCAATATATAATTTGTGTCAATCGAATTCGTAGTGTTGAAAGTTGAAAAAGGGCATTTTTGAAAATTATCGAAGTGTACTAACTTTTTTTACTTGTGGCATTAAGATAATTTTTCCACATACAGATGGAGATTTTTGCTATTGTAATAACGTGAATGAGTTTTTTGCTGCACTTGGATAAACTCACGATCCGAACAAGTGGCGTCTATTTATTGATGGTAGCAAGTACAGTGTTAAGGCTGTTTTACTCCACAAAGGCAACAAGAAACCATCGACTCCCGTTGCCCATTCCACAAATATCAAAGAAGCATACGAAACAATGAAAGAGCTACTTCAACCGTTTAACTACAGTCAGTATAACTTGAAAAGATGTTGTGACTTGAAAGTTGTCGCTATTCTGCAGGGTGGATATACAAAATACAGTTGTTTTTTGTGTCATTGGAATAGCAGAGCAGATGAAAGACATTTCAATATACGTGATTATCTAAACCGTGTGGAACATGTCATATAAAACTTGAGCTTATGAAAAACATTTTCAAAGCTTTGGCAAAAAACACGGTTTTAAAATACTTGAAAACCAAGTTCCAATAAACTGTCAACAGAAAAAAACAAAGCAGGTATATTCGTCGGTCCACAAATTAAGAAATTATTTACTGACACAGAGTTTATAAACAATGCTTGAACAATTCCGAAGCTAAAGCTTGGGGAGCTTACCAAAAAGTTGTTAATGGATTCTTGGGAGCAAGAACGACCATCAGTTAATTCATACAATGATGAACAACTTCAATGCTATTGGTTAGTAGTGAAATACGTACATACTATAAAATACATTATTCATATTAAAGATTATGCATACAGGTTCTCGCATGTCTTCGAAAATGCAACTAATTTACAGTCATTTGGATTTTGGGTGCTGAAAATGATGAATAAGGCCGATCTCATCAACACATTGCTGCGGTTGAAAAGCGTGATGAGGGCTTTTGGGATCAAGGTATGATGGGCGACTGTTGCTGCACGCAACATAAGAGAAAGAGTTTGAGAGTGAAAGCGTATTTTAGACCCTAAATGTAACTGTGTCAAATACGAGGGATGTCTTTTACGTTTTGCATATAGAAACATAGTAGGCCGAGCGGATCGAACGTCAGTACTGAATCTTAACCTCACTCTTTAGTAAACTTAAATTCAAAGTGTTTTTTTTTTTTTTTATACTCCAACTACCACGAAGGCCTAAGGCCTAAGCACCCATTGGGTACCGTGGGGCTATGGGGGATACATGGGAAAGGGGGGACGCCACACGGACTCTGGCGAGGGAACACGTGTGCATGCAACATGCACACATTCTGGCTCCGCCTACGAGAACCGCCGGGTGGTACCTCCACGTTCGACAGTCAGAGACCATCTACCACCTACGGACAATCACAACATCCATGGCCAAGAGAAACATTTCTCCTGGGACGGGACTCGAACCCGCACAGCGCACGGCGGCTGATCAGGAGACCGAAGAGTCTACTACTGCGGCCACCGCTGCTGCCTAAAACAAACACACAACATCCATGGCGAAGGCGAGATTCGAACTCGCGGCCCGGCCGGCCGGCTGATCAGTAGCACGACACTCTGACCCACGCGGCCAACCGAGGTCACAACAATACGTGCAGTGTTCTCACTACAGTGAATTTTTAGGTGTCACCAAGTCATTAGAAAAATGGAACTCAACCGAGAACATTTTCTCGCCATAATTTATTCCAACTTTCAGAGACAATTATCGCAACAAGAATGCCTTGCTGAGTTACTGTCTGTTTTCGGCAATTTCCCATTGGTATGGAGAATTCAAACGTGGAGGGGTGAGTCCTAGCGACGATCCCAGGGTGGGTGCACCAAAAACGGCAGTCACCCAGGAAAACGTCGATGCTGTGCGCAAACTTATCATTGAAGATAGACATGTGACGTATCGCGACATTGAGGCGTCCTTGAAGATCTCAAAGACCTCAATTCCAAAAAATTTACATGAAGAATTAGGAAAACGTAAGTCACAACAAACGTGTGTTCCATATCACTCTTAAGAGATTCCTTGAATAAAGGGACATACCTAAAATACTCATCTACCTCTACAGCAAAAAAAAATCATCTGGTAAAAATGTGACCTAGGTGGTTTTTGAAATAATCGAATCATGTGTTTTTGATAGATGGCGGCTTACAACTATTCGGTTTTGCCTTTCATCAACTCACTTGTTGGTATAGCAGAATAATTGGCCTTGAAGCCTCTTCCACTGAGAGAGTAGTCTGATTGGAATTCTATGAACATAAAATTTCCTGTGGATGAGACTATTGTACTTTTTCTCTGATGGCAAACTGTGGTCAATAGCGTGTACGTGTTGTCCATCCCATTATAGATCTGGAAACAAAAATGTCAGTTTGTTGTAGCTAAGCTAAGTGCAGATGCCAAGCATCTTTTTTGAATGTTAAATGTATTTTGAAATCTGGATCTTAGATAGAGCCTTAGATCAAAATTCAGAATTGGGAAGAGAAAAACTCGACAAAACTGTTTACCAATACAAAATACTTTTATTAACACCTACCCAAAGAAAGATTAAAAAACCATTTATACAACATTTTATACAAAATTATAAAGATATAATGTATACTGTATCCTGCTCTCCATCCTTTCTCTGAATAAAAATTTGATACAACAAATTTATATACAAGGTGTTGATTTGAAAACTTCCCACCTCGGATTAATCGAAAACCACTGATTAAAAGAAAAAACGCCAAGACATCTCAAAAGATTTATAACCAAAAACTACTTCACCGCTGCCCCTCAGGGTCATCCCCTTAAAAATTTTAAATGACAAGGGATTTCGAGTAATAGCTTATTTGAAAGATCTCCCAAATTTCTTTATTTTGACGTTTGATTTTTTAAATCAATTGAGGCAATTAAACTTGTATGCTGTTAAAAACTGGTCGATTTGCAGACGTTAAGGAAAATGCTATGTAATTAGTTTTATCCACATTTAAACTAAGTTTAGATGAATCAAGCCAACATTTTATTGTTTCCAATCCAAGAGATGTTTTTTCGTATACCTCTTCCCATGTTTCCGCCACAAAGACCACGACGGTGTCATCAGCGTATACCATTTTCTAGAATAATATCTGTCAAAGAGTTTATGTATAATATAAATAGTAATGGCCCAATAACGGTGCTCTGTGGTATGCCCATTTCTATTTCTGACGCGTCACTGATCACATTTCCGATTTTAGTCATCTTTATTCTACCTGTCAAGTAACTCGCAAAAACATCCGACACAACACCCCTGATCCCATAAATATCGAGGACATCTAGAAGGGAGTCATGAGGCACTGTGTCAAATGCCTTTGCAAGGTCTAGGAGGGCCGCAATGTATTTCTTTCCTTGATCATGATTTTTTTAATGAATATGGAGTTTAGTAACCATGTGTACAGAGCTTAATGAAATACCAGTCGCAACAACAATTTTGCGTAATGAAGTATTAGGATTTATTCCAAAATGACCCAAAACTTCAACTTGAGCGACTTCATCCAAAACTCTCCGATTAACACGTTTTTTATTTGCAACAGATCCAGTTTGATTAAATTTAGTATGCGAAGTTATCTTCCCTGGATGTCTGGCGTTAAACGTGACGACAGTTTGCCGAGCACATTGATTTTGGGCACCATAAATTAGAATCATTTCCACTCTTTCGACTAGTGTGTAAACCATTTTGGAAGGAAAATCTGAATCATTAAATCAATTTTCACTATCTCAAGACTGTCACAAAGGTAACTGACAGCAAATTAAATTCTTTCTTTTCCTTAGCAACAAATAACTAAATAGGTATAACAATAAATATAGTTCGCCTAGGTTATCTGTGTTGATGAAAAGAATGCGGAAATAAATTCGGGTTGTTATTTGGTTGTAGCCATGTCTAATCTTCCGAATTGCTGTTTATGCTGGTAGCTTGCGTTTTAAATTATAAACGAATTGCAGATTGGGCCAACCCTTGCGGGCAACAGTTTGAACACCTATTGAAATAAAAAGTGATATTTTCGTGAGTTTTAGTTTTCTATCTGAACAAATTAAGATAAATAAAGACTTTTACAATTTTTTTGAAAACGAATCGACCGATTTTTAAAAATCAAACGACAAAATGAATGACTTTAAAATACCTCTTAAACACGCTATTACTCGATACCCCTTGTCATTTAAAATTTCTAAGGGTATGACCCTGGAGGACAGAGGGTGAAAGGAGGTGAAGTAGTTTTTGATTAAAAAGTGTCTCGGCGTCTTCTCTTTTAATCAGCGGTTTTCGATAAATCCGTGATGGGAAGTTTTGAAATGAACACCCTGTATATGACTTATGCACATATGTATTATTTGAAATCGATTTACTTCAATAAAAAAGTAATCTGGAGCTCTAAAGAGATTTCAGTTTGAAAAGCTACATGTTCAGTGATTAATTCTCAAATTATTTAGAACCCAACTTTATTGTCAGTTTTTCAAAAGTGATAACTTCATAACGTCAATGTTTTCTGTCTATAATGACATTAAATTGTATTGACCAAACATCAAAATATAAAAAACTACTAAAATTATTTCGTAAAATTGATAACATAAAAAATGTTAGGCAACTATTCCAGATATTCAAAAGAAGATGCTCTAATACAATGCAGTTCATACCGACGAGTGAAACATGTCTCACACAATGACGCGATGTGTAAAGGTGTACGAAATTGGATCAGGAAGTCAGCATATCTTCTCAAGTTATAGCAGGAGTTCCCAACCAGGGGGCGCGTCTCCCAAGGGGGGCATAGAGGGATGTCAAAGGGGGCGGAAAGCGTTTGCATTTTAGAAAGAAGACACAAAAAAAATAAAAAATAACATTACAATGTAGTGTTTAATTTACATGCATAAAATTAGAAATTAAATATCATATTCACTTATTCTGTCAACCGCTGTTTCAAAACCCGGCGTCGTCAATCGCAGTTTATACAAGCTTCGACAATGAAATCCGCGCGCACCCCCGCCACGCTCCGCTTAACATTCATCACTTAGAAAACAATTGTGTACCTACCAGACGCGGATGAGCATCTGTGACATTCATTTCCACAAATTTGCAAAAAATTTCGTTTCGATGTACATGTTTTGTTGAGAAATCTGTTTGAGTATGTACAATTTTTGTGTCTCACTGTTAAAAGGTAAGTTGGTGTATTTACACACTTCAGTCACCATTTTTATTTAATTTACTAAATTGTTGATTGAATGGAGACGCGTTCATCGATCGGCCATTGAGACTTTTTTGCCACATCACAATCAAACCAACGTGGCGAAATAGTTTTGAAACGACGAACTTTAAGTACCTAATATTGATTCCAAATGTGCTTAAAATTACTATTATAACGTCAACCTGCCTACAAAAATATAAATCTCCCGGTGGCCAATATACTGTTGAATACATAACGTTATTAAGATAAAATAATGGGCATATAATTAGTAATTACATGTAGGTATTTTGCTCATTTAGTTATTACTTATTTGTTTCATTGTTATTGGGTCAAAATGGCAGCGAAAAAAATGAAGTTTTCCGAAGACTACGTTAAGTTTGGATTTACCTTCATAGAAAAAGACGAGTTATAATTGCCTCAGTGTGTGATATGTATGAAAGTTTTAAGTAATGATATCATGAGGCAGAACCACCTTGAAAGGCATTTGAAGCAACAACATCCTACTCTGGTTTTGAAGACGAAAGAGTTTTTTTCTTCTAAAGCAGAATCACTCAAGCGGATGAGACTTGATAAATCGGGAAGTTATCACACAGATGTATCGCAGCATCTCAAAGCTTCATTCAAAAGAAACCTCATACTATCGGTGAAAAATTAATAAAACCATGTGTTCTAAAAGCCACGCAGATAATTTTAGGAGAAGATGCAGAGCAAAAAAATAAAGTATATTTCTCTTTCAAATAACCCAGTCAAGCGTAGAATCGATGAGATTGCAGCAGACCTAAAGTCACAAATAATTAAAAAAGTAAAATTATTGCCATTTTTTGCCATTAGTTGCGATGAATCCACCGACATCGTTAATTGTGCACAGTTGATAGTACTCGTAGTTTATGTTCGTTACATCGGCGGAGATATCATTCAAGAGGAGATGTTGTACTCCCAATCTTTGACAGCAGGTACTACATCTGAAGATATACTCGTATTTAATTCAATATCAAATTTTGTTGAAAAAAATGATTTGGATTGGAAGACACTCATTGGACTTTGCACAGATGGCGCACTTGCAATGATAGGTGTACGATCGGGCTCAGCTAAAAGGCTCAAGACAGGCTTTTCTGCTCTATTTTTTTTTTGTCGATCGGTTTGGCATTGGAAGTTATCCATTTGCCACAGATGTGTGTTACTATTGATCTAAAGTTTAATTGTGAGCTAAACGTTCATTTTGATTCTTTGGAAGAAGTTTACCAAGCAATCTAGGATTTGCTTGTCACCTATGCTTAAAAGGGAGCTTATATTGGTGGGGAGTTGATATTTGGATTTCAGTATATCAATAAGAACTATGCGTTCTTGATTGTATTTTCCGCAAGCAAAAATAATATGATTTAGATCTGCAATTGATGCACTATCGCAATCGCATACACAAGTATCCAGAATGCCTATCCTATTGAGATGAGCAGGAAATCTTCCATGGTTTAGCTTCAAACGAGTGATGGTGACTGAATAATGTCTATTTACATTATACTCAAAAATATGTGGTATTTTTTTAGGCAATGTAGGATGGATGAATGAATAATGGTTATTAGATAATTCAGCAAAATGATTCCAGTGCACTTCCCATTTTTTTCTTATTTCCTTCTTTCCAGCGTTGACTACATCATAGTATTCGAGTTTGTTATTGGTAAAATTTGTTAGATTGGTTGCCTGCTTTGCTAAGATATCCACAGCCATGTTTCCGGTTATCCCAGCATGACCCTTTACCCATACAAAATGAATTATCTGACCTCTTGTGTTTAAGTCGTAGAGGAACTTTTTGATTTTACAGATGCTGATTGATTTTGAAAAGCTACGAAATGATAAATTGCTCACTGCCCTTAGAGCTGAGGAAGAGTCAGACATTATTAAAGCATTATGCTGTTGCGGTTGTTCCATCAACCATTGCAACGCAGCTTCTATAGCTTAAACCTCTGCAGTGAATACGGAGCATAAATCGTTCAGTCTATACTGTAGATTTACATTGTTCTGGATATGAACTGCACATTTTTCTGCTCTAGTTTTAATTAAAACTAAACAGCGAAATCGACTTGATGTCGACAGCGACCCGATGATACTTCTGGCAAAAACAGAACCTTGAATCAACCAACTGGTAGAGAACATGAAATCTCAACTGTCTGATTAGATCCGACTCTTATTTTATTCAAGCTTTTCGATAAAAAACATTTATTAGTTTATTTAAACTTTTAAAGTTCCTTTATTAGAATTAAAATGAAAGTCTTTGTACCTATATAATGTGCGTTTTTTTGTATTTATTGAAAAGGTAAAAAATATAATTTATAGTCCGGGGAGCCTCAACAAAAAAAAGGTTGGAAAGAAGCGTCTCCAAGTTCACCACTTCAAGATGTGTCCATGTAACTATGCTTTCTTGCTGTTAATTTTGTTACCTTTACCTTGACATGATCGTAGATACACGATGGCTCAGTTTCAACTTCAAGCTCCTGAAACTCAATTTCAATGCTGTATCCGTAAGCTACTTCTATCAGCCATTCACATTTTGTATTCTTTGGATATATATCCGGATAATTTGGAGACGTTATTGAGCCTGAATTTCCTCTCAAGTGTCCACCACATCCTATAAAATAATATACGATATACAAACAAAAAGTATAAATAGCTCAGCTCACTGAGTTGAATTCCGACAAGCCAAAACCAATTACTTTTTGACAAAGCAAGGCTATCCATCAAAACAGGAAGTTTGCTTGGGTTTTCTTATTGATTATTAAGGTACAATATTGTGTCGTAGTCCCGTAGTAGTACATTAGTACATGGTCCATCAGAAAGAACGCATGCTTTTTGAATGAGTAGTACTGTCAAAATAAGTATGGGAAAAAACATTTGAGGACGCGTGGATCCCTAGGGAACTGGAACGCAAACGGACGGAACGATTCGGGCTTTGCAGCGTGTCAACTCTCACTCTGTCTACGTTTTCGGGGTTTTGGTAGTTTTTTCTTCATCACATTACCTGTTGTGTTGAATGCTTCCACCCATCTCAAAATGGTGTTACGGTCTGGTACTGTCCCACGACGGGGAACACGAAAGTGAACGCGAAACTCACGTTGCGTTCGAACAACAGACTCGCCATTTTGAAAGTACCGACGTACAGTGAACACACGATGCTCAATGTTCCAAACCATCTTGCCAACTGAAACGGCACTTCTCCCACTATCCAACACGCCCTTCCCCACCGACAAGGGACCAGCCCACTCGATGTAGTACCGATGCGAAAAAAATGCGTTCTTTCTGACGGACCCTGTAGAACACAAAATAAATATAGAAGTCTATTTTGAAGAGAGTTACTGCTTGGTTCTGCTACCGTGACACTAGAATATTCAATTCCTTTTTAACTTCTCTTATGTCTATACTAAGTGACATATAAATCCGAACACCCAGTTTAAATGGTTTTATTTTAATAAAATTTTGTATAAGTACTTAATGAAGCATAATAAGTAAATGATAAAAATTTCAAAATGATTGCACTGCTTTAAACCCCTTTGACCTTTAATAATGTGTGGATGCACCCTGATGTGCTACGCATTCTCCAACGCGCCTAGGCATGCTTCTGATTAGGTGGTCAATGTCCTCCTGTGGTATCTCATTCCAGGCAACCACCAACTCCTCTCGAAGTGCTTCTAGAGTCTGAGGACGACGTTGCAAATTGAGCAATCTCCTACCCATCATATGCCACACGTGCTCAATTGGGGATAAGTCGGGAGATCTTGGTGGCCATGATAACAATGTGACATCATTATGTTGAAAGAAGTCTATTGTAACTCTTGCAACATGTAGTCGGGCATTATCTTGTTGGAAAGTTGGATCTGCCAGGGTGTCAAGATAGGGTAAAAGATGGGGTGCTAGAACTTCGTGGATATAAGGCTGCGCGTTCATGTTATCTCTCATGAAGATTAAAGGTGACCTGGAACCATAAGCTATAGCACCCTAAACCATAACTCCAACAGTGTGATGAACATGTCTTTCAACAAAAAACTGTGGATTCCTCCTTTCACCACGTCGCCTTCTAACCCTGGCACGACCATCGTCCATGCCTAAACAAAATCGAGACTCGTCACTAAAGACAATACTGTTCCATTCCTGATCCCAGAGTGACCGTTGTCTGCACCACTCAAGGCGATTACGTCGGTGTTCTCGCGTTAAAGGGAGGACCCAGTGCGGCCGGTATGAAAACAAGCCAAAACTTCTCATTCGTCGGTAAACACTTCGCATGCCAACAAGTCTTCCGTGTTCTGCAAACCATTCATTTGCAATGGACCTGGTAGTGGAGAAACGGTCCCTTAAGGCCAATAATCTTAGGCGGCGATCTTCACGGTCTGTTGTTCTACGGCGGCGTTCAGTGCCCCGTGCTCTTTGTGTACGGCCTTCTCGAAGCCATGCCTGACAACACCTAACCACAGTGTCTACACTTCTTTGCACTCTAACTGCAATTGCCCGAAAAGAAAGTCCAGCTTCCCGAAGTCCCACTATACGGCCCCTATCAAACTCACTAAGTTGACGAAATCGTACAGGTCTCCGTACTCTAGGCATCGTAACCGATCGTAAAAGATGTCAAGAACCAAAATCCGCCAACGTTGATTCTTTACTGCAGCTGAAATATTTATTTTTAGGGCGTTAGTTAATTAAAAAAAAGCAGTATAAAAACAGAAATGTCCAACTGATAAGGCTGAAAATTTTTTCACTTGTTATTTACAGTAAGATAAATACATTCACCAACTTTTATTAAAATAAAACCATTTAAACTGGGTGTTCGGATTTGTATGTCACTTAGTATATTTTAATTGGATATAATCATGCATTAGATAGATAGATAGATGTAATACTTTATTTGTGTGAGCCTTTAAATAGGATACAAAACGTCAAAGTAAAAAGAAAAGATATGGATAACTAATACATGACATGAAAGAAGTGGGATACAGAAACACATAAAAATAACGTGTGTTACTCGCACAAAAATTCATTGGTTCTATAAAATGTTAAAATACCTTATTTAGCAAGAGATTCCTAAGTTTACTTTTAAACAAAGATAAGCTGGTAATCTGCTTAATAAAGGCAATTTAAGGTTAAAATTTTGAATATGAATATTGGGATTATATCTAGTATTGTAGGCGTGAATTTCACTGCGCTGGGGGAATAAATCTGTGTGTTCTTTAACAAATAAGCATGACGCGTAGATTAATAATGACGGTAATGTTAAAATTTTATTATCTTTAAATACTAGTCTACAGCTGTCCAATGGGTTGATTAACGTATGCCACCTGAACAAGATACCCAATTAAAATATAGGAATTATACAGGGCAAATAAAGATTGAAGATCCTTGCGTTATCCATGAGACAATGCAGTGCCGAACAGTCTCTTTCAAAAGTAGATTTCAAAATTCATTTGTGTTTTCTGCTACTGTTTTATAGATGGCGCTAGTATCTTTCAGATCCCTTATATACGCCGATAGACGGGGTGTTAGGGAAATAATATTCTTAACTTTAAGAGGTGATTCCTTGAATTATTCTAAGCAAAAAAGTTCATTAGAACCTGTGTCCGAAAATCAACCGTTTCGGAGCAAAAAAATGCTGAACTTATGTATTTTCAGTAATGAAAATAATTAATTTTGCAGCTTAATAATTATAATTCATATGCCTAATATCGTAGAATGTATCAATACATCTATACTGTCTATAACAAAATAATGTTCTTGCTTATTAAATACAATTTTCCGAAGAAAAACAGACAAACAAAATCCCTCACACAACAGGCAACGTCGTACTCAGCCTGCACTGCGTGTATCATGGCGTGTTGTTGTGATTACTAATACATTTAACTGTAACTTTGTGTTTTACGGAAGTTGTTTCTTTTTTTATTTTTTCGTGCATCGCATCGTTTCAAATAAGTGACTGAGAATCGTGGGAATTGGTGGTGTGTACCGCCACGTTCGGGTAAGCTCTGTCTTTTTTTTAAGTAAATGTACTGTACTGAAAGCGTTATTAAATAAAAAATATTAGCCACAAAAAATTGCGTAAAAGTAGTCAATAATTCAAGGCATATTTTCAACAAAAATATCGTACAAACGTAAGCAATTCGATGAACCAGTTGCGGTCGTCGTTTGTTTGAGAAAATTTAATTATTTACGACTCACTTTCCTCGAAAACGATTTATTTTTGAACATAAGTTATAATGAACTTTTTTGCTTAGAATAATGCAAGGAATCACCTCTTAAAGTTACTAATATTATTTCCCTAACACCCTGTATAGTTGGATATATTCAGGTAGAGTACGTTAATCAACGCTCCAACTGAATCGAGGCGACCGATCTGGCACGCTGAATACGTGCATGTAAAGTGCTTTCACTGAATATAACTTACCAAACAACGCCCACTCCAGTCTGAGTTGATCTCCAGTTCCATATTCTCCCCTACTAACAAAGTGAACTTTTGCATCATTGCTGGAAATGGTAAGGTGTCCTGGGTTTGTACCACAATACTTCCCGTAACTTACAAATGGCGAGGATTCATCTTCTTCACTCTCAACGTAGGATATCTAAATCAAAATATATACAGGGTGAATCTTAGTGTGTATTTGTCGAAAACTCCGTTATTATAGACGGTATCCAAGAAAGTTGTTTGAAAAATTGCAAGTAAATATAATCTGTCCTTACATGGGAAGTATGCTAATGATGGATGTTAAAAATAATCAATTTTTAATTTATTCGAATATGTTTTCCTTATTGCGCGAAAGATGGCGGATGAAGTACATGTATGTGAGCGTTGCTCCGATAATTTTATCGTGAATAGTAAGTTAGTGTGCTGCAAAAAATGCAAAAAGAGTTAGTGCGTGTCAGTGAAGGACGATGCCCTGAAAATTTTGTCTAAATCTAATAATTTTGCTTGGTTTTGTGATATGTGTAAAAACGCAGAATATGGAGCGATTTGTGTTGACGACAATGGTAGACAAGCTGAGAAAAACAAGCTAAAAAGTGAATGTCTAAAACAAAAGGAAATTGAATGTCTACAACGCGAAAAATGCATACTTGAAAAATTGGTAACGGAATTAGAGAATGCATCACAGTTGCAGAAATTTAAAATTGATGTGTACGAAAAGGAGCTGAATGCGACAAAAACGTCATCGAATAATAGTGGAATGCTGCAAAAAACTGCTTCAGCAGAATCGTACAGCCAAGTGTTAAAAAAGCCATTGTATACCAACAATGACTCATCTGTGTTGCTGGTAAAATCTTCTGAAAGAAATTCTGAGGATATTTTCAAAAGAATGGCTCAAGTAGTAAACCCTGCCAATTTGGAAGTCTATATAAATAGTACAAGGAAGATAAAGAATGGTGTTGCCGACATTTGCAACAAAAAATCAAATTTGGACAAATTCAAAAACGTTCTACAAACCCAGTTAGGAGACGAATACGTTGTCGATGAGACAAAAAAACATAAACCACGCATTCGTGTGAAGAATGTTGAAATAACAGAGGATCTAAACAGTGACGATCAAATTTATTTATTTATTTATTTATTTAGCAACATCCAACAGCCATAGCCAATTACAGGATGGATAAACATGAAAATATAAACAAATGCATGTTGTGGATGTATGTAGAGAAAGCTAAAACGCTGCAAAAAAAACCTCCCCAAATAATAGGTAGTAGCCTCAGGATTGTTGAACAGACCTCCTAAGGCTAATCTCAATTCTGCAGTTGAAACTCTGGATACACTTTTATCGCATTTGTCTACTGTTTACGACCATATTATCATATTGGGTGATGTAAATGTCAATTTGCTAAATCTAAGTAACAAAATATCTCTTTGCTTCGACTCATATTCTTTTAAACAATTGATTGACGAGCCTACAAGAATTTGTTCTTCTTCTATTACATTACTAGATCCTGTTTTTGTAAATTTTCCTGAACAGTGTCATAATATTGGTACACTAAATGTAGATGTCTTCACCGATCATAGGTTGGTTTACTGTGAAGCATCTTTTGATAAACATCAGACCACACAAAAAATTGTCACATACCGTGATTTAAAAAATTTTGATCATGACAACTTTATGGCCGACTTACTGAGTATAAACTGGAATGATATTATTTTTATTCGAGACATTGATGACAAAGTGGAATTTCTAAATGATCTTATAATTTCTTTGTTTGATATACATGCACCGTTGCGTACAGCGAGGGTAAGCAAGCCCTTTGCTCCATGGTTAACGCAAAACTTAAGAGCTATTTTCAAGCAGAGGGATGCAGCTTTAATAAAATACAAACACAATAGGACAAATCAGAACTGGACAGAATACACAGAACTGAGAAATTATGCTCTTGCATCACAGCGTAGAGAAAAGGCTGGTTATCTTCAGCACTTACAAGAAACTAATAATTCATCTTCTTTATATAAGGGTATAAGGAATTTGAACATCCAGACTAAGAAGCGTAACCACATACCTGTTAGTTTACGTAACGCAACGCAGATAAATGATTATTTTTTATCTGTTTTTGAAGATAATACTCAGCACTGTGCTAGTGAAATAGAATTTTATGATAATAACATACTTGATGAATCGCTCAAATTTGATCTGGTCATGACCACTGAGGAAAATATACGTTCGCATTTAAAATAAAATCTAATGCCTGTGGGCATGATGGTATTACGCCTAATATGATAAAACTGTGTCTTCCTGTGATTGGCAAATATTTAACGCATTTGATTAATTCTTGTTTGGAACTTCACTATTTTCCCTCTGCATGGAAGCAAGCAGTAATTGTTCCCTTGGCAAAAACTAATAACCCTTCAGCTTATTCCGACCTGCGCCCAATAAGTTTACTTCCGATTCTATCAAAAATATTGGAAAGGATAGTACATGATCAATTGAAAGAGTACTGCTCTGAGAATAACATAATTCCAAAAAACCAGTCTGGCTTCAAAGTAGGGAATAGCACCACCACTGCTCTGCTTAAGGTGACTGATGATATTGTTGAGGCTTTGGATCGGGGTCAAGCAGCGGCTCTTGTACTGCTTGACTTCTCCAAGGCTTTTGACACTATCAATCATTCACTTTTGATCTCAAAATACAAATATATTGGATTTTCTCAAGCATCTATCAAGTTCATTACTAGTTATCTCATGAACCGTATGCAAAGGGTACATTTGGACAACTCATATTCGACATATAAGAATGTGATATCAGGGGTCCCTCAAGGCTCTGTTTTAGGACCGCTATTGTTCTCTATTTACATATCAGACATGTGTAAACTGATACGCTCCTCTGAAGTGATGATTTTTGCGGATGATACACAAATATGTAAAACTTTTGATCCAGATGACTGTGTAGCAGCTGTTGACGAGTTGAATTGTGACTTAGCCACTATTGTTAGTTTTTCCAAGCATAGCTCCTTAACGATAAATGCCTCTAAATCTAAAGCTGTTCTCTTTGCACCAAAAAACAAAATCATTAATATCAGAAATAACACGACAGTACGGATTAATGACACTTCTTTAGTTTATGAGGATCTTGCAAAAAATTTGGGTGTCTTACTTGACAAGGATTTACGTTTTCGTGAGCATATATCTAAATTAGTAAGAAACTGCTTTGTTGTACTAAAAACATTGTTTGTTAATAGGCATTTCATCAATTTCAAATTGAAAAAACATCTTTGTGAAAGCCTAGTTCTCTCAAAAATCAACTACTGCCTTATAGTTTTCTATCCTTACTTAGATCAAGTCTCAATTCGCAGACTTCAACTGATTCAAAATTCGTGCTGTCGCCTCATCTACGGTTTAAGAAAATATGACCATATTTCACACTGTATTCGTAGTTTAAAATGGTTAGATATTAATAGCTCTTACGAGTATCTTATCTTGAAGTTCATTCATAATTTGACTATCACGGGAACTCCCGAATACCTCTTCAAAAAAATTGTTTTCAGGCAATCTGTTAGAGATCGCATGCTCAGGTATGGCAAATTATTAGATATTCCACGGCACCGTACGGCTTTATTTACTCGCTCTTTTAGGTATAATTGTGTCAAACTGTATAACGTGCTACCTGATGCATTCAAAAATGTATCTCAAACTAAATTTAAAGTTTGTGTCAAGCAGCATTTGCTATCAAAAATGACTCGTAGTAGTAATTAAGTAGTAGTTTGTAGTTCAGATTAGTAACCGTCAGAAAAATTTTATTTGACGTGTTGCTGAATCTGTTTATATTTTCTATATTATGTCTTACAATATTTTTATTTTCCTTTGGTTAGCCACTGTATACAGGGTGACTTCGAAGTTGAGTCATTTATTTTAACAGTGAGTAGATCTGATCAAAAGAAATGTTTTTTTCCTTTACCATTTTCCTGGTAAAATTAAAGTAACAAAGTTATAGCCCTTTGGAAGTTTGAGTACCGCCCTGTCTCAATAACAATATTATGAGGTCGTGTTTGGCGACAATGGATATAATCCGCCGTATCGGTTCATCGCATCGGAAACAAAAAAGCGAAAGAATTTGGAACGATGTTTTTACAGGTATCTCATTCATTTGTATACAGTTAGTGTCAGTGAATAGTGGTGTGTTGCGTGGCTCAAACGAAATAAAAAATGGCACATGTTTATGCGGATCGGTTTCCCAATCGAGTGCAACCAACCCCTCGTGCCTTTGTTAATGTAGTACAACGGGCTTGTGAATCAGGTGACTTAAGACCTCACAGGGGACCTCACGATCAAATACAGGTCCGCACTGAAATACTTGTCGGGAGGATACTTTATAAAACAAGGTAAAAAATTTTTTTTATTTTTTTTTTATTTTTACACACATATTTTGGTTTATCTTCCTTCTACAATCATTATCTGAAAATTAATGACTCAACTTCAAAGTCACCCTCTATATATACATGTTAATTACATGTATTTACATTGGTTCACAACCATGAAAATAATAGGGTTAAATGGAAGAGTAGCTATTTAGCTAAACTTCGCCCGATACTATGTAAATTTATAAATAAAGACGATTTATTATTATTATTATTATTATAACCTATTTTAACTCGATTATATAAATTACACATTACAATCGATTTTCTTTGCGATTACAGTACACTAGGCGTGGCAAATGAAAGTATGTTTTTTGAATGTTATACTGGGTGTTCCTTAATGATATGCGAATATTCAAGGCTGTGAAAAATTAATGTTAGTTTGTTTTATAAACTATGGTCCAAAAATGTTTCCTTACAAAAACTTGTTGAAGTTTTAGGAAAAAAATAGAAATTAATTAATATTTTCAGAACCGCTTCAGATATTTCACTGATATTTAGTACGTAGTAAAAGTTAATGAAGTTGCATATTTTTCAATGCAAAAATAATGTTTGGCTTTAACAGTGGCGTATGCTGGTATTAACTTCGATATTTTTTAAGAAAAAAAAGGTACGCCAATGGTTTGTTGCCAAATAAAAATTATTTTTGAATTCCCCGTTCAATTTGAAATAAATGGTCTGTCTTGAGTTGTGTTCCTTCGATGTGCCATTTTTGAGTAAAAAAAAGAAAAACCGTTCTATTGTCTAACTTGCAAAATTATTATTAATTTAATTGGAAAAATTAAACACATTAGGGGTAATGAACAACAACAACTGACAACATAAACAAAACATTAAAACCAACGAAATGATTACAAAAATGGTTGAAAATGGGCCCCTTCACTTAGTATGCATGCTTCCGCCCTCCTTCTCATGGAATTGCGCACTCGTTGAAATATCCCTGGAGTGTTTTTTATTCTGTCACAAGCTGCAACTATTCTTTCTCTTAATTCCTCTACAGTGTTAATGGAACTTGTGTACACTAGTGTTTTGAGATACCCCACAAAAAGAAATCTAAACTGTTGAGGTCTGGGGACCTTGGTGGCCATTCTTGGGGCCCACCGCGGCCAATCCAACAATTGGGATAAACAGTTTGTAAATAATTACGAACTGCTACTCTGAAATGCGCTGGTGCACCATCATGCATGTACCACATATTGTTTCTTATTACTAACGGAACATCATCAAGCAGCAGAGGCAACTGTTGTTGAAGAAAATGAGGTCAGTCTGTCCGTCAAGTCGTCCCGGCAAGAAGAATGGGCCAATAAAGTGGTTGCCAATAATTCCTGCCCATGCGTTAACCGAAAATTGGTGTTGGAAATAGGTTTCGGTTACGGCATAGGGATTTTCTTCTTCTTAATTTTCTCGGACAATAGAACGGTTTTTATTTTTTGACTCAAAAATGGCGCATCGAAGGAAAACAATTCAAGAGTGATCATTTGTTTTAAATTGAACGGGGAATTCAAACATAATTTTTATTTGGCAAAAAACCATTATTTTCATAAAAAATATCGAAATCAATGCACGCACGCACGCCACTGTTAAAGCTAAAAATTATTTCTGCATTGAAAAATATGCAACACTATTAACTTTCACTACGCACTAAATACCAGTGAAATATCTGAAGCGGTTCTGAAAATATCAATTAATTTCCATTTTTTTCCTAAAACTTCAACACCCCGAGTTTTTGTAAGGAAACATTTTTGGACCATAGTTTATAAAGCACACTAACATTAATTTTTCATGTAGATTCACACCCTTAAATATTCGCATATCATTAAGGAACACCCTGTATAGTAGCTATCAACATCAACAAACGCTTCAGTCATATCTTGCAGTAAAAGAGCTTCTCGTAATTTTACATAGTTAATATTAGTAATTTGTTCCACTTTGTTAGCATCAAATTTGCTTTCAACTTCAAAACATTCCATGAATGATCACTGATCTTAGGAGTATGCATAACTTTTGCAATTAAATTTTGTTCGTTCGTTATTATCAAATCTATAATTGTTCTTGATTGATATGTGATTCTGGTGGTCTATTGTCCATAAAAACTGAGTACCTGTTTACATTTATTTGCGTAGAAGTCTTGATTATCAAAATTTATATTAAAATCGCCCAAATGTACCGTGATGCAGTTGGAATGAAAATGTTTTTCACAGATATTTTCGAAAAAATATATAAATCTGTTTATATTTCCAGTTGGAGATCTGTATTAACTGTGTAAATTATAATTATGCTTAAGATTCAATTCAATTATTGTTCAATCTTAGATGCAACACCCTGTACACTCGGTAAATACCTTACCTCTACGTAGGACAGGGGACAAGTAGAATTGTCTTCTGAATAGGAAGGAGTCGTAGCGGATGTTACGTCAAAATGAGAAAACGTTATGTTGATTTTGTTTCCCTGAGGAACGACGATCTCCCAGGTGCAATCCATGTCACGAGGCACTCCAGTTGGGAAATTTGGACTTTCGATCACTCCTCCAAAACCAGTGAGTTTAATATTGCAAACTAGAATAAATATATCAGTCAATTATCAGGAAGAATTCTGTTAGAACTATACAGGGTGGCCCATCCATGTGTGGACGGACTATTACTCATAAACAAATACATTTTGGGAAAATCTGTTTATGGGATGTTATACATGACATTTGAGGGCACTTTTCTAAAATATTGTCCATTATACAGGGTGTCCCAATTTCGACCTACATATCAAAGTTGTGATTTTTCGAATGGAATGCCTCTAATTTTATTGCATATTTGAATAAACCAATTCAAAAGAAGACAATTTATATAACATACTATGGGGTATTGGTAATCAGCTACTGAGATATAAGGTGTTTTGTCTAGAAAATCCCCCCACTTCGGCAACCCCTCATTCCGCCATTTTGAAATTTGGAGTGCTGAATTTTGTATCAGAAAAAACTTACACACCTCAGCTTTTATCTTATTTGTTGCTCTTTCGAGTTTTAATTTTTGCTCATACGCAAATTGTGATTTTTCTCAAAAATTTCAAATGCATCACCCTGTATATTTGTTTAAGTTTGGATTTAATTTTTATAATATTTTTTTGATACTAGACACATGAGGGTTTTTACGGGTATTTTTTCGGTTATTAGCACGTCTTTTATTATGGAACGGCTTAATTCCCTAAAATATCGCATCATCCTTTAAAACAAACAAATTGTTGATTAGTTACAAACTTTCAAAATTAGCTTTGTGAGCATTATAATAAAAACGTGTTTGAAAATGAATTTTTCTAAAGAATAAATGTTGAATATGGTGATTTCCAAAAACTGAGTGACATGGTTCTTCGTGACGTACATGTCACATAAAGTCAAAGCAAATAATAGTTTAAAAAAACACGCTTTTATAGCTAACCGAACTAAAAAGTAGAAAACAATTTTTAATTACAGTCTACATCTAGGTCGAACAATCAATCATAATTGAAGACCTCAATATAAAATTTAAGTTATTAACAGAATAATTCAATTCAGAGTGAAAAGCGTGGGGAGCTTGATATATTAAATGTTACAATCACTCTATTGGCAACTATCTATGAGAGGAGAGTTATGAAAATGTTTTACTCTGAATTAAATTATTCTTTTAACAACTCACATTTTATTATAATTTTATTTTGAGGTCATTAATTATGATTGATTGTTCGACTATCTACTACTGTAATATAAACTCTTTGCAATTAAAAATTATTTTCTACTTTTTAGTTCGGTTAGTTATAAAAGCGTGTCTTTTCAAACTACTATTTATTTTCCGTTTTTTAATTCTATTTATCAATTAGTTTTTTGTGGACATGTGGAATTGAACTGCCTTACAAATCATTTTATAATCTAATCATGTCATTTAAAGCTTCACTGTTGCATGGGTTTTTTTCACCACCCCTGGTTTACAAGATCAGTGCTCTGCTACTGAGCTACAGAGGCTTGCAGTTTCAGTATTCGTAAAGCGGCATTTGCAATCCGTGGCTTTTTATGAACATACATGTATCTGCTTTTTACAGAATTTTACTTATGATAAGGATAATGGAAAACTGTTATAAAATTATTGCATTGTCATCGGTCCTTGATACGTGTGCGAAGTTTCAAATTAATAAAATAAAAACTACAGGGTGCGCCACCTTTTATGTCGGCATGTAAACATGAAATAACTTTGAAAACGAAAAACTGATTTCTGTATATAGGGCAGTTTTATTAAATATGGCCCTTTACAATTTATTGGGACTAGTTTCTGAACACAACATCTATCAAGTGGCCACCTTAATTGGCCAAAACAAAATGTGCCCGTTTTGCTGCGTTTTCCATTACTTTTTCGAGCATCTCTGGTGGTATAGCGGCGATTGCGGTACGAATGTTCGCCGTGAGTTCTTCAGTGGTCTGGGGCTTGCTGGTGTATACTTGACTTTTTAAATAACCCCACAAGAAGTCCGGTGGAGTCAAATCTGGAGACCTGGGAGGCCAGTCATTGTCACCTCTTTTTGACATCAGACGTCCAGGGAATTTTCGTTGCAGAAACTGGATTGTTTCAGTTGCAGTGTGGCTTGGCGCACCGTCTTGTTGAAACCGGTAACCATCAAGACCTTTTTCACGCATTTGTGGACAGACATAATGAGTCACATCCACCGATATCGATTTCCATCGACTGTTTCTTTTTCGTTGAAGAAAAATGGCCCAATGATGGTTTTGGCGCAAACGCCGGCCCAAACAGTCACTTTCCGGTAATGCAACGGCATTTTTTGGACCTCATGTGTATTTTCCGTCCCCCAAATGCGGCAGTTTTGCTTATTATCGTTGCCAGAGAGCGTGAAGGGACTCGTCGGTCATCACAATTTGCTTCCAAAAATCAGGTTCAGCATCAACCATGCGAGCAACTATTTCGGCGTATTCCAAGCGACGTGGACGGTCAGTTGGCAATATTTTTTGTGTTAATTACACCTAATGAGGAATCAAATGCAAATCATCCTTCAAAATGCGCCGCAACGTGATGCCAATATGCTAAGCGCGGTGACGATACGACACTTTTGGGTTCTGGGCAACGCTGTCTCTGACCGCTTCAACCAATTCATTGGAACGTCTTGGTCGTTGATGACCGGTATGTTGAGGATCTCCCACTGTCCCGTACTCAAGAAAATTCTAAACCAATCGACGGACGCTGCCTGTTTGCCACGATATTTTCGACGATATGCACGTTGCGTTAACACAACTGAACGACGATTTTCAATGTACATTGTGAGTATTTCGGCGCGTTGTTTCTGTGTAAAGCGATACATGACTAAAATTGTAGTAAATTGACGGTACAGAAACACGTATAACCAAATCGCTCGGTTGGTAAATATCAGTCATTCGATGTTTCAATACCGACTTAAAGATGGCGTACCCGGTACATACATAAATACACGCCAAGCTCTTAAAAGCGTGTTCAAAACATAAGATCTTATTTTAGAATTTTTTCGCGATTACAATGCTTTCTAGCCAGTAGGCGTTGGAAGTAAAACTGAATATAGGCAACCAGTTGCGCCGCTGTCAGTTCATATTTTCAATAATCACTTTAATTTTGTCTGTCCACCTGTTTCCGGACACCTTTAATGTTTGCCAAGGTCCTGAAAAACACCCTGTGCACGTACTGAAAGGCATCCCTAGTACAGTGGACCTCCGGTAATCCGACAAACATTATGCAGGGCAGTGTCGGACTATCGAATTTGTCGGATTATAGAGCACCGCCTTAGACCCCCTATAGTCCGGAATTTTTTACAAAAGAGTACCTTGAAATCCGACAAATTACATATCCAATGGTAAGTTTATATATGTTATGTATATGTATGTACTTTGAAGTACAAATCATACACAATTTATGTATGTCGAATTTAACATAGTAAATTAAATAACAATAGAGAGCTTACGTGTTATTATAAAATTAAGCATAAATGCACATACATATGTACCAAAATAATCAAGAATTATTAATCAAAATCATTAATGAATTTATCAAATAATGAAGCTTGGAAATATTATATATTTTTGTTTAAGGTTGTTATAACGCGAGATCAGTGCTTTGTCCCTCAGTCTTGTCAAAAGTAAAAGTTCGTTGTACGATGTACCATTCTCTTCAGCCCATTGTAAACCTAGCTCAAAGGCGTTAATTGCGTCTTGTGCTGTGGCTTGTGGAGCAGTTGCAATCACGTCGTCGTTATTTTCCTGATCGTTTGTTGTATAATTAGAAATCTCTTTTATAATCTCTTCGTCAGACATTTCATGAAAAACATTTCCTCTTTATCCATTCCACGGCACCAGATTTCCAAATCTTCCGGACTTATCTGTGTTTCAGTAGCGACTTGTTCTATAACTTCCGAAGTTACACTGATTTGTGTAACGTTGCTAGGAGTGGTGACTATATCTAGCCATAACTTTTTCCAAGACTATTTAATAGTTGATGACGGTAACGCATTCCACGATTGACAAAGAGAAAAAACCATGTCTTTCATATTAAATTCTTTTAAAGTTTTTTCAATTGGTTGGTCTTTTGATACGGCTTTCAGAAATAGGTTTTTCTTATAGTCTTGCTTGAAAAACTGAATGATATTCTGGTCCATTGGTTGAATCAGTGCAGTGCAATTTGGCGGAAGAAACATCGCAGTGATGCATTTATCCTCAGTTGCTAGTTCTTCTTCAGACGGATGACCGGGAGCGTTATCAAGAAGCAACAATGCTTTTTGAGGAAAATTATGATCGTTTAACCATTTTCTTCAGGTACGAAGCATTCATCAAACCACTTTTTGAAAAGGTATTTTGTCACCCATGCACTTTTTTGTCCGTAATAGTGTACTGGTAAATCAATGTTTTTGAATGCCCGTGGTTTATTAGATTTCCCAATGACCATCATCTTAAGCGCGTGTGTGCCCGCAGCGTTAGCACATGGTAGTATGGTTACACGCTCTTTACTTACTTTTCGTTCAGGTACGGATTTTTCGTTACAAGAAATGAAAGTTTTGTTACGCATCATACGCTAAAAAAGCCCTGATATGTCTGCATTGTACACCTGTGACGGGTCAAGATTTAAATCGTTCACCTTTTGCAAAAATCTTAATTTAAAGGGCTCTATGCAGGTGGCATCGTTAGCCTGTAATAGTCATTAAACGTATGCCATGACGACTTTGAAAACGTTTTAGCCATCGTTTGCTGGCCACAAAATCATCTGTTTTTGTTATTTCCTTATAAAAAACTTAGCTTTCATGGCCAACATGGGTCCTGAAATTGATGCATGCCTATTTCTTTCCTGAAGAAACCACATGTACAAAGCTTCTTACACTTCTGGATGTTCAGCTTTCTTGAGTGTCTGTCTTTTGCCTGGCCTGCAGTCAGTAGTTGACACGAACTTCTTGATCTTCTCTTAGTTTCTTTTAATGTCATAAATTGGAGATCGGCCTACGCCGTATTCACTTGCTAAACTACTGAAAGTTTCATTGCGATTTAAGCGGTCTAAAATATCACATTTTTCTTTAATTGTCAATGTTTTGCGCTTTCGCTTCTGAGTTTGTGATGACATTACTAGGTACTATACTTAATACACAATGAATAAATAGTAAACACTGAACGCACGCTAGGCCGTACCGCTATCACAAGTAGTCAAATCCAAACTAAGTAAAACAATGCTTACAAGTCGAGCACGATAGCGGTGGCGCGTACAAGTTGTAAACTGTTCAAACCTGCGTGATCTACATTAGCGAAGATTGTCAAATACGTATGTAATACATATTCAAAGACATGTCGGATTACAGGGGGCGCAGGATTAGACAGGGGGCGCAGGATTAGACAGGGGCCGGATTATCGGGGATCCACTGTATGTCGTTTAAGTACACTCCACGGGAATGTTCTATGTTATGCAAAACTGTGTTATTATGACATCCTAAGGATGTTCACCAGATCTGAAGGATGTCTAGGGTATCCCACTTTCTGACTAAGGATATCCGTGGGTCGTACAGAGGACGTCCATGTGTTAATAGAGGCCGCCACTCCACTTACAAGCAAGATTCGGAAGCAGCAGATGTGGACTCGGTACATCTCATATAAAAAAATAAAGTTTTACCTGTGTGATACCTCAAGCTGAAGCCTCTTCCTTGGAAAGCAATGTCTGATCGGAATAACACCAGCATTTCATTTTTTGTTGTAGTAATTGGTTTGATGTCGTCTGCAGAACAAAATCTGCCCAAGGATTGTCTTGTGCCTCCATCAAATAACTAAAAACAGAGTTATGAACTTTCTGGTCAAACCTACAGACCATTTCAAAGTCCAGGTATATGGCCTCGTTTCCAATAATAGAACTATAAAAAGTGACAAGTACATACCTCGACGTAGTCCGCCAAACATTGTGAGCTCCTCTCCAAATCAATATCAGAAAACACAGATTGGATGACAGATCCAGCGTTAACTAGAATCCTCCAGTTGCATTCTGCGTACCTATTGTACGGTTCAGGGTAATGAGGAGAAATGATGGAACCTGATGGTGAAGTTAAAGTACCACCACAACCTAGAAGAATTAATATTGTTTTGACAAATAATCATTTTAATGAATATTTCAATGTTTCGCCCTGCTGTCGAATACCAAGCTCTCCTTTTTGTCAACATAAAGCTTAGTGAAACTGTTTGTTTACACCAGGGTTCGAACCGATGGTATTGCTAGCTTTCATAATTAATAGTACCCAAACTAGCAGTTTAAAATTGGTAGTTTCTTTACTGGCAATGCATTTTTACTGCTGTTCTTTCAACATTGTGTCCTATTAGAAGACCTGTTGATTAAAGGAATGCACACACTGACGCGAATTAATTCGCCGTGATAACATCAGCGATAACAAAAATCGTCGCTCCATAGGCAGTCAAAATTCGTGTCTCCTTTTAAGACTTACGCGAAAATTTCACAAGATATTTTTTTTTGATATATGATAAGATTCTTCAAGTTTTGAAAAAGAGGCCTTTTATTGGCTTCTCACCTAATTATTCGCGTCAATGAGCCGTATGCATAAAACAAAGGATATCCTTGTACCTACAAATTTTGAAGGAAATCCTCCAGATGGTATTTATAATAATTTGAAGTAAATGCTTTTGCTTTTTGAGTATAAGCATATCCTTCAAAGCAGTGACGTAAGTAAAAGGATATTCATAATTTTCACCTTATACTTAGCATAGGAAGCATATCGTTCAAAAATTCTGAGTGTGGTCAGTAGCAGACTCAACTTCATTATGAAAGGTGGTCAAACGATGAGGGCGGAAATTGTGGATATTAGGGATGTTAAAACGTACAAACCTCGTTTACCTTCACTTGGTCGTGACTTCAAAAAATCATATCGGTTCGACGAAGCAAATGTACAATGGCAGATTTTTAGTTGAGAATGAGGAAACTCGAGGAGGAGCACTTTCATGTATTCATAAAATGAAGATATGTCTACGCTATCTCGGTGACCCTGGATATCAACAAGGTATTAGTCAGGAACTTAGTGTTAGTCAAGCAACGGTATCTCGGAATGTGGATAGAGTTGTGAACAGCATAGTGGGACAGTCGAACGTATGGATCAAGTTTCCAACGACCAACCATGAACTGATGGAGGCCAAGCGGATATGGCAAAGCATGTATAAATTTCCGACAGCAATTGGTGTAATTGATTGTACACATATAGGAATCCTGAAACCAAATCGCCATGGAGATGAGTATATCAACCGAAAAGTGAAACGTACTTTAAATGTGCAAGTCACTTGTGATGCCAGAGAGATGTTCACAAGTGTTGATGTCAGTTGGCCTGGAGCAGTGCATGATTCAAGAATATGGAGCAATTCGCAGACTAGATCACAACTAATAAATAAAGCAAATGTTGTACTACTTGGCGATGACGGTTATGGTATTGAGCCATGCCTTATGACTCCCTTCAGAAATCCTACTCCAGATGCAGGAATATGTTGTAATAAGCTTTTAAACCAAGAGTTATAATTGAATGCTGCTTCGGCCAACTGAAACGCTGGTTTCCTATCCTACAGTATGTTTTCCGCGTAAAGTTGGAAAATGTACCGAAAATAATTATTGCTTGTATTGTACTCCATAATGTTGCGAAGAGCTTGGGCGATCCTGACTTTGAGTTAGTTAAACAAGACTCAGACGAAGATGAAGGAAATCATGAGAATGACGAACTTCCTCTCCGCCAACTAGGTCAACAAATAAGAAGAAACTTGAGTATTATAATAAATAGGCCGCAAAACTTGGCATTACGGACATGCCGACTGGGAGGGGCTCAGAGACTTCTTCTCTAGCTTTCCTTGGAGAGATGTCTGTTTCACTGACGCGGATGCGTCGACTGTCTGTTCTTCAATAACCGAAATTATCCACGTCGGAATGGAGGAATACATCCCTCACACAGTGAAAGTTCCTAAACCAGGGTCCAACGGCTGGTTCAACAAATCGTGTGACACTGCTCGCCAGCAGAAGATCAAGGCCCACAGAACCTACTTACAAAACCCCACTGTAGAGAACAGACAAGCCGACGTCGAGTCCAGAAACAAATATAACGAAGCGGTTCGCAATGCCAAAACCCAGCATGATATAAAAGTTAGGCACAGGGTAATGTCGCAGCGCAATGGCAGTCGGTCTTTCTGGACGCTGGCCAAGCAGATTGAAAAGAACTTCTCACACAGTAGCCTTCCACCACTTACGTGTCGGGATGGAACTATTGTATTCGACTCAAAGGCCAAGGCGGAAGTGCTAGCCAAGATCTTTGCTGCCAACTCCACCATGGACGTCCCTACCAACGCTCAAGTGCCGTCAATTCAAAGGGTTCACCACACTATGCGGGAGGTAACATTCAGGCATAAGACCGTAAGACGAGTGCTCTTGTCGCTCGAGATCAACAAAGCTTCTGGTCCGGACTTGATTCCTGCCATTGTACTGAAGAGATGTGCAGCTGAGCTTGCTCCAGTTCTTTCGCGTCTCTTCCAGATATCTTATGAATCCGGCACCTTCCCAGAAAACTGGAAATTTGCTCATGTACAGCCCATCCCAAAAAAAGGATCTAAAACCGACCCTTACAACTATAGGCCTATAGCTCTGCTTTCTGTTATAAGTAAAGTGATGGAGAGGTGCATAAATCGCGAGCTTCTGGACTACCTCGAACGTCACAGCTTGATTAGCGACAGGCAGTACGGTTTCCGGCACCAACGATCCACAGGGGACCTCCTAGCTTACGTCACGCAACTGTGGAGTAAACTCATCCAGTCTCATGGTGAGGCTCATGTCGTTGCCCTTGACATCACGAAAGCGTTCGATCAGCTGTGGCACGCTGCCCTCTTGAGCAAACTTCCATCCTACGGCCTCCCAGAAAAGCTTTGCAGATGGGTGGCTGACTTTATCTCTGGCCGCAAGATATCCGTCGTAATTGACGGATTCTCCTCTTCATCCCACAACGTCAACGCGGGTGTTCCCCAGGGATCGGTCTTGGCTCCAACACTGTTTCTCTTACATATCAACGACCTCCTTTCCTGCACGATCAACCCAATCCACAGCTTCGCTGATGACAGCACTCTACATGCAGGAATTCAGAGTGACAAGCCGATCTCTGCCGCTGAGCTGGAAAAAAGAAGACTAGCGACGACTTCTTCTCTGACAAGAGACCTGGAGGCTATCACTGCTTGGGGACGCAACAATCTTGTACAGTTCAATGCTTCCAAAACACAGTACTGTACTTTGACGAACAAAAAGCGTCCTAGCGCTCATACAGTTTCGATGGACGGTCGAGTTCTACCAAAGAGCCATTCATTTCGGCTGGTCGGAGTCCAGATCACCGAGGACCTGATCTGGCACGAAAACATCTCTTCAATAGCTGCAGCTGCTGGAAAAAAGCTAGGCTATTTGTTTAGGGCTAAGAAGTACTTTTCTCCGCATGACCTTCTCACTCTATACAAGGCCCAGATAAGGCCTAGCCTCGAGTATTGCTCACACATTTGGGGTGCTGCCGCCCCGACTACATTGTCCATGCTCGATGCTGTCCAGAGGAGGGCAGTCCGACTGATCGATGACTCTTCTCTAACAGACAGTCTCGGAACTCTTTCGCACCGGCGGGCCGTCGGCGATCTGGCTCTTTTCTATCGCTACACCAACGGACTTTGCTCCTCAGAGCTCTCTTCCATGATGCCGCCGCGCGATGTGCCTGCCAGACAGACCCGCCTGACTTCGGCGTCCCATCCTAACCGTGTCAAACTTCGTACATCCAGAACTGGCCGATACGACCGCTCCTTTGTCCCGAGGGTGTCTAGATTGTGGAACAATCTACGGGAGGAAGCTTTTCCCAGTTCTACTAACCTTAGGGCTAAGAACTACTTTTCTCCGCATGACCCAGATAAGGCCTAGCCTCAAGAATTGTTCACACGTTTGGGGTGCTGCCGCCCCGACTACATTATCCATGCTCGATGCTGTCCAGAGGAGGGCTGATCGATGACAGTCTCGGGACTCTTTCGCACCGGCGGGCCGCCGGCGATCTAGCTCTTTTCTATCGCTACACCAAACGGGCTTTGCTCCTCAGAGCTCTCTTCCATGATGCCGCCGCGCGATGTGCCTGGCAGATAGACCAGCCTGACTTTGGCGTCCCATCCTAACCGAGTCGAACTTCGTACATCCACAACTGGTCGATACGACCGCTCCTTTGTCCCGAGGGTGTCGAGATTGTGGAACAATCTACAAGAGGAAGCTTTTCCTAGTTCTACTTACCTCAGCCAGTTCAAAAATCGTATTAACAAAATTTCTTTGGGATCATCATAGCAGCCGCGGTGTTCCGGCATTTAGGCTTCTGCCTGCGCGGCTGTTTCGATGTAAAAAAAAAATAGTTTTACTGATTAAAGTGTATTTATAAGTTATAATAAGTTTTGTTTTCGTGGACATCATAATAAGTGACAGGTGGCTTCTGACGCTGCATCATTTCTAATTTCGTTTTATAATACTCCTGTTGTAAAATACTTGTTTGGTACTGCTGTAATAGCACTAGACGTTGCAGTTCTTTTGTAGTTAACCCTTTGGTTTCCTCAGTTTCGTATTTCTCTGTTGCTAATTATCTTTTTGGTGGAAATGTCTTCTGAATTGCTGGCGCTGTAATACTAACTGTTTACTCACTGCGCTCGGTATATAGTTCACTTCCTTCTTCTTGAACTCTACCAACCTGGATGGCACCTCTAATTTTCCCAATTGCAGGATTACAGTCACCTTCCATAGCTTTTAGCTACTTTCTTTCCCAATCTAACAATTCGATTGCTTTATTACCAGTTTCTTTTAGATCTGTTTTTTCTTCAATCTTGATTTCATGTTGTTGATTCTTTTTAATAAGCCTACAGTATCTAATGGTTTACCGAATGTTGATTCATATTTTTTCAACATCTTCTTCAAGGCATCGTCCTGGAGTAAGTTTTCTGAAGGGAGTCATAAGGCATGGCTCAATGCCATAACCGTCATCGCCAAGTAGTACAACATTTGCTTTATTTATTAGTTGTGATCTAGTCTGTGAATTTCTCCATATTGTGGAATCATGCACTGGTCCAGGCCAACTGACATCAACACTTGTGAACATCTCTCTGCCATCACAAGTGGCTTGCACATTCAAAGTAGCTTTCCCCTTTAGGTTGATATACCCATCTCCATGGCGATTTGGTTTCAGGATTCCTATATGTGTACAATCAATTACACCAATTGCTGTCGGAAATTTATACATGCTTTGCCATATCCGCTTGGCCTCCATCAGTTCATAGTTGTTAGTAGGAAACTTGATCCATTCGTTCGACTGTTCAACTATGCTGTTCACAACTCTATCCACAGTCCGAGATACCGTTGCTTTACTACCACCAAGTGCCTGACCAATACCTTGTTGATATCCAGGGTCACCGAGATAGCGTAGACATATCTTCATTTTATGAATATATGAAAGTGCTCCTCCTCGAGTTTCCTCATTCTTAACTAAAAATCTATCCGCAAGCCATTGGACATCTGCTTCGTCGAACCGATATAATTTTTTGAAGACACAACCGAGTATAGGTAAACGAGGTTTGTAGGTTTTAATATCCCTAACATCCACAATTTCCGCCATCCTCGTTTGACCACCTTTTGTTACGAAGTTGCTACTGACCACACTCAGAATTTTTGAAGGATATGCTTCCTATGCCAAGTATAAGGTAAATATTATGAATATCCTTTTACTTATGTCACTGCTTTGAAGGATATGCTTATACTCAAAAAGCAAAAGCATTTACTTCAAATTATTATAAATACCATCTGGAGGATTTCCTTCAACATTTGCAAGTACAAGGATATCCTTTGTTTTATGAATACGGCTCAATGTATGCATTCCTTTATGCTCGTTGAGAGCAAATCTCCTGCCGTTTTCGAGCATGGTTCGATTTTTTGGTATTGACGAGATTTATAGGCCATTTGTTAACGTAATCATTACCTGTAGCAGTTGATGACCACGTAATGCTGAAGCCACGTCCATCTCTGCTCAAGTCCGACTTGAAATGCAAATAGACTTGATTGATATGTGATGGTATCTCCTTAGGAATATCTTTTCCACAATAAACTCCTATCAAAGGAGAAGCTGAGGTTCCGCCATTCCTAATTTCCAAATAGTCGTATTTACAATCTGGATACGATTCTACTTCAAAGTCTTCTACTGAAAGGAGTATCTGTTGGCCAGGCTTAGTATTGATTGTCCACGAACAATCAATATTATTTGGGTATGGATTGGGATACCCTGGAGACTTGATTGCACCAGAGGAAGTGAAAAAGTTGCCTCCACATGCTAAAAATAAAAAAATGTGAGTTGTTTTGGTTCAGAGGAGTACATTTTCTTTTTCTTAGTAAGTAGGCTACCAAGATTTCGAAATAATGGGTAATGTCACGTATTCCTGTTAAGTGGTGATAGATTAGGTCAAAAGCAACCTATTTTGTCCTATAATGTCCTATCCAGAAGTTAACCGTTTTCGAGTTATTTGAATTTTATTTTTTTTTTATTCCGATTTCAGACGGTTAAATTTGAAATACAAAAAAACTACATCTTTGATTTTGAGTTTTTTGTTATCGTCGCAGAGCGGACATTCCAATAGTTCATAATAAGTAATAAAATGTTGAAAACTTACAAAAGTTTTAAAATTACGCTTTTGAAATGTATGATTTTCTTATTTTTTTACTAACTTATTCGATAAAAAATGCAATTTTCTGTAAAAAATCTCCTAGTAATGAAATGTGCAAATTATGTAAATGATACCTCTATCTAACAAGCTTTCATTTGAGGTATAAAAGTTACAACTAACTCAAGTACAAAGACATGAAATTATAAAAAGATGAGTAAAGTTGTACGAACGATAATTACGTAGGATAAAAAAAAGGCTTTTATTTTAATTACAGTTTTATTTAATTAGATTTCCTTTAGTATTTCACAAATTCTGCTCAAATTGTAATCCCCTGTTACGAATACACGCCCGCATTCTCTTACGTAATTCACTTTTGGTAACTCTAGTTGTTAAGCGGCTTTTTATTTGGTCAGCTGCACTGATTATCCTTGTAATTAATTCATCGCGCGTTGGTACGGGCGAAACATCGTACACCGGGCTTTTCATATGTCCGCACACATAGTAATCCATCGGTGGGAGATCTGGGCTTCTTGCTGGCCAGGTAATGGCCCGCCTCTGCCAATCCATTGATTTGGAAATTTAGAGTCTAAATACGCCTGTACTAATCTACTGTAGTGTGCGGGACAGCCGTCGTGTTGGAACCGCATATTTTGTCTCGTCGCCAATGGGACGTCTTCCATTAATGGAAACAAGTGATTTTTCAAGAACTCTTCATACACGTCTCCATTTAAATTGGCGGGCAGAAAATGAGGTCCAATTAAATATCCATCAGTGATGCCCATCCACACATTGACTGAAAACCGGCTCTGAGACCCCGTCGGTCTTATTTTTCGGGGGTTTAAAGCTTCTTTATCAGCCCAGTAATGAGCATTATGGTAGTTAGTGATCCCGTCCTTATCAAACTTCGATTCATCGGTCCACAGAATTTTCTTAAAATAGTCTGGATCTTCTGTATCTGCATGTAACATGTACTTGCAGAAATCTAATCGTCTTGCAGGATCGCCCTCTTCAATCACATGCACAGGCGTGTAGTGATAAAGGTATAATCTTGCAGTATGCACAGTAAACCATACTTTGTATTGTGATATACCCAACTGAGCAGCCACAATGCGCGTAGACGTAGTAGGGTCTTCCTGAAACACACGAAGGATTTCCTCTTCATCTTCAGGAGGATAGACTCGGGGTCGACCAGCATCACTATGTTGCCTTTGAACACGTCCGGTTTGGCGGATGCGCCAATACACAGAGTCAAACAGGTGTTCGGCGATTCGGGAAACGTTGCCGATATTCACGGCGGGCAGCTGCAGAATCGCCGCTACAAAGTCCATAACAGAACATTATGCCTGCCTATTCTTCATTTGTAAAAGTTTGCCCCGTGCTCGCTATGGCGAGGTCCTGGCGGATCTTCTGCGTCTACCATGATAATAAAGAAACCACTCGAAATGAACTGGGAAACTCAAAAATAATAATCGTGCTTAAAACGTGTGCGCGTACGCAGTAGTTGATACCAACTAAACCTAATTCTCACTCGGCGTGCGGCGATGGCGTAACTACAATGATGAATAATAACAGCTCTCGCTCTCTCACTCCTCCACTAAGTCAGCTCTTCTCGCTCGCTTCCTCGTCGAGCCGATGCCATAGAACAATCATGGCATGCGAGTCCTTTGAGGACAGTGACGACTTTCTAACAGGTAATACAAATTCCTTAAAAATCCAGCCTCTGTGGGTGTCATTGTTGTTTCTCTGCATGTACTTCAGATAATTGAACGCTTAATACCTCAACTGAAAGCTTGTTAGATAGAGATACTATTTACATAATTTGCACATTTCATTACTAGATTTTTTACAGAAAATTGCATTTTTTTATCTTATAAGTTAGTAAAAAAAAAGAAAATGATACATTTAAAAAGCGTAAATTTAAAACGTTTGTAGCTTTTCAACATGTTATTACTTATTATGAACTATTGGAATGTCTGCTATGCGACGATAACAAAAAACTCAAAATCAAGCATGCAGTTTTTTTTGTATTTCAATTTTAACCGTCTGAAATCGGAATAAAAAATAAAAAACTTAAAATTCAAATAACTCAAAAATGGTTAACTTTTGGATAAGACATGGTAGGACAAAATCGCTTGCTTTTGACCTAATCTATCACCCCAACGACAATAATTTGAATTTTAAAATACAGGGTGTGAAGTTAGTAGTGGATCAACGGAAGTCAGATTTTAATTGCGACTGAAAGTTCATTATCCCGTTTTTTGTCGAAATTTCACAAAATTGTAAATATCTCTTGAACTATAAAATTTCGGACCACACATATACGGGTTCATTCGATATGTTTTGAGGCCTTCTATCACCTGTGTTCCGTTGGTCCACTACTAACTTTACACCCTGTATATTTTGCATTTTTTCATAGTAAACAAAAATTATAGGTTAGATTAAAAGATGGATTTAGTAGCAATGACAAAACTGTGCCTATGAGCCAAATTCAAAGCTCTACATAAATGCACTAATTATTTACCTACTATTTAGGTTTTTTTTTCATTATTATTTACCTACGTGGAGAAGTGTAGTCTCCTTAGAAAACTATTTGAAACCACACAATCATATAGCTTATCATATCTCATACGAGGGATGTCTTTTAAGTTTTACTTATAGAAACATACACTCTTTAGTAAACTTAAATTCAAAGTTTTACAACAATACGTGCAGTGTTCTCGCTACAGTGAATTTTTAACTGTCACCAAGTCATTAGAAAAATGGAACTCAACCGAGAACATTTTCGCGCCATAATTTATTACAACTTACAGAGACATTTATCGCAACAAGAATGCCTTGCTGAGTTACTGTCTGTTTTCGGCAACGAAGCGCGACATCAGTCGACAATTTTCCGTTGGTATGGAGAATTCAAAAGTGGAAGAACTGTTACTGCAGATTGGTATACCACCATTTGTTTGCCGAAAGTCATCACCAAGCTTCGAAAAATCATCCCCGAAAGACGAATCTTCCTCCACCAAGACAATGCAAGCTCGCACACAGCCAAAATACAAGGCAGTATTTAACGGAAGAAAACGCGGAATTATTGGACCATCCTCCATATAGTCCCGATCGATTTCTTTACTTTCCCGAAAATTAAAAACAGACTGCGTGGTCAAAGGTTCCAGTCAACAGAAGAAGCAGTTGACGCATTCAAAAATGCCGTTTTGGATCTGCCAGCAAACGAGTGGAATAAGTGCTTCGAAAATTGGTTCGAGCGCATGGAGATGTGGAGAATACTTCGAAAAACAATAAAGTCATTTAAAACTACCTACCGTGTTGTTTTATTTCCATATGCAAAACTTAAAAGACATCCCTTGTATCAAACATGACTCATTAAGAAGCCTGTAATAGTAAAAATTCTTACTTGAACTGTCATGCATCATCAAATACGTAGCCAAGAAGCCATCAGTGTTAAGAGTGGTATCGCTAATGAACTTGACGGACATGATATTGGAGGTACTGAAAAGTACAGGAGGCATTTTTGAGCCACAATACCTCCCAAGCATCTCTCCTTCCCCCAAATGCGTGCTATTATCGTAAATTTCAATGCTGTCGTAAACACAATCATAACTTAGCTCCAGATGGAAGGCCAACCAGGAGAGCTGGATAATGTGTTTCGGTGGCGCGATTATCAACCAAGTACAGGTAATGTTATGTGGATAGAAGCCGTCCATACTTGAAGGTGATGCTATATTGCCCAGTTTGCTCTTGAGGATTCCACCACATCCTAAAATGTATGTAACATCTGAAACTTGTGGTTTTTATGTCGATAATCTTCCATGTCTGTCTGCCCAATGAAATCGCATATATTAGAAATTCTTCTCTAATGTAGTAAACATTTAGGTCACAACGGTGACCTTCTTCAATACATGACCTTTTCGACAATATTTCATTTTACTGTCGTCCAGGTGACACTTTTCTTGATACGTTTGTTTTTTCTTTTTTATTTCCAAATTCCTGTATAGTGTATTACTACAATAGTCTAAAAGGTCCGTAAGATGCCAAGAATAAACTGTTGAACCTTATATTGTCTCCTCGCAGGACAAACAACCTGGTTCACTGTGAGTCTCCAAGTAATATTTATAGCGTTTCAGATCCGTAAACAATGCAGTTGAAACATTTTAGTCGAAGATTGCATAACAATTAACCAGTTTGTCACGACAACAGTTCTGGTGCATCGGAAAATCGACAGATAATCTCATACTTGCTTGTCGTTTTGGGGGGCTAGGTGTCCATTTGAGAGCGGCCTTAGTCTGTTCTTGTTTTGCTAAAATTTGGCTATGATCTCATCATGTTCCGGACCTTTCAGACTGTTGTGGTAATACACTATACAGGAATCTCAAAATTAAAATAAACAGCAAACGAAATGTCACCTGGAAGACGGATAAATAAAATATTGACAAAAGTGTCATGTATTGAGGATGGTCATCGTAGTGATATCGAAACACTTACTACAGTTAAGAAGAATTTTAAATATATGTGTTTCATTTTCTAGACAAACATGGGAGATTACCGAAAATTTATTTTTTCTTGTTTTTCAATCAAATCTTGAAAATTTAAAAAGCTCACATAAACTGAATGGAAAAATTCGGTATCCTTATTAGGTAAATAGTTGCAATCTGACAGCAAAGTTGCTCTGGTAGCCCTCAAGCTCTGCATCGCGTATTGCGTCAGCGTTGTTTGTTTATTGCAAGGCCATGGAGCTTGATTTTCAAAGCTGAGTCACTCATTTCAACAGCTTGTAGAACTCGTCAAAATAAGTTGGTATAGGTACCAAAAATCACCTATATAAAAGTTGCATAATGCGATAGTTTACATTATTAAAAATTATTTAAAAAAATCAATATAAAGTTAAATTGATACCGTTTTTAAAAAAACTGTTCAAAATTGTCCCCATTTGTTCGATCAATGCAAAATCTTGCTCGGCGAGTCCACGACTCTATACAAGCTTTAAAAATAAAATCCTGGTGTCCACGAATTAAATCACAAGCATTTTCAGTGCGCTGTTGAAGTTCTTCCAGAGTATTTACTGCTCCATCATGATACATCAACTATTTTAAATAGCCCACAGAAAAAAATCGCGAGGCGTTGAATCCGGGGGGCGAGCAGGTCAAGAATACCTGTATCCTGTGTCGCGAAGTCTAATAACTAAATTTACAAACATCCGTGGGGCCGGATGATTTCTTAAAGGAAACCTTTCCGCATGCTGCGGCTGCATTTTGTTGGCATTCTCCGTATGCTAGTATTATGCCCACAAGATCATTGGGCCATTTCTTCGCACGAAATAATTAGACAAATGAAACTATACGCACTATTAAAAGACATTCAACTGATCGAACCAAAGACTCGTAATGAATAATGCGGGTTCGAGTCCCGTCCCAGGAGAAATTTTTCTCTTGGCTATGGATGTTGTGATTGTCCGTAGGTGGTAGATGGTCTCTGACTGTCGAACGCGGAGGTGCCACCCGGCGGTTCTCGTAGGCGGAGCCAGAATGCGTGCATGTTGCATGCACACGTGTTCGCTCGCCAGAGTCCGTGTGGCGTCCCCCCTTTCCCATGTATCCCCCATAGCCCCACGGTACCCAATGGGTGCTTAGGCCTTAGGCCTTCGTGGTAGTTGGAATATAAAAAAAACAAAAAAGTTTGCCAAATTTAGATAAACAATAAGAGTAGTAAACAAAAAACGCTAAGATAAAAAATCTGTGTAATAACATTCTTATTTTTTTTTAATTTCTTGTCCATTTCTTTTATTGTGCAACTTTTGTATACAGGGTTGCGCATCGAAAACGAAACAGACGCATTTACTGGCAGGTCCGTTTTTTTTTTGAAAAACGCACAGACCCGTCGATTTTATTTTCGAGAGGGACACAAGTTTGGCAAAAAATCACGTTAAAACGTGCAGCCCCCTGGGCGGGGGTGACACCAACCCTAAAATCTTAAATGGAAAGGGGGGTCGAGTGATACCTTGTTTTAATGGTCTTTCAATTCCCTTTATAATGATGTAAAATACATGAGCTTCAGTTCAGTAGTTTTGAAGATTTTTTGATTTAAAGCTTAAAGTAGACTTTAATAGGTACATCAGATTAGTTTGTACTACTTTCAGAAGAAATTTGACTAAAAGAATTTGCTTAGTAAGTAAACGCTTTTCCTCACTACGCGCATGGTTTTTTTATCATTTTGTTGTTGAAAATAGCTATTGGTGCGTTTTTTGTGGCAAAAAATTATTTCTTGAAGAAAGATAAGGAAATATCTCGTACTTATTTTAAATAGGAATTTAGTACATAGTTTGCGATTGATTTGACCAAACTTTGTTGCTAAAATAAATTGTAACGCTTTATTACATAAATTAACCATGGTATATTCCACAGCAGAAAGAGTTGAAATTATCGAAATATTTTTCGGAAATAATGAGTGCGCTAATAGAACAGCAGAAATATTTAATAAGCGACATGAGAACAGTAACGTCGAAAATATGTTCTAAAACTTGTAGCTAAATTTCGGGAAACTGGGTCAGTCGCCAATAAAAAACGCAACATTAAAAATCCCATAAGGAACGAAACAATAGAAGTGGGGGTTTTAGGGCAAGTTTATGTAAATCCTACGTTAAGTACCCGCAAATTGGAGACTGTGTGTGGTGTTAGTCGACGTACTGTCCAACGGATTCTAAAGGCCCATAGTTTTCATCCGTATAAAATTCACCTGGTGCAAGAACTTAATTAAGACGATTTTGATCAGCGATTACAATTTTGTGAAGATATGAGTGAACGAAACGATGAACATTTTCTATTCAACACTTGCTTTTCCGACGAATGTTCCTTTTTCTTAAATGGCGTAGTAAATCGTCATAACTGCCGATATTTGTCCGATTCTAATCCCTGAATTTATCATGAGGTTCATACATAGCAGCCACAAAAATTAAATGTTTGGGCTGGTATTTTTGGCGATCATTTAGTTGGTCCTTTTTTCTTACCTGGAAATTTGACCGGTGAAATGTATTTGGAATTACTGGAAGACGCCATAGATCCTGCATTAACAGCCATAATTGAAAATCAGAATCATCGGCGGTACATTGCGAATAGGTGGATGTTTCATCAGGATCGTGCCCCACCACATTCCGTATTACGTGTTTGACAATATTTAGATCAGACATTTCCAGATCGACGGATTGGCAGAAGGGGTGCCATTGAATGACCCCCAAGATCGCCAGATTTATCACCTTTGGATTTCTTTATGTGGGGTCATTTAAAAAGCAAAACCTATGCTACTCAGCCAACATCATTAGAAAACCTGCGACAAAGAATTGTGAATGAGTGCCTTCAAATTACTCCTCAAATATTGCAAAATGTGCGGCAACGTTTTGAGCAGAATCTTTATTATTGCATAAATGATGTATTAGTTTTATTTAAGCTTTGAATCAATAAATCTTCAAAACTACTGAACTGAAGTACATTAATTTTATAACATTATAAAGGGAATTGGAAGACCTTTAAAATAAGGTATCACTCGACCCCCCTTTCCATTTAAGATTTTAGGGTTGGTGTCACCCCCGCCCAGGGGCTGCACGTGCTAACGTGATTTTTTGCCAAGCTTGGGTCCCCCTCGAAAACAAAATCGACGGGTCTGAGCGTTTTTCCAAAAAAAAAACTGAGCTGCCAGTAAATGCGTCTGTTTCGTTTTCGATGCGCCACCCTGTATGTGATTCTTGGCATATAGGTAAACTCCTTTACAAGCAATTAAAATAAAAATAAAAGCCTTACCTAATTTTACAGAAGTATACTCGACCGAGGCCTTATCTGTAAAAAAAAAAGACATCGTTATATTTGAGCCCAGAAATGGATCAGTTTGACGTGCCAAAAGCTAGATTCCTACTATACAGTAAGTTTTATATTTCTTTGTTTTCGTACTTCGAATATACTTTGGCAGCTGAATAATTAGTTTGTAAGGTAATTTTTTATCATCTGTGGTTTTAAATTTTGGTCAAAGTAATGTATTGCTTGTAGTGCTTTCAATTCGTTTTAACTTTTTTTCAAATAATTCGGTGGAGACTCCTGTAGTAGTTAGGTATGGCTCCAGATACTTCTTAGGCATTATTTTTGGATATAGCTAGTTAAAAAGCAGCATTTCCAGCTAACAGAGTACGTGGTTTTCATCTCAAAAACACGACACTAATCACAGGGAAAAACACAAATAATCACGTCAAATATACGTAGTATATACGTCGATAGATATTACACGTAACTAAATGACCTGAGAAAGACGTCACACGACAACGTAAAATAAAAATTTTCCCACGAATTGAGACTATTTTTAAAACTTGTCAGACCATCTTATTTCTTGAACGCGCATTCGCTATCACCTCGCGATTTGGGGATTGGGAAGATACATGTCTATTGTCTACTGATTGTCTACTAACCTACCATTGGCATAAATATGTAGAGATGGGTCAGCGTAGTTTTGTAGAGATGGGTGCGACATGGGAAAAGAAAAATCTGCAGAAAGATATAGTTGTAATTTAGCAGTGGACAGTTTTTTGTAGTTAAAATGAAATACACCCAAAGAATATCAAACGATTTATTTTTCCCCCAGAACATTTTATCAACCAAAAATTCGCCAAGCGAAAATCGAACAGCGGAGCATCCGGCACTATTACAGGGCTTTGTTGGAACAAAGCCATCCTGTTTTCATTTCGTACGCTTATACACGCATGCGTTAACTGGTCATCATTCAGGGTTGCCAGACGTGGCGATTTTTCACCAAAGTGGCGATTCGACGGCTTCAAATGGATAGCTTGGCGATTGGCTACTTTAGTGGCGCCCCGTATCCAGCAAATTCTGGCGATTTTTAGCATACCCGACGCCACTTAATTTGTAATCCATTTTTGCCGATATAATAATAATAATAAATCGTCGTCTTTATTTAGGGAGTGAAGGTTAGCAAAATGCTAACACAGAAAAAGAAAACTGAAAAACAATACAAAAAAACAAATACATTTGACAGGTTATAAGTTTAAAAATGTATATAACATCATGAAGGCTGTTCAATAATTCATGAGTTAAAAGTACAAAATTGTAACAGTTATACAAACAAAAGAATGATGCTTTATTGGAAATATTTTTGTGTGAGGTAAATTTTATCGACTAATTTATATACTTCTAGGTATTCAAAATAAATTTCCTTGTATGTATTTTAAATTCATGACATGATAGCAATTTTGAGGATCGAGAAATAGCATTGTAAAAAATAATTTTATAGATTGATGAAACATGAAACGAGGACCAGCCGAAGTTCTGTGCATGGATCCGACACATTGTTTATTATCATATAATATTATTATTATGCCTAACCTGCCTCACCTCCGCTCTTCAATTAACAGGCAGGCTCCTGTCTTCCACAAATTCATTCCAATCTCTAGCCTGGCGGTTGACTCCTAGTTATTTAAAAAATTTGCGACCAACGTGACGTGAAGACTGACAACCACGATTCCAGAATTGTTTCTGGGATAGTTGAAAAGATTTTGGAATCTTTTTTGTAATTAGAAAGTGGCATCATCACTATTCATCGCAATAAAAGTTGGGCAATAGAAATACAAAGGGGATCAGAACACGGTTACAGTTTGGTTGGAGATAAGAGGCAATCACCTGACAACATCTCTACTGCGCAGGTCATTTTTAAAGAAACAACATATATGAGTTTGGAGTTTTTTCTGTTTTGAAGAGTCAAATATATGAACAGAATCACCCTGTAGTCCCCGGTTTTTTCGAAAGGCTATACCATAAAGATGTATTGCTATGATGTCTCTACAACATATATAACTTTGTTGAAGGCACAATTATTCGTTTGGGTTCTGCGATTTTTTACCGTTTTGATGAGTCAACCCTTGTATGCGCAGAATCACCCTGTAGCCTCCTGATTTTTAGCACAGCTATGTCGTAAAGATGTATTGCTATGGGGCCTCTACAACATATATAACTTTTTGCTAGCACAATTCTTCGTTTGAGTTCTGCGATTTTTTTTCCGTTTTGATGAGTCAACCCTTGTATGCGCAGAATCACCCTGTAGCCTCCTGATTTTTAGCACGGCTATGTCGTAAAGATGTACTGCTATGGGGCCTCTACAACATATATAACTTTTTTGCTGGAACAATTCTTCGTTTGGGTTCTGCGGTTCTTTTCTGTGTTAAGGAGTCAAGCCTTATATGCGCAGAATCACCCTGTAGTCCTTGATTTTTCGCAAAGCTATGCCGTAAAGATGTACTCATACGAGGTCCCACAACGTATATGAGTTTTTTGGGGGCAGAATCACTCGTTTGCGTTCTGCGATTTTTTCTGTTTTAAGGAGTCAAGCTTTATATGAACAGTCACCCTGTAGACCCTTGACTTTTCGCAAAGCTACGTCATAGAGATGTACTCCTATGAGGTCTCTACAACATATATGTGTTTGTCGATTTTAAGAATTTTACTATATCTACTATTCATTCTGTACGGTACGTAACAAAAAAATTTGTAGCTAAGCAACTGCTACTAACAACATTACAAAAATTATCAAATGAACCTTAAAACGAATATCGTGCCATGGGAGAGCTGGCAATCTAGCACAAAGCAAAGCGCATGCCCGTTCCGCGCTTTTTTACCACGTGACCACCTGAATGAATTCAATTCAACTTGTTACGAGACGTCAGATTTGTGTTTTTTAGTTATTCATTATTATTATACTTAAAATGAGTCAAAAGCCAAAGAAACGTTTATTACGTGACCCACCTGATGATATCCCGATGGAAATAGATCAACCAGAAACTGATAAACCGGGTAATCCAGAAGAACCGATGGAATGGGAGACTTCGGAACCGCAAGGTTCTTATATATTTCTGTTTTAATTCTTTTAAGCATATAGTAACAAATCCCTAGAAGAAATTCACAATTCGATTGAAGTTCGATATAAACTGGAGTAGAAAAACGTATCATTTTATTGTTGTTTGAAAAATTTGGCCCAAAATCTGTATTCATCATGACTATGGCAACTGTTTTTGAACTTACGAATTTGATATTTTATAGATTTGACTTTCATAATCATTCAGACGAATTGTTCGCAAGGCTATTTTGTTTCGTATTTGTCCATAACTCCGTTTTGCAGCGATATGCTAGTGATTTTCAAAAAATTTAGTCTGAGAGACGACTCATTTTACATGTGTGGACGGAACATGAGTCATAAACAAATACATTTTGGAAAAATCTATTTATGGCATATTATACATGACATTTGAGGGCACATTTCTAAAATATTGGCAATTATACAGGGTGTCCCAATTTTGACATACGTATCAAAGTTGTGATTTTTTAAATAGAATGCCTCACATTAATTTAAAAGAAGAAAATTGATATAACATACTATGGGGTTTTGGTAATTAGCTACTGAGATGTAAGGTGTTTTGTCCAGAAAAACCGTCCACTTCGGCAACCCCTCTATCCGCCATTTGGAAATTTGGAGTGCTGAATTTTCTATAAAAAAAACTTACACGCCTCAGATTTTATCTTATTTGTTACTTTTTCAAATTTTCATTTTTGATCATACAGAGTGGTCAAAAACGCGAATTGTACTTTTTCTCAAACATTTCAAATGCAATACCATGTATATTTGTGCAAGTTTGGATTCAATTTTTTGGTATAAGGTCTGCTTCAGATAAAATCACTAGATTTTGAGTTATCAAGCTTATTAAACAAAAGACAAACAGTGGGCTAGTTCCATATTGCCACTTAGAGTACAGATTTGACGTAAAAACTAATAACAATCAGAAAAGTATGAATCAGCTTCAAGCGTAATAGAGAAAAACAACTATAACGACAACATAAACAAACAACTATCACCAAAATCGGTTTAATTTTTTCCTGACCTTATTTGTAGTGAGATATGAAAATAAATTGCACACTAACATTGCCACTTTCTCTCCTCTGCAAGGTTTCAATATGACGTTTCGTCTTTTGTTCTCCAGCATCAACTTTATTTTTTCTAATAGACGTCATACTGGACTTTTGAACAGATGAATAAGTTTTTAATATTCTGGTTCGAGGTTTTTCTTTCGACTTCCATCATCAAATTTTATTTGTCATATGGACGCTGTATTGGAATTTTGAATATTTGAATACCACTAAGAATAAAAATATTATTAGAATAATGTTTCTTTGTTTTTTAGTTGAAAAAGCAACAAAGCAAAAAAGCCCATCTGATGAGAAGCGCGGGAATCAAGATAGGCGCGCTTCCAAGCAACCCTGTTTGCCAACAATTAAAGAGTAATAGGATGTAATTAAAGAACAAAAATAATACTATTATAATCTTTTCACATGGGATTTGACTCTACTTCGGAAGCTGCCAAGTGAGATCGAATCTTTTACTGTACCGGGCAATGAGTTGTATATTGTAAGTAAATGACTTTTTAAACTGTTCAGTACTATGGAACAACATCATAGAGATTACAAGAACGAGTTTTCCTATCATGAAGATCCGTTCTCTTAACAAGTTTGGTATAGAGGCAGAGTGGTAGCTGGGTTTTGTTAATGTTGTAAGTTAATTTAATAATAATAATAATAATAATAATAATAAATGGCCTTTATTTTACCTGGCGGGTTACATCAGCACAAGCTGTTTTTCAGAACCAACCAGGGCTAAAAAAAAAATTCAAGTACATGCAAATACAACAAAAATACATTAAAGATAACATTTAAAGCAGAAAAAAATTTTTTTTTACAGAATCGTAGCATGGTATAATGACCAAAAGACCAAAAGAGAAACGTGCAGCAAC